GTGTAGTATTATCATATTGAATTCATTTTTCATCGCAAGTAAGGATTTCATCGTAAAACCTAGTATTTTTTATCAAACGAACATCAAAAATCAAACGAACAAATCCCCAGTGACACGAGTAGCTTTATTGGCATCGCTCAGGCACAGGCTCAGGCACAGGCTCAGGCACAGGCTCAGGCACAGGCTCAAGCACAGGCTCAGGCTCAGGCCCAGACACAGGCTTAGGCACAGGCTTAGGCACAGGCTCAGGCACAGGCTCAGGCTCAGGCACAGGCTCAGGCACAGGCTCAGGCTCAGGCACAGGCTCAAGCACAGGCTCAGGCTCAGGCCCAGACACAGGCTTAGGCACAGGCTTAGGCACAGGCTCAGGCACAGGCTCAGGCTCAGGCACAGGCTCAGGCACAGGCTCAGGCTCAGGCACAGGCTCAAGCACAGGCTCAGGCTCAGGCCCAGACACAGGCTTAGGCACAGGCTTAGGCACAGGCTCAGGCACAGGCTCAGGCACAGGCACAGGCACAGGCTCCCTTGTCGCCTTGTTTTCTCCAATTGATGCTCTGCAATTGTTTGAGGGATTACTCTAAATATTTCGGCAAGTTCACGTGTAGTTTGTCGAAGATTAATTTCGATCGCCTGCTTCAGGATTATCGATCGCTTGCATTGGATTATCGATTGTAGGAGGCCGTCGTTGGTTGTCCTCATCTTCCAAAGATTCATTTCCTTCTCGTTGAAACCAAATCGTTGAAACCATCGTCGACACTGACTTTCCGAAATAGCATCTTCCCCAAATACTTTGCAGAAATCTCAATTTCCTCCCAAAATCTCTAATTTCTTCCCAAAATCTCTAATTTCCTCCCAAAATCTCTAATTTTTTAGCCAAAAATTCATCATACAGTACTCAGGAGCTATGCTTTTGAAAGTTTACAGAAAAATCCCCAAAAATTACCGTAAATACTGTAATTGGACCCCACCCCTCTAATAGTACCCCCCCTCTAATAGTACCCCACCCTAGAGGGGGAGGGAAAAAATAATACCCCACCCCTCTAATAGTACCCCACCCCACCTAACGCGTAATTACAAACAACGCTTTTAAAGCGGAAAATTTTCATGTATTTTCAGAAATCGTTTGTATTTTTAATTTTATCCCATAAATTTGTTGTTTTTAAATTTGGGCTGGCTACTTTGCGCCAAATTTTTTGCACAGCTTGCCATAACTTTCTTCTAAGTGGGCCAAGCTTTACGATTGTAGATCTCAACAAGTGCAACAAAGTAACACCAAAATCATAAAGATTGGCCCACTTAGAAGACTTGAACCACTTAGAAGACTTGAACCACTTAGAAGCCACTTGAACTCGGAGGGGATTGATATCGGTTTGGCTGAATGGATCGTCGAGCCGAGAAGAAACGAGTGACACGCCGGATTATCTGGAATGAAGCGGCTAATCGATTCGAAAAAGCTGAAATTTCTTTCAAAAGAAGCCATGGCTGGATGGAGTCGTTCTTGAGGCGCCACCAACTTTCTTTGAGGGCACCAACAACAACTTGTCAAAAGCTGCCGAGCGAATTTGAGAAGGCCATCGTCAAGCACATTTTGAGGCTGAACAAGACAATCGAAGAAGGCGATTACAAGCACATTGTTGATTGCGATGAGACGGCGGTTTGGCTGGATGCTTCGACGGGCAAGTGCATCCAAGCGGTTGGAGCCAACGAAGTTGGTGTTCTCACCCGCGGCTACGACAAGATGAATATATCCGTGATGTTCACTGCTCGTTCTGATGGGAAAAAGTTGCGCCCTTTTGTCGTGGTGCCTCGGAAGACGATGAACAAAAAAATCGAGACAAAGTTCCAATCGAAGTTATTGCTCTGTTCGAAAGCGAAGAAAAGCAAGTACATCGATAACGAGATCACGGCGAAATATTTGCAACGCTCTTTCGGTGGACTGGTCTTTAATCTATTGTACTTACAGGCGATGAGAAATGCTCGGACAGAGGCAGAAATCGAGGACCTCTTGGAACCGCTTGCATCAACGCGACTTCAAGGACATCGAGGAATTGATGAGCAAGAAAATGATGAATTCATTGATTCAGATGTTTCTATTGATTTAGCTTGTTAGTTGGTTTTGTTTCGTTTTGCTGTGAAATTTTCAAATGGTTAAAACCAATAAAAACTAAAGTACAAGTTGGCTTTTGAACAAATTATTTAAATGTATCCTGATTTGGTAACTTGCATAGTGGTGTAAAATAGTAACCCACCCTCTAATAGTGCCCCACCCTCTAATAGTACCCCACCCTAGAGGGGGAGGGAAAAAATAGTACCCCATGGGGTCCAATTACAGTATTTACGGTACCTGAAAATATCACAAGAACGCTCAAAAACTGATCAAAAACGCTCAAAAACTGATCAAAGACGCACAAAAACCACTTTTTCACATTTCCCTAGTCTCTGAATTCTCTTAAAACCAAAAGAAGCCTCTATATATCTCAAAAATCTTCAATATCACCAATAAAAACCTTCGCAAACCAAAAAACAAAACTTTTTACTCAAAAAAAACGCGAAAATGATCTCGGGCGGGATCGAACCGCCGACCTTCTGTGTGTTAGACAGATGTGATAACCACTACACCACGAGACCGATGAGGGAGGGCGGCGGGAAAGGGGTTTCGTGGGCATGACCTTCAAAGAAGGAGAAAGATTGGCACTTTGAAGAGAAGTTAGAGAAAAAAAGGCTTATTTTGAAGAAATTCGAGAAAATCTTGGATTGGCGCTTTAAAATGTGGTAAAACTACCGTACCCCTCCTAAAAAAGACAAGGCGAAATTTCATTTTTTTTCATTTTTTTTCATTTTTTTCATTCTTCTTCATCTTATTTTATTTTTTTTGCGTTTTTCTGATGTAATCGCGTTTGTTTTTGCAGGAAACAAAGAGGATAAAGCTAATTTACGTTTTTATTGGAACCATATTGGGGCGTGGGACAAATGCGACCTTTTTTTGCGCACCTGGACATTTGCGCACCTTTTTTTTGCTGGAAAAGGCCTTAGGAAAGGTCGTAGAGCTTCGAAAATATTTCCATATAAAGGGAATCGTATGCGTAGATTCCGAATTTCGACAAATCAGACCTCGCTGACAAGTCAAATTTGGGCTAAAAGGCAAAAACTACGCAACTTAACGCTTTTCCCCAGCTTTTGCCTTTTAACCCAAATTTGACGTGTCAGCGAGGTCTGATTTGTCGAAATTCGGAATCTACGCATACGATTCCCTTATATGGAAATATTTTCGAAGCTCTACGACCTTTCCTTTTCCAGCAAAAAAAAGGTCGCATTTTTCCCACCCCCCATATTGGAACCATATTGGAATCGTATCCGAACCATATTGGAACCATATTGGAATAGAAAATCTTGGATTGACGCTTTAAAGTGTGGTAAAACTACCGTACCCCTCCTAGAAAAGACAAGGCGAAATTCCATTTTTTTCATTCTTGTTCATTTCATTTTTTTTTCATTCTTCTTCATTTTATTTTATTTTTTTGCGTTTTTCTGATGTAATCGCGTTTGTTTTTGCAGGAAACAAAGAGGATAAAGCTAATTTACGCTTTTAACAGCATTTTCTATGGCGGAAGCTTTGTTTGTAGGGTTTTTTAGACCCACTTGCTTCCTTTTAGATCTGCTCTACGAACTTGATGCCAACAAATGTTAAGTTAAGTGGTTTTTATCAGTTTCTATTTTCTTGTTTTTAGTTTTTAGACCACTTGCCTCCTTTTAGGTCTGCTCTACGAACTTGATGCCAACTAATGTTAAGTTAAGTGGTTTTTATCAGTTTCTATTTTTTGTTTTTAGTTTTTAGACCACTTGCCTCCTTTTAGGTCTGCTCTACGAACTTGATGCCAACTAATGTTAAGTTAAGTGGTTTCTATCATTCCGTATTAAGTTAAGTGGTTCTTTTCCAATATCGGGGGAGCGGAAGGATTATCGGGGGAGCGAAAGGAAAATCGGGGGAGCAAATTTTGGCAGCGCTACATATGTCCTATATTATACAAACTACCGCCATAAAATCCGCGAATTACCCGTTATTCTCACAACCTTTATATTAGATTTATATTAGCGAAATAGATCTTTTCCCTTTGAGCGGACTTTCATCGATTCGCCACAATTGCAAATCCACGACTGGATGACTCCTTTGGTGACGAAATAATCGATTGCTGTCGATTCCTTGAACGCACAAATATCGGAGAAGGCGCAACGTCGTTAAAGTTTGAAAAAAAAACGTTGCAGTTAAAGTATAGTCCCGGAAATGCATTTTTCGAGGGGGCAAAATTTGCTCCCCCGATTTTCCTTTCGCTCCCCCGATAATCGGACCGCTCCCCCGATATTGGAAAAGTACCAGTTAAGTGGTTTTTATCATTTTCTATGGCGGAGGCTTTGTTTGTAGAGTTTTTTTGAGACCCACTTGCTTCCTGATGATCTGCTTCACAAACTTGATGCCAACAAATGTTAAGTTAAGTGGTTTTTATCATTTTCTATGGCGGAGGCTTTGTTTGTAGTTTTTAGACCCACTTGCTTGCTTTTAGATCTGCTCTACGAACTTGATGCCAACTAATGTTAAGTTAAGATTTTAAAGGCATTTAACTAATTAGACATTTTAAAACCATCATTCTCAATAATTTATTCAAAATTTCAGCGAAAAGTGATTTCAAAGCCGACCGGTGGCAAAAAAGCAAACAAAACATCAAATTTTGAAAAAAAAAATCGTTTTTTAAGCAATTATCAGCTATTTTCTTTGATCAAATGATAAAATAAGCGTAAAATTTTAAAGCAACAGGGTTTTTTTTGAAAAGAAAAAGTGAAAAAAATGCCCGTATTCTTTGCGAGGAGCGAGAAAAAGCGAAATTAATCTTGAAATCTTGAATATAGCAAAAATTTTGCAAAAAAAAAGATGAAAACCTGCTCCTTTATCACAATATTTTCTTGAATTTGATATGTTTTTTTTTTCAAATTCGATAATCCATCTATTCCTTGACGTAATTGCTCGGAAATAGCCCGACTTGTGTCCCGACTTTCCCTTGCCACCAGCCAGAATCGTCTGAAATTGGAAACCTTAATGCTTTTTTAGTTTTGTGGTTTTTTTAACGAATACGGTGAATTTTCATAAGCTTTTTAGCATTTTAAACTTTCAGCTACTTTCAGCTGAACCTTAGCCTGAGTCTGAGCCTTGTCCTGGACCTGAGCCTTGTCCTGGATCTGAGCCTTGTTCTGGACCCGAGCCTTGTCCTGGATCTGAGCCTTGTCCTGGATCTGAGCCTTGTCCTGGACCTGGGCCTTGTCCTGGACCTGAGCCTTGTCCTGGAGCTGAGCCTTGTCCTGGACCCGAGCCTTGTCCTGGATCTGAGCCTTGTCCTGGATCTGAGCCTTGTCCTGGAGCTGAGCCTTGTCCTGGATCTGAGCCTGAGCCTGAGCTAGTTTAGGCGTAGGTTAGGTTTAGCTTAGGCTTACGAGGGAATGGTCTTGACTTAAAGCAGGGAATCGATCCGAAACCAAGTGGACCTTATAGAATCGGCAACGGAGATTCATAATCTGCAAAAATTAGCTGCCAACTCGACCTGGATCCCGAGATATTTAGTTCTATAAGGTTCACTTGGTTTCGGATCGATTCCCAACTTTGAGTTGAGACCATTGCCTCTAGGCTTGGCTTAGGCTTAGCTTAGGCTTAGCTTGGGTTTAGCTTGGGTTTAGCTTGGGTTTAGCTTGGGTTTAGCTTAGGCTTAGGCCGATTCTTCTGTACCTAGGGTCATCTTTTGACAAGTTAACCGACTAGTACTTCTTCGGTACTTTGTTCAGAACCGATTAGTACTTTGTTCAGAACACTTTTTTGTCTAGTTTTTTGTCTAGTCTACAATCTTATTCACTCACGCTTCTGCACGAGTTCAATCTCTTGTCCAATTTCGAAGCTCAGCTCATCTGTATCCTGTGCATCATATGCGTAAAGAGCGGTGACTGTTGGGAGAAGTTTTGGCTTTACTGGGGGACGAGGTTTGTTTGGACGAGGCGCAGGGCGAACCTGGAAATGGGAAAATTTAAATAATTGGATAATTCTATAGTTAATTAAATGATTTTATAGCTAATTAAATAATTCTATATCTAATTAAACAATTCTATATCTTTTTAAGCCTCTTTCTCATCTCATTTTTGGCTGTGAGATAGCTGTCCTGAAAGATTTTGAACGTTAAGTTAGAACGTACTGTAAGTTAGAACGTACTGTTAGAACGTACTGTTAGAACGTACTGTTAGAACGTACTGTTAGAACGTACTGTTAGAACGTACTGTTTAAAACGTACTGTAAGTTAGAACGTACTGTGAGCTAGAACGTACTGTAAGTTGGAACGTACTGTAAGTTAGAGCGTACTGTAAGCTAGAGCGTACTCTAAGCTAGAACGTACTGTTAGAACGTACTGTAAGTTAGAACGTACTGTTAGAACGTACTGTTAGAACGTACTGTTAGAGCGTACTGTAAGTTAGAACGTACTGTGAGCTAGAACGTACTGTAAGTTGGAACGTACTGTAAGTGAGAGCGTACTGTAAGCTAGAGCGTACTCTAAGCTAGAACGTACTGTAAGTTAGAACGTACTGTTAGAACGTACTGTTAGAACGTACTGTAAGCTAGAACGTACTGCAAGTTAGAACGTACTGTTAGAACGTACTGCAAGTTAGAACGTACTGTTAGAACGTACTGTAAGTTAGAACGTACTGTTAGAACGTACTGTTAGAACGTACTGTAAGTTAGAACGTACTGTTAGAACGTACTGTTAGAACGTACTGTTAGAACGTACTGTAAGCTAGAACGTACTGTAAGTTAGAACGTACTGTTAGAACGTACTGCAAGTTAGAACGTACTGTAAGTTAGAACGAACTGTTAGAACGTACTGTAAGTTAGAACAAACTGTTTTTGACGTAACGTACTGTAAGTTAGAACGTACTGTAGGTCAGAGCGTACTGTAAGTTGGCCAGTATTTAGAGACTCAAAAAGCTCTGTACGTTGAGTTCAAAGTACGCGAAAGGTTTTTTTTCCTCACCGCATTTGTCGGCTGCAATTGTTGCTGTCCAATGTTGAGCCCAGCCAATGGAGTTGCAATTCCACCAATCGATGGCCCAGTGACTCCAGATCCATTGGCATTCTTGTGCCCGCCATGAGCCGGCGCTGCTGGAGCGGTGGAGTCTAAAAGCCTCCAGTTAAGAAGTGAATTATAGAACCAGTTATAGAACTGAAAAGTGATGTACTTCGTTTCCGGGATTTCTAAGGTTTTAGGGTTGAAACTATTCTAATCTTTTAGTCAATTGTCAACTAGCTATAATAGCCTGCTTACTGTAGGGTTGCTGTAGCTCGAACAGTTGTCTAGCCTGACCCTAGACCAGGTCTAGCTTTTGAAACAGCGCCAGCTACTGTAATCCTGTCTTACTCAACTCTGACGTCGATGTCTAAAGACGTCTAAAAACACTTTACCAAACTATGTATGAATTAGCATTAGAGGATTAGATTTTTATGAATTACTGTAGGATTATTGTAGTACTGTAGGATTATTGTAGAACTATTGTAGCCAAATCACTAAAACTCACATCCGCTTCTTCTCGGCTCCACCTCGTACTCATTGACGCCCAGCGAGCTTGGTGGGCTGAAATGAGGATTGAGGAATCTATTGACTACAATCTATCAACTACAATCAATTGACTACAATCTATAGACTACAACCTATAGACTACAACCAATTGACTACAACCAATTGACTACAATCAATTGACTACTATTGACTACTATTGACTACAATCAATTGACTATCAATTGACTAAATCTCCTTACATCTAGATTTATCATCTAAATATCTACTTATTCTGATACCCAGCCGCCATTCCCATTTGTGGCTGCGCCGGTCGACTGGGCGCTTTCTTCGTCGATCGTCTACCCTGCGTCTGACGCTGGTATCCGCCTTCAGGACGCGTCGTTCGGGGTCCTTAAATGTGAAATTTTTAAATCCCATACACTTATCCATATCTTTATCTATCTACCTAAATATCTAGTTACTTTTTTTTAAAATCGGAAAACCAGAGATCATTGAAACGTATCGAAATAGTATCCGTATTGGAACCGTATTGGATCTAAAAAGAAACCTATTGGAGCCGTATTGGAACCGTATTGGAACCGTATTCGAATCGTATTGAATCTAAAAAGAACCCTATTGGAACCGTATTCGAACCGTATTGGAACCGTATTGGAACCGTATTCGAACCGTATTGGATCTAAAAAGAACCCTATTGGAACCGTATTGGAACCGTATTGGAACCGTATTCGAACCATATTGGATCTAAAAAGAACCCTATTGGAACCGTATTGGAACCGTATTCGAACCGTATTCGAACCGTATTCGAACCGTATTGGATCTAAAAAGAACCCTATTGGAACCGTATTGGAACCGTATTGGAACCGTATTCGAACCGTATTGGATCTAAAAAGAACCCTATTGGAACCGTATTGGAACCGTATTGGAACCGTATTCGAACCGTATTGGATCTAAAAAGAACCCTATTGGAACCGTATTGGAACCGTATTGGAACCGTATTCGAACCATATTGGATCTAAAAAAGAACCCTATTGGAACCGTATTGGAACCGTATTCGAACCGTATTGGATCTAAAAAGAACCCTATTGGAACCGTATTGGAACCGTATTCGAACCGTATTCGAACCATATTGGATCTAAAAAGAACCCTATTGGAACCGTATTGGAACCGTATTCGAACCGTATTGGATCTAAAAAGAACCCTATTGGAACCGTATTGGAACCGTATTCGAACCGTATTCGAACCATATTGGATCTAAAAAGAACCCTATTGGAACCGTATTGGAACCGTATTGGAACCGTATTGGAACCGTATTGGAACCGTATTCGAACCGTATTGGATCTAAAAAGAACCCTATTGGAACCGTATTGGAACCGTATTGGAACCCTATTGGAACCGTATTCGAACCGTATTGGATCTAAAAAGAACCGTATTGGAACCGTATTGGAACCGTATTGAAACCGTATTGGATCTAAAAAGAACCCTATTGGAACCGTATTGGAACCGTATTGGATCTAAAAAGAACCGTATTGCAACCGTACTGGAACCGTATTGGATCGAAACGTTTCAATGAGTAGAATTCTGGCAAGCTAAACGACTGCTGAACGATCTCTAGATCTCTAGATCTCTAGATATTTCTCTTATTTCTGTCCCACTTGTCGTATTTGGCTCTCCCGGTCCAACCATCACCGTCAACGTTTTCCCATTATGTGTCAAGAGCGCTTTCGCTGATCCATTTGGATTACACGAGAAATTCACGATTCGATGTCCGCCACCAAAACGGGTTTTCTGAAAAAAATTGATTAAGAAACTCTAGAAGGGTTTAAAGCTATAGTAATCAAATGTTTTATTGGATCAGCAATTTAGGCATCAGGACCAGGATCAGCAATTTAATCTTACTGCCTTGGATACTGAATAGCTTTGAACAGAGCCAAAATCAGACTCTCTAGAGTAGGAGTCACTGATTAAAGGTTTCACCTGGTTTCTGGCTGACTCAGGAACTGGCTAGCTTCTGGCTGACTCAAGAACTGGCCAAGATCAAGCCAAGATCAAGCCAAGATCAAGCCAAGATCAAGCCAAGATCAAGCCAAGATCAAGCCAAGATCAAGCCAAGATCAAGCCAAGATCAAGCTAAGCCTGGCTATAGTCATCGTACTTACTAATTAAAATATTGTTCATGTGTATTTGAGCTTTTTCTACGTTCAGTTGGGGAATCGAATGATTTGTAGGCGAGGCCCAAAGCCGGATCCTCGTCATCTAGTTACGAATCGATTCAAGCCTAACCAATTGTTAAAAGTTCGACCTATTCTACTGAGTAAGGCTAAGCCAAAGCCAATCTGGATATCAGACTAGAGTTTTTAGAGTTCGGGTTTTCAATTTTCACTAAAATATTTGTACTCGATGTGCACTGCTGGGAGTTCGTGCTTATTTCAAAAAATTGGCAAGATCCATTTGATTCAAATGGCGTTTTTTCTCTTATCTGGATATCACACTAGAGTTTTTAGAATTCGGGTTTTCGATTTTCATCAAAACATTTGTACTCGATGAGTACAGCAAAGAGTTTGCGATGATTCCGAAAAATTAACAAGAGGAATTTTCTTTGAAATGCGTTTTTTCTTTGGTCTGGATGTCACACTAGAATTGCCACGATTCGGATTTTCGATTTTCATCAAAACACTTGTACTCGATGACTACAGCTAAGAGTTTGCGATGATTCCGAAAAATTGACAAGAGCAATTTTCTTTCAATTGCGTTTTTTCTCTTATCTGGATATCACACTAGAATTGCCACGATTCGGATTTTCGATTTTCATCAAAACATTTGTACTCGATGAGTACAGCTAAGAGTTTGCGATGATTCCGAAAAATTAACAAGAGGAATTTTCTTTGAAATGCGTTTTTTCTCTTATCTGGATATCACACTAGAGTTTTTAGAATTCGGGGTTTCAATTTTCATCAAAACATTTGTACTCGATGAGTACAGCTAAGAGTTTGCGATGATTCCGAAAAATTGACAAGAGCTCTTTTATTTTCATTGCGTTTTTTCTCTTATCTGGATATCACACTAGAATCTTTAGGATTCAGCTTTTCGATTTTCACCAAAACAGATTTGTACCCACCTTCAGCGTTATCGTGTGCGCCGTCTTGAACTCTAGCGCCAGCGTTCCGCCGTTCGTTTTCTCTTTGTACTTTTTGCTGAAAGTTTTTGCTGAAAGAACAGTAAAAGAAAATGCCTTTTACCTCAACGTTGTCAAGAATTCGGTTTTAAATGGTGTTTCGAGGAGTGACGTGTAATCTTCTCTCACGTAAAGGATCACAAAATCGTCTTGATATGGAGAAAGGCCGATTGACTGGATTCGATCGAGGGGGATTTGTCTGAAGGTCTTGCATAAGCTATGGATGCCGTAGATCTACAGGAATCTACAGTAATCCTCTCTACAGTAATCCAGAGTTATCTACTATATATAAAAGTGTCTGTCCGTCTGTCCGTCTGTACGGTCGAATTTTCGGCTTCCCGTGGATCGATTTCTATATTTTTTACTTTGTTAGGCTTAGAATTCTACCTATTTGTGTTTCATATTTCATTTTTCTAAAAAACAAAGGTCATGACACAGTCGGGAGTCGAACCCGACAGATCTTCGCCTCATCTGTGAGCTTTAGACAAGCGCGCTACCGACTGCGCCAGGGAAGCAACGGCGACCGACTAGAAAAACCCGATGTTAAGCGACCAACGAAGCTTTTTTAGCCACGGATTTTAGCCAAGTTTAGCCATAGATCATTGATAAGACCCTTTTTTTCCACCTCAACAAGCGGTCTCGTGGTGTAGTGGTTATCACATCTGTCTAACACACAGAAGGTCGGCGGTTCGATCCCGCCCGAGATCATTTTCCCATTTTTTTGCAACAATAGATTTTTAAAAATATAGAAGCTGTTGGAAATTGTCAGGATTGTTTCAAAAGTAATTTCACTGGTCCAGAGCTGGTCCAGAGCTAGCTCAAAGCTTCGATCCGGCCCGAGATCATTTTCCCATTTTTTTTTGGTTTTTTAAACGTTCGGGAAGTGTTTTTATTGCAGATTTTAGCTTTTGCATTGTTTTTAGTCAAATCAGAGACTGGGGAAAGCAGTTTTTGAAAGCAAAAAAAGCAAAAAAAGCGGTTTTTGTCCTTTCTTGTGCGACTCTCAAGTAACTTTTGCGGGGATTTTTGTGTAAACTTTCAAAAGCATAGCCGCTGAGTAGTATGGGATCAATTTTTCAGGTATTTAGCTAACGCTTCGCCATGCTCTGCTACTTAAATGCGTCTTTTGTTGATATGAAATGTGCTTTTAAATTTGGATTTTGCTGTCATGCAAATTTTGGAATAGTTTACATGGTTTAATGCGTTTATAAGATGTGATTTGGGATTATAGGGAAATTGGCGAGTGCTAGAATTTGTGGATATCGTTTTTTGGGGGCTTAAGAGCTTAGGGGTTAGCGTTTTTCACTAGAACTTTTGCGAGAAATAGGAAAACAAGGCTAGAACAAGACGTAGTTCGGTAGACGTTTTGCAGAAGTTCTGTAGAAGCCCTGTAGTTCTGTAGAAGCTCTGTAGAAGCTCTGTAGTTCTGCAGAGGTTCTGTAGAAGCTCTGTAGTTCTGCAGAAGTTCCGCAGAAGCTCTGTAGTTCTGTAGAAGCTCTGTAGTTCTGCAGAAGCTCCGTAGAACCCCAGCTTAGTTTTTGCGCTCTGCTTCAACTGTTTTTATCGTATAAATCTTGTTATGCAAATTTTTCAAATGCAAAATCGAAAATGATCTCGGGCGGGATCGAACCGCCGACCTTCTGTGTGTTAGACAGATGTGATAACCACTACACCACGAGACCGCCTGGTGGGGGAGGAAAAAAAGGGGCTTATCAATTTTCTGTGGCTGAAGCTTCGTTGGTCGCAGGTGGCTTTTTCGATCATGAATAGTCAAATCACAAATCAAGCAGCTGCGTCAATGTGACCGCTTGGCCTAGTGGTTAGTGTGCTTGGCTTCAGCTCTATGCCTCGCGGGTTCGAACCCGGTTGCAGACATTTCTTTGCTTTTTGTGTTTACGGATGTAGAAACTTTAACTAAACAATTTTAGGGGACTTTTTGGAAAATATATAATGCAAAATGAGTTGTTTATTTGAGAATTTGATAAGAGTTTGGCAATTTGATAATTTGACAATTTAACGCAAAATTGGAGCTGAATATCTTGGGGAATTTCGACAGTTGATCTAGATATTCGGAATTCTTTTCTGACAAATTAAAGCTTCAAAGCAATCCAAAACAAGTAAAGATTAATCTAAAATTGAAAAAAAAAAAAACTCCAAAAGCTTTGCAGGCTAGAGATAATTTCCAATAATCAACTCTAGGATTTGTATTCGCTGCTCAGAACTTCGGCTCTTTGACCATGCTACTCACTGGCACTCACTTTGACCATGCTACTCACTGGCACTCACTCAGATCGATTGAACTCAAAATGGGCAATTTGTGCTTCACTCATTCTCATTATTCTATCCCTAAACGATCTAGAGTATCGGAATTCGCGTAAAAAACTGCAGTAAAACGGGATCTAAGCTCAAAAGCATCCCTAGTAAGTGACAAATCAGATAACTTTCATTCTGTAACAAAAAGATAACAAAGAGTTGATTTACAGAGCGCTAAAACGTAGAAAACATCATTTTTGAGCTTTCTGAGCTTTTTTGAGCTTTCTGAGCTTTTTGAGCCGTTTAAAACAGCATCCTTAGTGGCTAAAAAGGGCTAAAAGTGGCTAAAAACATCCTAAGATCTTCATTCTTTAACAAAAAGATGTTAAAGTTGCTTTTTTATAAAGTTCACCTCTTCAACACCTCGACCAGTTGCCCCTTTTGCGGTCCTTTTGCCACTTTTTCACGTCCAATCAAATTCAGATGTTTTGCTGTGATGATCATGTCCAATTTTGATATCTAAATCATTCTTGATATCTAAATCATTCTTGATATCTAAATCATTGCCCAATTTTGATATCTAAATATCTATCTAAATATTTATCTAAATAAAGAAAAAGATATCTAAATATATGAAAAATCTATAGCTAGAACAAATCAAAACTCGTCCGCCGCCGGGACTCGAACCCACGACCTTTCGCTTGCCATGCAACAGTGCTAACCATTACACTACAATGCAGTTGATTCCCTTACTCCAGAGGGAGTTAGGTTCCAGTTTTCGAAAAAAATGGAAAAATGGAAGTGGAAAAACGACGCCGCCGGTTATGGGGCCCTTTTTAATTCCTGAGAAAAAGGGCCGGGTGGTGTAGTGGATAGTGTGCTCACCCTCCGCTCTGCCCCACCCTGGTTCGAATCTTGCCACTGCCGCAAAATCTTTTTGTTTTCTTTTTAAAGCACTAGAATCGATTTCTAGGTGTTTATGTTTATGTTTAAAGCGTTTAAACAGTAAGAAGGGCTCCTGGAGATGGCTGAAAACAACTTTCCGTGGCAAACAACAACAAAAACTCGAGACCATCTTCCCTCCGACTCTTTTGAGCAATAACTTTCTTCTAAATGGGCCAATCTCTCTGATTTTTGTGTCATTTTGTAGATCTCAACAAGTGCAACAAAATAACACCAAAAGAAGCCAAAGAAAGTTGCCCCTGGCCTTGCCTGGCTTACAGGCCTCTAGGGCCAACCTAGTCTAGCTTTGCCTGGTTGACAAGCCTCTAGGGCCTACCTAGTCTAGCCTGGTGTGACTTACAGGCCTCTAGGGCCAACCTAGTCTAGCCTGGCGTGACTTACAGGCCTCTAGGGCCTACCTAGTCTAGCCTTGCCTGGTTGACAAGCCTCTAGGGCCTACCTAGTCTAGCCTGGTGTGACTTACAGGCCTCTAGGGCCAACCTAGTCTAGCCTGGCGTGACTTACAGGCCTCTAGGGCCTACCTAGTCTAGCCTGGTGTGACTTACAGGCCTCTAGGGCCTACCTAGTCTAGCCTGGCGTGACTTACAGGCCTCTAGGGCCTACCTAGTCTAGCCTTGCCTGGTTGACAAGCCTCTAGGGCCAACCTAGTCTAGCCTTGCCTGGCTGACAAGCCTCTAGGGCCAACCTTTTGTTTATAAACAGTAAGAAGAGCTCCTAGAATAGGCTGAAATGGCTGAAATCACTGAAATCACTTTTTTCTTTTTCAACTAGATCAAAAACTCGTGCTGGGACTCGAACCCACGACCTTTCGCTTGTCAGACAACTGTGCTAACCATTACACCACAATGCATTTGATTCCCCTAGTTTAGAGTTAACTATACCTAGCTTTTAAAAAAGGCTAAACACCTTAAAACGTCGATCGTATTTGTTGCACGTTGTGGCGAAATCGATCCGTTCGCGTTTCCCGACAAGAACCTGAACGATTTGAAGATTTGGAGATTAATTTCCATCTTAATCTCCATCTAATCAATAAATAGCTAATGCAAATTACTTGTAGAGCTGGATGATGTTCGATTCCAATGTAATCCCCAACGAAATTTCGATTCAATGAGAAACGACGACGCTCCTTTTTCCCGTACAATAAATCGCTGGCTTGCTCCTGGAAAAGATTAGAGATTTAAGTATTTCGTTCTCTTCTATTACCTAGTAGACAGCTATCTAGATACCGTAGCTAGTATCCTACCGTAGCTAGTATCCTACCGTAGCTAGTATTGTACCGTAGCTAGTATCATACCGTAGCTAGTATTGTACTGTAGCTAGTATTGTACTGTAGCTAGTATCATACCGTAGCTAGTATTGTACTGTAGCTAGTATTGTACTGTAGCTAGTATCATACCGTAGCTAGTATTGTACTGTAGCTAGTATTGTACCGTAGCTAGTATTATACCGTAGCTAGTATTGTACCGTGGCTATGTTGCCGTAGCTAGTATTGTACCGTAGCTAGTATTGTACTGTAGCTAGTATCATACCGTAGCTAGTATCCTACCGTAGCTAGTATCATACCGTAGCTAGTATCATACCGTAGCTAGTATTGTACCGTAGCTAGTATTGTGCCGTAGCTAGTATTGTACCGTAGCTAGTATTGTACTGTAGCTAGTATCATACCGTAGCTAGTATCCTACCGTAGCTAGTATCATACCGTAGCTAGTATTGTACTGTAGCTAGTATCATACCGTAGCTAGTATTGTACCGTAGCTAGTATTGTGCCGTAGCTAGTATTGTACCGTAGCTAGTATTGTACTGTAGCTAGTATCATACCGTAGCTAGTATCATACCGTAGCTAGTATTGTACCGTAGCTAGTATTGTACTGTAGCTAGTATCATACCGTAGCTAGTATCCTACCGTAGCTAGTATCATACCGTAGCTAGTATTGTACTGTAGCTAGTATCATACCGTAGCTAGTATTGTACTGTAGCTAGTATTGTACTGTAGCTAGTATCATACCCTGGCTAGTATTGTACCTGGCTAGTGTTGTACCGTAGCTAGGATTGTACTGTAGCAAGTATCATACCGTAGCTAGTATCCTACCGTAGCTAGTATCATACCGTAGCTAGTATTGTACTGTAGCTAGTATCATACCGTAGCTAGTATTGTACCGTAGCTAGTATTGTGCCGTAGCTAGTATTGTACCGTAGCTAGTATTGTACTGTAGCTAGTATCATACCGTAGCTAGTATCATACCGTAGCTAGTATTGTACCGTAGCTAGTATTGTACTGTAGCTAGTATTGTACTGTAGCTAGTATTGTACCGTAGCGATAAAACAACCCAGCAACAAAAGAGTTTATTAATTTAAAAGAAAGAGAAAACTTTGGCAGCACGGGGAATCGAACCCGGATCTTGTAGGCTGTAGGCGAGAGCCCTCCCGACTGCACCATGACCACATAGCTAGAAGCCAGAAAAACTCGCTGTTAACCCTTGCTTTTAGGCCTCACTGTTATAAAACGGTAGTCCATTCCCTTCCCCAACCTCAAAACCCCTTTTTCCGATCGCCCTCCCACAGCCGCATTAGCTCAGTTGGTAGAGCGTCAGACTTTTAAACGGAAGGGTATCTGAATGTCAGGGGTTCGAGCCCCCTATGCGGCTAATCATTTTTAAAATTTCTTTTTTTTTTAGGGAATGCTTTGCTGGGGGTTTTTAAAGGGTTTTCTAATAGAATCTTGTGAATTCAGTGCACTAGGAAGGATGCGTTTACGAGTACGAAATTATTTTCTGGGGTTCTTGACGGGTTTTCGAGAAGATTTTTTTGGTTTTAGCTCGTTTTAATGGATGGAATTGGTTTCTAGCAGTTTTTGGGTGAAAATTGGCTCTCTGATAGAGCCTTGGCTCTCTAATAGAGACAAGAATTCTATCCGACAATATGAGGCCGGAGAGAGCCAGACTGCTGCTATGCACAACGATCCAAGGGTAACGTTAAAAGCGATTTTCTAAAAATCTGATCAATCCAAATTCTTACATGATATCCAACTAAGATAATCCCAAAGTTTCCTTAAAATCCGTCTATCTCAAAAAGAAGTTAATAGGGCGAACAGGTTCCAGGCAATTCCTCCCCCAACAACCAAAAACAGACCAATCCAAATTCTTACATGATATCCAACTAAGACAATCCCAAAGTTTCATCAAAATCCGTCTACTCAAAAAGAAGTTAATAGGGCGAACAGGTTCCAGGCCAATTCTGCTAATCACTTTTTAAACGGAAAGCAATCTGAATGTCCAGGGTTCGGGCCCCCTATGCGGTTAATTGCTTTTGAATTTTTCTTTTCTTGGGAATTCTTTGCTGGGGGGGGGTTTCTTAAAGGGTTTTCTTGTAGGAAAAAGAATAATCTTTCGGATGCATTCTCTTAGAAAATCCCAAAATCCACCTTCATCTTGACATGATGTCTCCTAGCATTGTGTCTTCTCCACGCTTTCTGGATTTTCCTTGCGAAACCATCGTATTTCCTCTCGCGTACCTCCTCCAGCAAGAATAGCTGTAAAGTTTCGGTTTGAAATGCTAATTTGAGGGATTTGAGGGCTTGATTTGAGCGATTTAAATGCTAATTTTCGGCTTTAAATGCTAATTTGAGGGCATTAAATGCTAATTTGAGGGCCCTGAAGGCTATTTGAGGGCCTTAAATGCTAATTTGAGGGCCTTGAAGGCTATTTGATGGCCCTGAAGGCTATTTGAGGGCCTTAAATGCTAATTTGAGGGCCTTGAAGGATATTTGAGGGCCCTGAAGGATATTTGAGGGCCTTAAATGCTAATTTGAGGGCCTTGAAGGATATTTGAGGGCCCGAAGGATATTTGGGGGCCCTGAAGGCTATTTGAGGGCCCTGAAGGCTATTTGATGGCCCTGAAGGCTATTTGAGGGCCCCTGAAGGCTATTTGAGGGCCCTGAAGGCTACCCTGAGGGCCCCTGAAGGCTATTTGGAGGGCCCTGAAGGCTTGAGGGCCCTGAAGGCTATTTGAGGGGCCCTGAAGGCTATTTGAGGGCCCTGAAGGCTATTTGGGGGCCCTGAAGGTTGAGGGCCCTGAAGGCTATTTGAGGGCCCTGAAGGCTATTTGAGGGCCCTGAAGGCTATTTGAGGGCCCTGAAGGCTATTTGAGGGCCCTGAGGCGGCCGGGGGCCCTGAAGGCTATTGGGGGCCCTGAAGGCTATTTGGGGGCCCTGAGGCTATTTGAGGGCCCTGAAGGCTTGAGGGCCCTGAGGCTATTTGAGGGCCCTGAAGGCTATTTGAGGGCCCTGAAGGCTAATTTGAGGGCCCTGAAGGCTATTTGAGGGCCTTAAAGGCTATTTGAGGGCCCTGAAGGCTATTTGAGGGCCCTGAAGGCTATTTGAGGGCCCTGAAGGCTATTTGAGGGCCCTGAAGGCTATTTGAGGGCCCTGAAGGCTATTTGAGGGCCCTGAAGGCTATTTGAGGGCCCTTGAAGGCGAGGGCTGAGGCCTGAGGGCCCTGAAGGGCTATTTGAGGGCCCCTGAGGCTATTTGAGGGGCCTGAAGGCTTTGGGGCCCTGAAGGCTATTTGAGGGCCCTGAAGGCTATTTGAGGGCCCTGAAGGCTATTTGAGGGCCCTGAAGGCTATTTGAGGGCCCTAAAGGCTATTTGAGGGCCCTGAAGGCTATTTGAGGGCCTTAAAGGCTATTTGAGGGCCTTAAATGCTAATTTTCGGCTTTAAATGCTGATTTTCGGCTTTAGATCCTAATTCGAGGGCCTTAAATGATTAAAATCCATTAAAATTCATTTAAATTCATTCAAATCCATATAAATCCATTCAAATCCATTCAAATTCATTCAAATCCCTTCAAATCCCTTCAAATCCATTTAAATCCACTCATTTCAATGCCATAATCCCCTTTACAAACCGATTCCGGATTTTTGATGAAAACTTTCGAGCGTCCCATTTGAAATTGATCTGGATCGAGCTTCACACTGCGACAAATGATCTGAATTTGAATTGAATTCATTTGAATTTTGTCAGTTTATACCATCATTCATGCAAAAACACAGATCTTTCAATTTATTCTCGAAATTTACGAGTTTACGGCCATTTTCTTAGTCATCTTTTGACTAATAAAGCTAAAAATTCTTTAGAAAATCTTAAGATAACAATATAGTTCGCTGTTATAAAACAGTAGTCCAGTTATCAATTCCCTTTCCCCAACGTCAAAACCCTTTTTCCCAGACCCCTGCCCTCGCAGCCGCATTAGCTCAGTTGGTAGAGCGTCAGACTTTTAATCTGAATGTCAGGGGTTCGAGCCCCCTATGCGGCTATTTTGCATTTCTCTTTTTTTAGGGAATTCTTTGCTAGGGTTTCTTAAAGGGTTTTCGAGAAGAATTCTTGATTTTAGCTTGTTTTAATGGATTGAATTGGTTTCTAGCAGTTTTTGGGTGAAAATTGGCTCTCTATCAGACGATATGAGGCGGGAAAGAATCTGGTGTCAGTCACAATGATCCAAGGATAACGTTAAAAGCTATTTTCTAAAAATCTGTTCAACCCATATTCTTACATGATATCCAACTAAGACAATCCCAAAGTTTCATCAAAATCCGTCTACTCAAAAAGAAGTTAATAGGGGGAACAGGTTCCAGGCAATTCCTCCCCCAACAACAAAAAACTGACCAACCCAAATTCTTACATGATATCCAACTAAGAGAATCCCAAAGTTTCATTAAAATCCGTTTACCCAAAAAGAAATTAATAGGGTGAACAGGTTTCAGACAATTTTTCTTGATTTGAGCTCGTTTTAGTGGGTGGAATTGGTTTCTATTAGCCAGAGTAGATATTGACAGCCAGATATTGACAGTAGTCTGGACTACTGTCAGACACAACGATCAACGGGTAAGATCAAAAGCGATTTTTTTGAGGGCCTTAAATTTTCTAAAAATCTGACCAATCCAAATTCTTACATGATATCCAACTAAGGCAATCCCAAAGTTTCATCAAAATCCGTCTACTCAAAAAGAAGTTAATAGGGGGAACAGGTTCCAGGCAGTTCTTCCCCAATAACCCAAAAAAAGAAAACATTAAAATCTGACCAATCCAAATTCTTACATGATATCCAACTAAGACAATCCCAAAGTTTCATTAGAATCCATCTACTGAAAAAGAAGTTAATAGGGTGAACAGGTTCCAGGCAGTTCTTCCCCAATAACCCAAAAAAAGAAAACATTAAAATCTGACCAATCCAAATTCTTACATGATATCCAACTAAGACAATCCCAAATTTTCATCAAAATCCGTCTACCCAAAAAGAAGTTAATAGGGGGAACAGGTTCCAGGCAATTCCTCCCCCAACAACCAAAATCTGACCAATCCAAATTCTTACATGATATCCAACTAAGGCAATCCCAAAGTTTCATCAAAACCTCTTTACTCAAAAAGGCTTGGTATTCGCTAGAACAACAAAATCGCCCTTCCCCAATATGAAAATCCCTTTTTTCCGATAACTCCCTCGCGGCCGCATTAGCTCAGTTGGTAGAGCGTCAGACTTTTAAACGGAAAGCTATCTGAATGTCAGGGGTTCGAGCCCCCTATGCGGCTAATCTTTTTTTTGAATTTTTTCTTTTTTCAGCAGATTCTTTTCTCGAGTTCGTGACGGGTTTCTTAAAGGGTTTCTAATAGAATCTGTAGAACTCAGTGCACTAGAAAGGATTCGTTTACAAGTTTTTGAGCACAAAGTACATAGAGGTCAGTCAGAGAGTCAGAGAGGTCAATGGTCAATGGTCAATGGTTCAGCTGATTTTTCTAGTCCAAAATAAACAATCTAAACTTCTTTTCTTGTAATTTCTTGTAGTCTTCTCGTAAACGCAGAGGATCTGGTGCACAAGAGAGAGCATTTTTGCAGCAAAAGAGCTCAAGAGAGATTTTTTTGTCGATTTCCCACCTCGCATCCCTGTTTTGGATCTCCGCGATATGTGGGCCATGTCTGTTCGGTTAAAATGGCATATCTGAATTTGTAAAGAAGTTACAGCGCTCATTTACAGCTTTCTAGATTTCTATAGCTCTCTATAGCTCTCCATAGCTCTCTATAGCTCTCTATAGCTCTCTATAGCTCTCTATAGCTCTCTATGGCTCTCTATAGCTCTCTATAGCTCTCTATATCTAGCTTTGTTTGATCACACCTCCACAGAAATTTCTCGAACGGTCGTCGATATGCGTATCCAGCTCGTCGCACTCGAATATTCTCCTTTAGTCCCAAATAAACGACCTGGTGATGGACTCTGAAAAGGAAATGAATTGATTAAATCGCTTTTTTAATATAATAAATGATTACTCTTTCTTGGCGAACACAAAGAACACTAGTTCTTGAAAAAAAGAAACGAAGTCACGGGAACTTTATTTTACATTTTTAAGGCTCAAGGTTAATAGGAATCATGATTGGAATCAGACCATTCGAGTTCAAACCAATTTCTCTTGAAACTCAAACGATTTTTGGAATTTGAATCAATTTTTCGTCAATCTGGAAGTCACGGAACTAAATTTTACATTTTAGGCTCAAAGTTAATTGGAATCATGATTGGAATCAGACCATTCGAGTTCAAACCAATTTCTCTTGAAACTCAAACGATTTTTGGAAATTGAATCAATTTTTCGTCAATCTGGAAGTCACGGGAACTAAATTTTACATTTTTAAGGCTCAAAGTTAATTGGAATCATGATTGGAATCAGACCATTCGAGTTCAAACCAATTTCTCTTGAAACTCAAACGATTTTTGGAAATTGAATCAATTTTTCGTCAATCTGGAAGTCACGGGAACTAAATTTTACATTTTTAAAGCTCATGGTTAATTGGAATCATAATTCGAATCAGACCATTCGAGTTCAAACCAATTTCTCTTGATACCCAAACAATTTTTGGAAATTGAACCAATTTTTCGTCAATCTGGAAGTCACAAGAACTAAATTTTACATTTTTAAGGCTCAAGGTTAATTGGAATCATGATTGGAATCAGACCATTCAAGTTCAAACCAATTTCTCTTGATACCCAAACAATTTTTGGAAATTGAACCAATTTTTGGTCAATCTGGAAGTCACAGGAAATAAATTTTACATTTTTAAGGCTCAAAGTTAATTGGAATCATGATTGGAATCAGACCATTCGAGTTCAAACCAATTTCTCTTGAAACTCAAACGATTTTTGGAAATTGAATCAATTTTTCGTCAATCTGGAAGTCACGGGAACTAAATTTTACTTTTTAGGCTCAAAGTTAATTGGAATCATGTTGGAATCAGACCATTCGAGTTCAAACCAATTTCTCTTGAAACTCAAACGATTTTTGGAAATTGAATCAATTTTTCGTCAATCTGGAAGTCACGGGAACTAAATTTTACATTTTTAAAGCTCATGGTTAATTGGAATCATTCGAATCAGACCATTCGAGTTCAAACCAATTTCTCTTGATACCCAAACAATTTTTGGAAATTGAACCAATTTTTGGTCAATCTGGAAGTCACGGGAATTTTATCTTACATTTTTAAGGCTCAAGGTTAATTGAAATCATAATTCGAATCAGACCATTCAACTTCAACCCAATTTCTCTTGAAAATGAAAAGATTTTTGGAAATTGAACCAATTTTTCGTCAATCTGGAAGTCACGGGAACTAAATTTTACATTTTTAAAGCTCATGGTTAATTGGAATCATGATTGGAATCAGACCATTCGAGTTCAAACCAATTTCTCTTGAAAATGAAAAGATTTTTGGAAATTGAATCAATTTTTCGTCAATCTGGAAGTCACGGGAACTAAATTTTACATTTTTAAAGCTCATGGTTAATTGAAATCATAATTCGAATCAGACCATTCAAGTTCAATCTAATTTTCTAGTTTATAGTCTATTTCTTGTTGTTTATTGTCTATGATTAGCTTTATTTGTCTATTGTTAGTTTGGGAAACGTTTTAGGAACGAAAAGCTTTGTTAGCTTTGTCTTTGAAAGCTTTAAAGTCTTGAAGGTTGAAAGTCTTGAAGCTTTAAAGTCTTGCAGCTTTCAGCTTTAAGTTCAGCTCTAAGTTCAGCTTTAAGTTCAGCTCTAAGTTCAGCTTTAAAGTTCTCCACAAGCCACCTTTCTTCTTCCCAATCGCCGGCTTTCTTTGTCTCATTCGGTTTTATACAGCGAACGTAATGCGGTGTGCATTTCATCAACGATGAGACTAACTCATTGGCTTGGGTCTAGAAAAGTTTGTTTTACGAAAGAAAAAATCGCCGAAACATACTCGAATCTTTATGGAAACGGTCGTCGGGCGTTTCCCCTGTTGGATCTGATCCGGGAAAAGATTTCTAGCGAATTGACTAAAAAATATAGTAAATACTGTAACGTTAAACGATTCCTTTAACTCACTTATTGCTTTGTTGCATTAGTTGAATCAAATCCGAGTAGAGAACGTCACGATTTCGATCGCAGAAACCATCAATACTGTAGGTGACCTAAGGGAGATTTGAAATTGATTTGAAATTGATTGATTGACGTCAGATTGATTGCTTGATTGATTGATTGCCAGGTTCGACTTGGTTACAAGGTTACGGTAGTTTTCTACGGATTACGGTAATCCTAAAGGATCCTGAACGGTCCTAACCTATCCTGAAGGGCCCTAAAGGATCCTGAAGGGTCCTGAACAGTCCTAAAGGATCCTGAAGGGTCCTAAAGGATCCTAAATGATCCTAAAGGGTTCTGAAGGGTCCTGAACGGTCCTAAAAGATCCTGAAGGGTCCTGAAGGATCCTGAAGGGTCCTGAACGGTCCTAAAGGATCCTGAAGGGCCCTAAAGGATCCTGAAGGGTCCTGAACGGTCCTAAAGGATCCTGAAGGGCCCTAAAGGATCCTGAAGGGTCCTGAACGGTCCTAAAGGATCCTGAAGGGCCCCTAAAGGATCCTGAAGGGCCCTGAACGGTCCTAAAGGATCCTGAAGGGCCCTAAAGGATCCTGAAGGGTCCTGAACGGTCCTAAAGGATCCTGAAGGGCCCTAAAGGATCCTGAAGGGTCCTGAACGGTCCTAAAGGATCCTGAAGGGCCCTAAAGGATCCTGAAGGGTCCTGAACGGTCCTAAAGGATCCTGAAGGGCCCTGAAGGGTCCTGAAGGGTCCTGAAGGGCCCTGAAGGGTCCTGAACGGTCCTAAAGGATCCTGAAGGGCCCTAAAGGATCCTAAAGGATCCTAAACGGTCCTAAAGGGTTCTGAAGGGCCCTGAAGGATCCTGAAGCGCCCTGAACGGTCCTAAAGGATCCTGAAGGGTCCTAAAGGATCCTGAACGATCCTAAAGGATCCTGAAGGGTCCCAAAGGATCCTATATTTTCCCAGAATTTAATCAATTTCAAAGTAAACCATCAAGATTCGATAAAACAACAAAATTCCCTTTCCCCAACCTCAAAACCCCTTTTCCCCCTAGCCCTCTTACAGCCGCATTAGCTCAGTTGGTAGAGCGTCAGACTTTTAATCTGAATGTCAGGGGTTCGAGCCCCCTTATGCGGCTAATAATTTTTTCATTTTTCTTTTTTTAGGGAATTCTTTGCTAGGGTTTCTTAAAAGGTTTTCGAGAAGAATTCTTGATTTGAGCTCGTTTTAGTGGGTGGAATTGGTTTCTAGCAGTTTTTGGGTGAAAATTGGATCTCTATCAGACACTAACTCTATCAAACCATATGAGGCCAGAGAGAGATAGACTGCTGTTATGCACAACGATCCAAGGGTAACGTTAAAAGCTATTTTCTAAAAATCTGTTCAACCCATATTCTTACATGATATCCAACTAAGACAATCCCAAAGTTTCATTAAAATCCGTCTACTCAAAAAGAAGTTAATAGGGGGAACAGGTTCCAGGCAATTCCTCCCCCAACAACCAAAAACTGACCAACCCAAATTCTTACATGATATCCAACTAAGAGAATCCCAAAGTTTCATTAAAATCCGTTTACCCAAAAAGAAGTTAATAGGGTGAACAGGTTTCAGACAATTTTTCCAAATTCGGATTCGATGCCGCATTCTGGAGCACTAAGCTGTCTTAGGGTCAAGTAACAGTAACAAGTAAAAGAGTCAAAGTTGTTCAAAAAGTCAGGGACAGGATCCCCTAGCGCTTGTAAAGTCAAATCTCTTAAACTCACATTTCCCGCATAATGTCGAATGACGAACGAGTCAGCGCCGGTGGCAAAATGCGGGTGATGAGCAACGGATTTCGAGAGAGTCGACAACAACTGAATAGCTTTATTTTGCGATTTAATTTGCGATTCAATTCGCTATCTGTTTTTTAAGTTCTTAAATCTTTGCTAAAGCGCTAAAATGCAATTGGACGGAATCTTTATATACTTTTTAGTCAAATTTTTGATTCAACTGTCTTAGCCGACCGGATAATCCTATCCAGCTGAATCAAATCAGCTAAGACAGCTGAATGAAGTCTTGTCTCCTAGTCCGGGGGTTAAGGGTTCGATCCCGGCGGCTGATTGCTTCTTTATTATCGGTTTTTTTCTAAACAACATTTGGGTAATAGGAGTTTCAATTGATTATAGTCGTAATACCGTATTTTCTCCAATAGTAGTGCACCCGGGTGCACTCCAATAGTGCAGGTATGGGTCTACCTCGAACCCTTCCCCACTTCAGTCTTCAAGGATCTCGCTTGAATATTTGCTACTACCACCAAGATCTGCACCGATGGAAGCTCCAGCTGGACCCACGCCCAAAGCCTACAACGCAAACCACCGCGACCCTCTTGAAGGAAGGCGAAGACCTCTTGAAGCTCCAGAAAGCCCCAAAAAGCTCCAGAAAGCCTCAAAAAGCTCCAGAAAGCCTCAAAAAGCTCCAGAAAGCCTCAAAAAGCTCCAGAAAGCCTCAAAAAGCTCCAGAAAGCCTCTTGAAGCTCCAGAAAAGCCCTTGAAGCTCCAGAAAGCCTCTTAGACCCCAGAAAGCCCCAAAACCCCCGAGACCCAAGCCCAAAAACCCCCAGCCCAGAAACCCCCCCAAACCCCAAAAAAGCCCAGAAAGCCTCAAAAAGCTCCAGAAAGCCTCAAAAAGCTCCTCTTGAAGCTCCAGAAAGCCTCTTGAAGCTCCAGAAAGCCTCTTGAAGCTCCAGAAAGCCTCTTGAAGCTCCAGAAAGCCTCTTGAAGCTCCAGAAAGCCTCTTGAAGCTCCAGAAAGCCTCTTGAAGCTCCAGAAAGCCTCTTGAAGCTCCAGAAAGCCTCTTGAAGCTCCAGAAAGCCTCAAAAAGCTCCAGAAAGCCTCAAAAAGCTCCAGAAAGCCTCAAAAAGCTCCAGAAAGCCTCTTGAAGCTCCAGAAAGCCTCAAAAAGCTCCAGAAAGCCTCAAAAAGCTCCAGAAAGCCTCAAAAAGCTCCAGAAAGCCTCTTGAAGCTCCAGAAAGCCTCAAAAAGCTCCAGAAAGCCTCAAAAAGCTCCAGAAAGCCTCACAAAATCTCCAGAAAGCTTCAAAAAGCTCCAGAAAGCCTCAAAAAGCTCCAGAAAGCTTCAAAAAGCTCCAGAAAGCCTCACAAAAGCTCCAGAAAGCTTCAAAAAGCTCCTCTTTTGCGACCAGGCGGGCATTGCGCTCAAGTCGGCAACGGTCGGGTATAAGTGGTCCGCGCCATCCATTTTCAGGGCTGGACATCACGGGAACTTTATTTTGCATTTTTAAGGGTCTTTTTAAGACATTTTTGCTTAAAAGGGCTTAAAGTAATGACAAAGATCAATACAAAAGAAAGCAGAGGTTTTTTTGATGATTTTAGACTCACTTTCTATGATAATGAAGTTAGAATTTTGATATAAAGTATTTAATCTATAGTATTGAATAATTAAATATTGGGTTGATGCATAATTATCCGGACTTCTTTTTGCGTGCTTGTATCTTTTTTGTTTTGAAAGCTTTTTGTCTATTTCTTTTTTTAAAATATTCGTTATTCTTTAGTGAACAAAATGCGTGTCGACAATCATATCCATCTTCGCCATATCATGCTCTACCACTTCGAAAAGGGATGGTCTGCCGCAGAGTCGTTTCGCGATCTCAAAGAACTGGAGAAGCCCCAACGGACTACCACGTCAATCGATCGCTCAAAAATTGGCAAACAAATAAGATCTACAACGATTTGGATGACTTGATAGACGATGTTAAAGCGTGGATTGCCTCCAAAGATCGTTTATTCTTCGCTCGTGGAATCGATCGTCTTCCAAGCAAATGGCAATCAGTTATTGATGTAGGCGGTGAATATGCTCCAGAATAATCAATTAAACATATTTTTCTAACTATTTATGTCATTTTTTGTTAAATAAAATCATTTATAAAAGAAGTCCGGATAATTATGCATCAACCCAATAGTTTGATCGGCCTTTAAACTTTTGAAAGTTTATCGGAAAAAACTTTAAAAAAGATTGAAGAAAAATTTCGTCACTCTTTTCCCCTCTCCCTTTCACCCCTTTCCCACAAAACCCCTTTCCCGTCGCGGTCCCTCCAGCGGTCTCGTGGTGTAGTGGTTATCACATCTGTCTAACACACAGAAGGTCGGCGGTTCGATCCCGCCCGAGATCATTTTTCCATTTTTTTTTGCAAAAATAGATTTTTAAAGATATAAAAGCTGTTGGAGATTGTCAGGACTGTTTGAAAAGTAATTTCACTGGTCCAGAGCTGGTCCAGAGCCAGCTCAAAGCTAGCTCAAAGCCAGCTCAAAGCTGGTTTCTAGCCGGCCCTTTCCCTGTCAATTCTAGCCAATCCTTTCCCTGTCTAATCTGTCAGTCCTCTCCAAATCTCAACTCCAGCGTCAAAAGTTTTCAGCTTTTGTTTTTTAATCGTTTTTTAATGTTTTTCAATGTTTATAAAGGTTTATAAGGGTTTTATTAAAGATTTTCGGATGTTTTTAGCCACTTTATAGCCTAAGAAACGTCAAAAATGCTGTTTTCTAGGGTTTTTTGCGTCTCTCACCTGCGTATCAACTCCTTCCGAAGTGCCATGATTCTGTGCACACGTATCATCCAATAATGACATGATACCTGCAAAAGAAATCATTAGAAATCATTAGAAATCATTAGAAATGATTAGAAAGCCTTAGAAAGCCTTAGAAATCATTAGAAATCATTAGAAATCATTAGAAATCATTCGAAATCATTAGAAAGCCTTAGAAAGCCTTAGAAATCATTAGAAATCATTCGAAATCATTAGAAAGCCTTAGAAAGCCTTAGAAATCATTAAAAATCATTAGAAAGCCTTAGAAAGCCTTAGAAACCGTTAGAAATCATTAGAAATCCTTAGAAATCATTCGAAATCCTTAGAAAGCCTTAGAAAGCCTTAGAAATCATTAGAAATCATTAGAAACCATTAAAAAGCCTTAGAAAGCCTTAGAAATCATTAGAAATGATTAGAAAGCCTTAGAAATCTTTAGAAATCATTAGAAATCATTAGAAACCACTAAAAAGCCTTAGAAAGCCTTAGAAACCGTTAGAAATCCTTAGAAATCATTAGAAATCATTTGGAAATCATTAGAAATCCTTAGAAATCATTAGAAATCATTCGAAATCATTAGAAACCATTAAAAAGCCTTAGAAAGCCTTTTCAGAAAAATTCAGAGGAGGTTCACAAAAGTCGCTTTATGGAAAATTGACTATTCTAAATATTCTAGCTTTACTTATGAGGAGAGACTTGCTTTTTTTGAACTAAAAACTTTACAGCATCGTCGCTTTGTCATTGATTTAGTCGAAACTTTCAAAATCCTCCTTTGTAAACAGATTAGCCCTTTGTTTATAGACTTTTTCAAATTTAAACCGCGGTCAGGGCCCAGAAGTGGCTCATTCCTTTTGCAAATTCCCTTTGCTTTCAATGCCTCTTTATCAAATTCATTTCCCGTTAGAGCCGCTAGATTATGGAACTTGCTCCCAAACGACATACGAGAAATTCAGTCGCTTTTCATATTCAAGAAACGTATCGATGCTTTAGATCTAGTGGCTCTTTGCCGTAAGTAATTGGCTTATTGATTTCTGTGTGTATTGTATGATTAAGTATCACTGTGCATTTCTCTATGATTTCTTTCACTTTATCGTTTGAATAAAGTATTATTATTATTATTAGAAATCTTTAGAAATCATTAGAAAGCCTTAGAAAGCCTTAGAAAGCCTTAGAAATCATTAGAAATCATTAGAAATCATTAGAAATCATTAGAAATCATTAGAAATCATTAGAAATCATTAGAAATCATTAGAAATCATTAGAAATCATTAGAAAGCCTTAGAAAGCCTTAGAAATGATTAGAAATGATTAGAAACCGTTAGAAATCATTAGAATTCCTTAGAAATGATTAGAAATTATTAGAAATCATTAGAAATGATTAGAAAGCCTTAGAAATCCTTAGAAATCATTAGAAATCATTTGGAAATCATTAGAAATCATTAGGAAATCATTAAAAAGCCTTAGAAATCATTAGAAATCATTAGAAATCATTAGAAAACCTTAGAAAGCCTTAGAAATCATTAGAAAGCCTTAGAAAGCCTTAGAAATCATTAGAAACCATTAGAAATCATTAAAAATCATTAGAAATCTTTAGAAATCATTAGAAATCGAAATCTCGATCTTTTCTACCCATTTCTACATCTAAATATGTGAATTTGAGTATAAAAAAACGAGCCTGGCGGTCGCTTTTCCTCGATCAGCTCGCAAACGATTTTATTATTAAAATACTCGATTTCCGTCCATTTTATGCCTTCCTAAATTCGAAGGATTTATAGAAAACAATCATTTTTTTGGCTCTACCAATTGTAGCTTTCTTTTTAGCTCTACCAATTGTTGGATGATTGGATGATACCTCAACAATTGGATGATAGCTCTACCAATTGTTGATAGAGCTTGAATGCTTGCTGCTGCTGCGTGCTTGAATTCAAAGATGTTTTAGCATTTCTGCAGAATGCAGGAAAATCAAACAAAAGATAGATTTGCGCGCTAGATGCTTTGCGTTTACAGAATTCAAGCACAAAATGCAAGCACAAGCATTATTTCCCGGCATTATACCCGGGATTATTCCCGGCATTATTCCTGGCTGAAGTGGACTTACTAGGGAAATTGCTTAGGGAAATTGGGCTTGAAATCAAGTGGGATGGTCAAGAGCAGGGACTAGTTCAGGACCAGGTCAGTCAACCAGATTCAGATCCATATCCAGGTCCAGAACCAGATTCCGATCAATGTCCAGGTCCAGAACCAGATTCAGATCCATGTCCAGGTCCAGGTCCAGAACCAGATTCAGATCCATGTCCAGGTCCAGGTCCAGAACCAGATTCAGATCCATATCCAGGTCCAGAACCAGATTCAGATCCATGTCCAGGTCCAGGTCCAGAACCAGATTCAGATCCATGTCCAGGTCCAGAACCAGATTCAGATCCATGTCCAGGTCCAGGTCCAGAACCAGATTCAGATCCATATCCAGGTCCAGAACAGGTCCAGAACCAGATTCAGATCCATGTCCAGGTCCAGAACCAGATTCAGATCCATGTCCAGGTCCAGAACCAGATTCAGATCCATGTCCAGGTCCAGAACCAGATTCAGATCCATGTCCAGGTCCAGAACCAGATTCAGATCCATATCCAGGTCCAGAACCAGATTCAGATCCATGTCCAGGTCCAGGTCCAGAACCAGATTCAGATCCATATCCAGGTCCAGAACCAGATTCAGATCCATATCCAGGTCCAGGTCCAGAACCAGATTCAGATCCATATCCAGGTCCAGGTCCAGAACCAGATTCAGATCCATATCCAGGTCCAGAACCAGATTCCGATCAATGTCCAGGTCCAGAACCAGATTCAGATCCATGTCCAGGTCCAGGTCCAGAACCATGTTCAGGTCCAGAACCAGATTCAGATCCATGTTCAGGTCCAGAACCAGATTCAGACCCATGTCCACGTCCAGAACTAGATTCAGATCAATATCCAGATCCAGAACCAGCCTTGGCTTCATTTAGCCTCACCTAGCCCTGAACAACTAGGCTAGAGCATGGCATTATTTCCCGGCATTATTCCCGGCATTTCCCAGCATTATTCCCGGCATTCCCGGCATTTTCCCGGCATTTCCCAGCATTACTCCCGACTCTATTCCCGGCTTTATTTCCCACCTTTACATATTCTTCTTGCTCAGCTTTCAGCGTCAATTCGATGAAGATTTGCTGTAGTTTTTCGTTCACATAATTGATGCTAGAAACGGGGTTTTCTTTTCATAATAATCTTTAAACTATTCACCAAAATTGTTCGAAACCGTTATGATCAAATATCTCGAAGCCGTAAATATCCAAAATGCCAATCGAAAACGAATTTGATGAGGCAGGGATCTTCATTGCGTCGTTCACCGATTGCACTAGAAAATGAGAATTATAAAGGGTGACGAAGAACCGGAACAACGTCGTAGAAGACGCAGAATTACCGCAAAAACCTCGTATTATATTATGAGGCCCATTTCGCTTTTTTTGAGATCTCAAAGATCGAGATCCAAGCGCCTGAATGTCCCCAGAAGCGAAACATTTATGGAACTCGAACGCTATGAAGCTCTGAGCAAAGCTTCTGATCGACTCAGGGATCTGATCGCCCTGGAAGAGGTTCAAAAAGAACAGCGGCTACTCCGGCTAATGTCAAGAAAGTGCGCGATCGTCTAAGATTAGACTTCAACCTAGAGCAGAAAAATTACACCGTACGGCAATGTTCTCAGTGACTTCAAAAGCTAACTGTAAACTCGATCGTAAATCAGCGACCTTTCCTCAGAAGTATTAGAATTTCAAGAAAAACAACAAAATTCTCTTTCCCTAACGTCAAAACCCTTTTTCTCCCTAGGCCTCCTCGCAGCCGCATTAGCTCAGTTGGTAGAGCGTCAGACTTTTAAACGGAAAGCGATCTGAATGTCAGGGGTTCGAGCCCCCTATGCGGCTTATCATTTTTTACATTTCTCTTTTTTTAGGGAATTCTTTGCTGGGGTTTTGTTAAAAGGTTTTCGAGAAGATTTTTTGGTTTTAGCTCTTTTAATGGATGGAATTGGTTTCTAGCAGTTTTTGGGTGAAAATTGGCTCTCTATCAGACGATATGAGGCGGGAAAGAACCTGGTGTCAGTCACAACGATCCAAGGATAACGTTAAAAGCTATTTTCTAAAAATCTGTTCAATCCAAATTCTTACATGATATCCAACTAAGATAATCCCAAAGTTTTATTAAAATCCGTCTACTCAAAAAGAAGTTAATAGGGTGCACAGGTTTCAGACAATTCTTCCAACAACCAAAAACAGAAAACAAAAACTGACCAATCCAAATTCTTACATGATATCCAACTAAGACAAACCCAAAGTTTCATCAAAATCCTTCTACTCAAAAAGAAGTTAATAGGGTGAACAGGTTTCAGGCAATTCCTCCTCCAACAACCAAAAAGGGAAAACATTAAAAACTTGAAATCTCTTCTATTACCTAGTATAGACATCAATCTAAATAGTACCGTAGCTAGTATCGTAACGTAGCGACAAAAACACAACCCAGTAACAATAGAGTTTATTAATTTAAAAGAAAGAGGAAAACTTTCGCGGGACCGGGGACGAACCCGGATCCTGTAGGCTGTAGGCGAGCGCTTTCCCGACTGCACCATGGCGACATCGTTGGCAAGGAGAAAAACTAGCTGTTAAGCCTTGCTGTTAGGCCGCACTGTTATAAAATGTTAGTCCATTCCCTTCCCCAACCTCAAAACCCCTTTTTCCGAACGCCCTCCCACAGCCGCATTAGCTCAGTTGGTAGAGCGTCAGACTTTTAAACGGAAGGGTATCTGAATGTCAGGGGTTCGAGCCCCCTATGCGGCTAATCATTTTTTGAATTTCTCTTTTTTTAGTGAATTCTTTGCTGGGGGTTTTTAAAGGGTTTTGCAATAGAATCTTGTAAATTCAGTGCACTAGAAACGATGCGTTTACGAGATTTTGAGCACAAAGTACAGAAAGGTCGAAGAAGGTCGAAGAAAATGAGGGAGATCAATATGGAATCAGGGAATTCTTTGCGGGAGGTTCTGTAGATCGATACTGTTCTACATTTGCAATTCTACCGTTTCTAGAAGAATGGATAAGGATTGTCCAGCTTTTAGAATGGATAAGGATTTTCCTGAGGGCAAGGACTGGGTGTAAAATAACTGGTTAACTGGTAGATTTAGTTTCTCTTGGATGTACGGCAATTCGAAGAGATCCTCCTGATCGAGCCAACGTAATTCTACAGCCTAGCCACAGTAAGCCTACAGACTCAGCCACAGTAAGCCTACAGCCTTATCCACAGTAAGCCTACAGCCTAGCCACAGTAAGCCTACAGCCTAGCCACCGTAATCCTACAGCCTCAGCCACACTAAGCCTACAGCCTCAGCCACCGTAATCCTACAGCCTAGCCACCGTAATCCTACAGCCTAGCCACAGTAATCCTACATCCAATCCTTAGCCATCTAGAGATCTAGAGAAAATAGAGCTTTTAGCGTCTTAGCGGTTATCGAGGGAATTTCTAACCGCCGCCAATCGATTCTCCGTGTCGATTTACATAGGACACGTGAGCTAAAAATTTGATTTAAAGCTTTTGCAGCTAGCTAGAAGAGCTCAAAGTTTGGTTGTGACGACTTTTTTCGCGAATTGAGCTTTCTTCAATATTAGGGAACCGTTAAAGCTATCGGTAATCATAAAAAAGCTACCGTATTCATAAAAAAGCTGCCGTAAGCTGCCGTAATGACCTGCTGTCATGATTCTCTACTCTTTTTAAGTTTCTGAGTATGGTAGCGCGAGAATCCACTGAAAATCCACTTAGTTCATAGTACGATTTACCGTATAAAACATCGAAAATAACATATAAACTCGACTTTCAGCCCCATAAATTTTCTTTTTTTGAATGTAAATTGTTTAGCGGCTTCTGGACGAAGCTGTTCTTTCAAAAACGCGGAAATCTTTCTCGAAACTCTCTCGAATCTCTCTCTCTCTCTCTCTCTCGAACTCACCAAGAAAGTCGAACATTCTCGAGTAAATCGATTTCACCCATGCATCCCTTGTGTAATTCGCTTGCTCCACATTCAATTGCATATTTATCGTTTCCTGTTTATTTCCCCAACGAGATTCCATTCGTCTAAACATAATCGTTTAGGAAAATCTTTCATTTTTAGGCTGCAAATGAAAGCACTCCTCACAAAGCACTCCTCACAAAGCAGTGCTTATCCTTTCAAAAATCAAAAGATTCCAAGTCTCAGCTAATAAATGTTGTATACTATTAAAAAGCCCTGAATCTCCTCTACAAAATCGTGCAAAAAGATTTTGAATTCGAGTGATTGTTGGGGAGTTGGGTGTTAAAAAGTAACCGCTGGACAGGGACCTGGGCCACGACACAGATCACCAAACGAGCTCTGAGAACTCTGAGAACTCTGAGAACGACACACTGAGCCCTCGAAAGAAACCTCCTAGGGCACAAGAGGAAGACGCAGCTCGATCTAAGAAGTACGGACATGCGCCAGCTCTAGAGACTCAGCTCTTGAGACTCAGCTCTTGAGACTCAGCTCTAGAGACTCAGCTCTCGAGACTCAGCTCTTGAGACTCAGCTCTCCAGACTCAGCTCTAGAGACTCAGCTCTCGAGACTCAGCTCTAGAGACTCAGCTCTAGAGACTCAGCTCTCCAGACTCAGCTCTAGAGACTCACATAAGTGAGCACTGCTTTCATCCCCATCACCCAAATATTCAAAAGAATTTTTTGCTTTTAAAAGCTTCTTTAAAATATTCCTTCCCCCCCCCCCCCCCCCCCCACCCCCCCCCCCACCCCCCCCAACCCCCTCCCTCCCCTTTTTTTCCTTTTTTTCTCCTTTTTTTTTTAACCAAAAAAAAAAAAAAAAAAAACCTTTCCCCAACCCCCTAACCTCCTTGTCCCCCCTTCCCCCCCTCCCCTTCCTCCCCCCCCCTTTTTTTTTTTTTTGTCTTTAATAACTTACAAGTACAAGTAACTCAAGTACAAGTTCAAGTAACTCAAGTACAAGTAATAACTCAAGTACAAGTACAAGTAACTCAAGTACAAGTACAAGTAACTCAAGTACAAGTACAAGTAGCTCAAGTACAAGTACAAGTAGCTCAAGTACAAGTAACTCAAGTACAAGTACAAGTAACTCAAGTACAAGTACAAGTAACTCAAAGTACAAAGTACAATATTTCTGTTCGATATCTTGAGAAATTTCGAAAATAGTAAAAACGCGCATTCATGACTGGGACAAGCCAATAAAAATCGAGCTTTCCCCTCCCACCTTGTCGTGAGTTTTTCCTTGATCGCTTCCGCGGTGAGTCCAAGCAGAAATGCGGGGAATTCGAGGACTAAAAATGAGTACCGTATTTCTTCGACTAGAAGACCGGGTAAAGAGTATGATCGCGTGCTCCTGCGTAGCAGCCCTTTTTAAAATTTCTTTTCTGCATAAAAGCTTTCAATCAAGTGCTATAGAGCTGGAAAATGACTCAAAAATAGCACATGAGCTAACAGATTTTTGAGTCATTTTCCAGCTCTATAGCACTTGATTGAAAGCTTTTATGCAGAAAAGAAATTTTAAAAAGGGCTGCTACGCAGGAGTACGCGATCATACTCTTTACCCGGTTTTCTATTCAAAGAATAATATTGGGTTGATGCATAATTATCCGGACTTCTTTTTGCGTGCTTGTATCTTTTTTGTTTTGAAAGCTTTTTGTCTATTTCTTTTTTTTAAATATTCGTTATTCTTTAGTGAACAAAATGCGTGTCGACAATCATATCCATCTTCGCCATATCATGCTCTACCACTTCGAAAAGGGATGGTCTGCCGCAGAGTCGTTTCGCGATCTCAAAGAACTGGAGAAGCCCCAACGGACTACCACGTCAATCGATCGCTCAAAAATTGGCAAACAAATAAGATCTACAACGATTTGGATGACTTGATAGACGATGTTAAAGCGTGGATTGCCTCCAAAGATCGTTTATTCTTCGCTCGTGGAATCGATCGTCTTCCAAGCAAATGGCAATCAGTTATTGATGTAGGCGGTGAATATGCTCCAGAATAATCAATTAAACATATTTTTCTAACTATTTATGTTATTTTTTTGTTAAATAAAATCATTTATAAAAGAAGTCCGGATAATTATGCATCAACCCAATAATAATAATAATGATTTGATCTGTCTTCGCACTTAGCGCAGATCACAACCCGCTTCCATATTTACTGAGGCAGAAGTGTAGTTGTCGTAGCCGATGATACTCCGATGGCCGGGCTGGGGCGCTCGGAGGGGAACCCATGGGAGTCGAACCCACGACTAACCCGCGCCGACGTATTCAAAGAAATACGGTTTATTTTGAGCAAAAAGACTTTAAAACATCTAAGCCTTAGCTAATCGATTAGCTAATTTATTATTAACCCATTCGAAACCGCAGCGTTTTTTCCTTTTTTTTTCGTCTACGGACCAAGCCCTTTTTTTTTGGCATTTTTGACTCCGAAGCAGTTTATTTATCGTTGGAAAGATGTACGAGAGTCTCCTACGCCATTTATTTTTTGATGAAGAACGATTTCGATTTGACTTCAATACTTTTCAAGATCCTATCGATTATTATTCTTATTTTATCGACGACAAATTAAGCAATATTTTAGTAGGCGAATCTAATAAACATGAAAAAAACGCAAAACAAACTGCCAGGATTTCGATGCAAAATCTTTCAAGCTCTTCCTGGCTCTGTATCTTCAAATGGGAAAATTACTGAAACCTGTTCACCCTATTAACTTCTTTTTGAGTAGACGGATTTTAATAAAACTTTCGGATTGTCTTAGTTGGATATCATGTAAGAATTTGGATTGAACAGGTTTTAATGTTTTCCCTTTTTGGTTGTTGGAAGAATTGCCTGGAACCTGTTCGCCCTATTAACTTCTTTTTGAGTAGACGGATTTTAATAAAACTTTCGGATTGTCTTAGTTGGATATCATGTAAGAATTTGGATTGAACAGGTTTTAATGTTTTCCCTTTTTGGTTGTTGGAAGAATTGCCTGGAACCTGTTCACCCTATTAACTTCTTTTTGAGTAGACGGATTTTAATAAAACTTTCGGATTGTCTTAGTTGGATATCATGTAAGAATTTGGATTGAACAGGTTTTAATGTTTTCCCTTTTTGGTTGTTGGAAGAATTGCCTGGAACCTGTTCGCCCTATTAACTTCTTTTTGAGTAGACGGATTTTGATGAAACTTTCGGATTGTCTTAGTTGGATATCATGTAAGAATTTGGATTACCGAGGATTCGTGACGACTGGAGTCAAGTTCCTCGTTTTCTTCACCTTGCACCTCTTTGAGGTAAACGACAGCCGTTCGCGTCATTTCCACTTCCTCACCACTGGGCACAGCAACGACTTCGGTGTTGTCGGTTGCTGGCTCGGTCTCAAATGGAAGTCTCTCGAGATCGTTCTCACGATCCACAGAGTCGAGTGAGCCTTCATAAGGTTTAGAAACGATTGGATAGGGCTCTTCTCCTTCGGTCGACCTTCTGCCTCCTCCGATTTTGAACGAGGATAGGTGGAAGCCCCAATCATGTTTTTTCTTATTCTCCTTCTCGTCGTGTGTTTCCTCGTTTTCGTCACCTTGCACCTCTTTGAGATAAACAACAGCGGTTTGCTTGGATCGACGACGACGACGACGTCGACTTATTATCGACGACAATATTTTAGTAGGCGAATCTAATAAAAAGGAAAACAAACTGGCAGAATTTCGATGCAAAATCTTTCAAGCTCTTCCTGGCTCTGTAACTTCCCGGGCCCCCCTCCCCCCCCCCACCAACCCCCTCCCTACCCCTCCCCCGACCCTATCTTCTTTCTCCCTCCACACGCCGAGTAAAATATCTCCTTTGTATTTATGTGTGTTGTTGCTGATTGATTACGCTTTATTTCATCTCCTGAATAAAGGATGAATATATAATATAAATGGGAATCGTCAAATTACCGAGGATTCGTGACTACTGGAGTGGAGCAGGCCTAGATTAGGAGGATTTTCCCACATGTCCCACATTATGTCAAGAGCAAAATTTGAATCTATTCTTCGAAATCTGCGTTTTTGTGATAATGAACTGGATCCTGCAGGAGATCGGCTTTATAAGTTTAGAGCTACTATGGAACATTTCAATGCAAAACCAGAGACTGCATTGATTCCGGGTAAATATGAAAAATCTTTTTTTGCCCACGTAATTCTGTAGATCTGCTACAATTGGAATATACATGTAATGCTGAAAAAAAGCAATTAATTGAATGAAAATAGCTCAATTAGCGGTCCGTTGCTGAGTTTTGGCTGCAGCGATTAGTTCGCTGGCTGCAGAAGTTTCGAATGGGTTAAGCTCTCCAGAAAGTCTTTTCCTTCCTTTTCATTCCTTTTCATTCCTTTTCCTAGATTCCATAGATTTCTTACGAAAAACACGTGTTTTCACTCTCAAATTTAACTTGAAAGTGAACCAAAATTGGTTCCAATTAACCTCTTTCCAATTAATCGGGAGTAAAAGGTTTTCACCATTGTTGCAACCCGATTTTAGAAATGTTTTTTGTTGATAACTTTTGACGAAATAAATCTTTTCTGAAAGCTAACATTCTAAGCTATCTAGATCTTATAAAAACTTGTTGATCTGACAGCTCAGCTGACAGCGATTATTCGCTGCAGCGATTATTCGAAGTTTCGGAACGGACCGCTGCAGCGATCCGTTGCTGAGTTTTTGTTGCAGCGATTATTCGCTGCAGCGGTCCGTTCCTGAGTTTTTGTTGCAGCGATTATTCGCTGCAGAAGTTTCGAATGGGTTAAAGCAATTTATTATTATTATTTTTATTAAATCTAGAAAAGAATCAAAAATCGTCTTACAACAACTTACAATCATCGCTTTCAATCGCCGCATAGTTTCCCTCTTCTCGGAAAGTGATATTTCCCACGTGTAACACGGCGGAAACCTAGGAAAACTTGTACTTTTACTTTATTTTCTTTGAATTTCTTTATATTCTTTGAATTTACTTTATTTTACTTGATTTTACTTTATTTTACTTTAATTTTACTTTAATTTACTTTATTTTACTTTAATTTACTTTAATTTACTTTAATTTACTTTCTAATTTACTTTAATTTACTTTCTTTTACTTTCTTTTACTTTAATTTACTTTATTTTACTTTAATTTACTTTAATTTACTTTAATTTACTTTATTTTACTTTGAATTTACTTTATTTTACTTTAATTTACTTTATTTTACTTTAATTTACTTTAATTTACTTTATTTTACTTTATTTACTTGACTTTACTTTATTTTTTACATCCTGAATAGATTTACATGTCCTAAGACCTCTAAAAACCTTTCAAAACCCCCGTTAAAACCCCTTAAAACCAAAAATTCGCTAGAAAACCCGTCGCGAAACCCATGGAAACAATTCGCCGAAAGGAAAATCGAAAAACAAAACGCAAAAAATGATTAGCCGCATAGGGGGCTCGAACCCCTGACATTCAGATTGCCCTTCCGTTTAAAAGTCTGACGCTCTACCAACTGAGCTAATGCGGCTGTGGGAGGGCGATCGGAAAAAGGGGTTTTGAGGTTGGGGAAGGGAATGGACTAACGTTTTATAACAGTGAGGCCTAAAAGCAAGGCTTAACAGCGAGTTTTTCTCGCTTGCTAGCTATGTGGTCATGGTGCAGTCGGGAAGGCGCTCGCCTAAAGCCTACAAGATCCGGGTTCGACCCCGGTCCCGCGAAAGTCCCGCGAACATTCAATACCCTTCCGTTTAAAGTCTGACCCCCAACGAGCCCATGCGGCTGCGAGGGGGGACCGGGAAAAGGGTTTTATATATTTGGGAAAGGCGATTTTTGTTTTAGGGACTTTTGAACAACTGAGTCTTTTGTTACTGGGTTGTTACTTGCCTCTAAGGACAATTACTGCTTAAGAATGCGGCATCGAATCCTAGCTTCGGTAAAATTGCTGAAACCTGCTCACCGTATGATACTTCTTTTTGAGTAGACGGATTTTAATGAAACTTTCAGGTTCGGTTAGTTGGATATCATGTAATGGATTGGTAGGTTTAATGTTTCTTTTGGGATGTTACACACCAACACCCCCCCCCCGACTCATATTGTCCGATAGAGAGCCAATTTTCACCCAAAAACTGCTAGAAACCAATTCCACCCATTAAAACGAGCTAAAACGAAAAAAAACCGAAAAGTCTTCGTGTAAACCCGTCAAGAACCCTAGCAAAGAATTTCATAAAAAAAAGAGAAATTCAAAAATGATTAGCCGCATAGGGGGCTCGAACCCCTGACATTCAGATTAAAAGTCTGACGCTCTACCAACTGAGCTAATGCGGCTGCGGTGGAGGGGTCTGGGAAAAGGGGTCTTGACTCTCCCCGGCTGCCACGGCCCTTTTCTCTTTGGAAATTTTTGGGAAAAGGGTTTTTTTTCGGTTTTTTCTGTTTTTTCGATTTTTTTTTCCTATTTTGATGGATTTTTTTTCGTTTTTATAAAACTAAAACAGTTTTTTTAAAACTTTTAAATTTTAAATTCAATCAAATTTCAATTTTGAACTAATTTCAGGTTCACTAGCAGTTTTTTGAGCAAATTTTCTCGAAAAACTCAACTTTCTCAATGAAAATCGAGAGGATTTCTTTAAAAAAAAAAGAGAATTTTGATTGCTTTTCTGTTTGTTTTTTTTGTGTTTAAAATAAGGATTTCCATTCTTTTTGTGTTTTTGATTGATTTTGATTGTGTTTGAAATTTGATAGTTGAAATTATTGATTTCCCCCTGAGCTCACCAATCGCATAATGTCCAATTGTTGCTCTTCGTTGATGCCGATCACTTTCATCGCATGCTGAAATGATTTTTCATTCATTTAAAGTTAACAAAAACTTTTTTGAAAGAATACTTGTTTATATTAATTTGCAAAAAAAAATTTAGTTTAAAAATTTTGCAAAAAAATTTCTGCAAAAAAAAAAAAAAATTGGGAAAATTTTTGAGATTTTGAAATTGAATTTTTAAATTCAAACCAAAGTGCTTTGAAATTCCTTTGCATCATCCGTGTCATGCGCTTTCATCACACCACTTTGATTGAGATAATTGTAATACGAAAGCTCACCGATGCCAAGATTTTCTGAAAGAAATTCGATGTTTTAAAAATAAACTTTCGATAATATTAGAGATTTAGAGAAGCAAACCAATTGTTTTTTATTGTTTTTTTTTCGTTAACTAGGCTAGTTTACTTCTCAATTCTTGAAAAGTGAGCTCAAATTTGTGCCCGGGAAAAGTGGGTTTGGCGGAAAAAAAAAAAGAGTCCAATTGGACTTTGAATTTGTCAAAGACTAAAAGACTGTAAAAGACTAAAAGACTGTAAAAGACTAAAAGACTGTAAAAGACTCACTTCTCAAATTCTGATCGGCTCCCGAGAGCAATTGATAGAAAATATGGAAATTTCGATCGCCTTTATTCTGCGAGACGACCCGTGACTTTTCGAGAAGGAAATTCGAGAGCTGAAATTGTTTTTTTTTTGGCTCAGAACCCTTCCAAGAAGAGTATTTGTTTTTAGAAAACTCCATCGGGATTTCTTTGAGTTAAAAACAGATGCCACAAAGCTAAACTGACTAAGGAAATGTTTCAATTTTCCACCGATTTTCGAAACTGGACCTAACTACAAAACGCCATCATAGAATTCTAAGAAACACGTATTTTTGTTTTATTTTTTTCCCATGAGCCCTGGTTTTCGTGAAAAATGTTTCAAAAGTTTCAGCAATTTTTGGCAAAAGGTGGGATCTGGAAGGATCAACCAGATATCTGAACTAAGATAAGCATGGCTTAGTCTTTAGCCTTAGCTAGCAGTTCGGAAGGATCAACCAGATATCTGAACTAAGATAAGCATGGCTTAGTCTTTAACCTGAGCTAGCAGTCTGGTAGGATCATTGACCTTTGCGGAGCTATATTGAGTTTTCATATCTGGTTGAACCGACCACGCCGAAAGGCAGTAATTGAAAAATGGCTAGATTACGATAGTTTTTGTAAAGATTGTCTTGCTGTGCTCTCATTATTTCTAAAATTGCCATTTAATTTCCTATTTTCACTCACTTTCCCTCCGATCGGTTGCCCACCGACGCTGAAAACAATCTCAACATATTTGCCGAAACGGGACGAGTTCCAGTTGCGAATTGTGGCACTAAAAAAGATTCGAAATCATTTGCATTGCTCAAATCAGCAAAATCGAAATGCATGCTAAATGCAAAATCGAAAACGATTACGATAGAAAGTTGAGGACCGAAAAAGTAAAGCCCAATTTGTTTTCTATTATGCGCAAACTTTACGCACCTGTTCCCGAATGCCTCTAAGAGTGGATTCGATTGAAGGATCACGTCTTTTACATGCTGAAATCGAAATTTGACCTCAAAAAATGAAGATATTCAGCTAAAGAAGTGCTGAAATAAAAATTTAGCCTTTAAAATAAGATATTCAGGTAAAGAAGTGCTAAAAAAAGCGAATCCTCAAAAAGTTACAAGCCAGAAACGTTTTTTTATCACCAACACAACATTTACAAACACTTCATTTACCTGTACACTCTAAACGGGATATTGGCTATAAAATAATAAAATAATGTCATTTATATAGTACAGTATTGATCTCTGTAGCATTTTGCTAAAATTTGCTTTTCAGAGAAGAGCTACCGTAGTCCGATTGTCTTGTTTATAAACTGTAAAGCTGCCGGAGTACGGTCAGCTTTTCGTCTTATAGCATATCGACTTTTCTGGTCGGTCGATTTTGGAAAAAATTGAAAAATCAAAGCATATGTGCTTTTATTCGAATAAATACGGTATCCATTACACTACTTGATCACTACTGCATTACTTGATGAAAATAAATCAAGTAAATTTATCTAACCTGTACAGCTTTCCCGCCACCCGATATCCGACTGATATAGTTCATGATGTACTTGGCGGCGACCGTTTTCCCGGCTCCCGATTCTCCGGAAATGATCACACATTGACTCTCTTGATCGATCAGCATGTTTCTAAAAATGTTTTAATCTTTATCAAGCGAAAGTTTTCTAAAAAACGCTACGGTACCCTATCTTTTTAAATCTAAATCTAAATCTAAATCTAAAACTAAATCTAAATCTAAATCCAAATCTAAATTTAAACCCAAATCTAAATCTAAACCTAAATCTAAACCTAAATCTAAATTCAAATCTAAATCTAAATCTAAATCTAAAACTAAATCTAAATCTAAATCTAAATTCAAATCTAAAACTAAATCTAAATCTAAATCTAAATCTAAATCTAAACCTAAATCGAAATCTAAATCGAAATCTAAATCTAAATCTAAATTTAAACCTAAAATCCGAGCGATTCATTTCATTAATGGCAGTTTTGACAAAAACTAACCAAAAACCAACCTGAACATATTATCGGCTAGCGCATAAATGTGAGGCGGATTCTCGTATTGTGTGGCTCCCTGAAAAGTTTGATAATTGAATTTACACTCTAGAATTCGATATAAATTCATCTAAACTCAATGTTTGCATTGGATGAACTTATCGAATTGTAGAGTTCAACAAACTAATACTAATACTAATAAAATTCAGGGCGGTACTTTGACCCCGACTTGGCCAGATTGTATTTTTTAACTGTTTTACCAAAGGTTATTTTACTTTTTCTAGGGTAATCAACACATGATGAATCTATTGCCAATTGCTGACATGATGAATCTATTTTTCGAAAGCTTTGAACAACTTTTATTGATATTTTGATAAGCTAGGTGCTAAATTTTGCCTCTGAAGTGTTGCTAAGCTTGAAAGTGAAGAAAGGGGTAAAATACAAAGTGATAACTTGTTCAAAACACTCTAAAAATATCGTCAATCGATTAATTTTACACAAACACAAACAAACCTGATACAAATCCATTTCCTTCTCGGTGAAATAGGGCATTTGCTTAAAAGGATTCACTGAGATCAACACCGGACCGATGTATGTCTAAAAATTCGTGAATTAAAAAGTAAAAGCCTTGCTCGATATCGAGTTTTCTCCAAAAACTCACAAAAATCTCATTGGCGTGGAAGCGTTTCTTCAAATTATCGGTGATCGAGTCTTCTGAAAGCCAAACAAAGTGAATTTTAAAGTACAGGTTTTAAATTTATCAACTCAAGCCTTAAAAATGAAAATATCAATAAAAAGGCTTGAATGCAAAATTTGCACATGATCTACGCTTAAACAAGCTTTGCAAAGCTTTAACACGGTTCTAAACCGTGTTAAAGCTTAATTCTAAAGAATTTCTAAAGAATTGCTACTAAATTTCTACCAAATTTCTACTAAATTTCATAATTTACACTAAATTTCACAATTTACACACAATTTCTACACCATAAGCTCACTTAAAAGCTCTATAGTTTTCGTGGTCACTTCAAACTTACTAAAAAGTTCTAAACATGGTACTTAAGTACTTAAGTAACAAACAAGCAAGTACTTAAGTAACAAAGTAGCGTAAATTTACCCGACAATCGACTCAGCAAAACCATATCATCGACGCCGACATGTTTAAAGTTAACATTCGACTGCCAGTGATGCGCCTGAACGGATTTTTATCAATCGGAACGAAACGGATATCAAAAATCGACACTTATCATTGTAGTTATCCATTTATCTCTCATTATCCATTAATTATTCATCTTTTAAACCTTAAACCTCACCATTTTTGTGACGTTTCACGAGCCAGCTCGAATCCGATACTTGATCGCCTGAATTTTATTCACAATGATTAAAGTTTATAAAATTGTAAAAGATTTGTAACGCGAAAAAGACGAACACTGGCTTGGAAATGAAGAAAAGATGTTTACATAAATCTGCAATGAAAAGCTCTTGAAAAACGACAAAAATGAAAAATGACATTACCGAACTACGATGAATATACATAGCAAGAGCACGTAGAAGATTGAAAATAAGATATTTGACAAGTTTTGAATAATATCGTAGCATCATTATATTATTTGGCATCATTATATCGTCGACAATGAATCCGGAGTGCCAAATAAAGCTTGTAGAATTATCCTTGTTGTAGAATTATCCTTGTTGCCAAGTAGAATTATCCTTGTTGACTATGCAAAAAGTTCAAAAACGACGAATAGGCTCCTTCTAATTCAAAAAGCATTTGCCTTGCGTCATCTTCGCTCAATTGATCCGCTGCCGCTTTCTTCGACAACTCGTCATGCCACTTTTTCACCTTCAACTTCGCATCGAAGTCATCGGGTAAACGACTGACCGCACAAATCATCGTGTAGAGATCGTTCAACGACGGGAATAGCTCGTCAACAGCCCGTTGATCCAACTTTAAATGATCGAAAACGGTGATAAACACTTCGACGATACTCGCGACATTCTTCAGCAAATTCCCCTTATCATCTTTTACAACAACCGGTCGTCCCTCGCGAATCCTTTCCAACGCGGCTGGCACTTGTAGACGATATTTGTTCGCAAAAGTCACCACATCCGCACCGCCAACGAGTCGCATCGCCACTTTGTATTGATCCAACAGTTTGAAGCATTCCGTTTTGTACTCATCAGCGGTGACGAAATCCTTGACGAACATTTTCTCGAGGCATTCTAACGCATTCAACACAGCAAACAGCTCGCCCATATTCTCGACTTGTTCCCTCTCCGAATTGTTCTCCCACAAGCGCACCTCGCGAAGCAGATTCGGGTTGTTCATGGCAATTGCTACCTGGAAATAAAGAAATTAGTAACGTGAAAGATTGGATGATTGGATCTTATTTTATAAAAAACAGAAAAAAGAGCTAAATTGAGCTAAAAACAGTTCAAAAAACATAAAATTAAGCCTAGTTCTTCTTTCAAAAGCTTCCTAAAGCATCATTTACGGCTCAAAGACTTTAACAGCTCAAAAAAACATAAAATTAAGCCTAGTTCTTCTTTCAAAAGCTCCCTAAAGCATCATTTACGGGTTTTACTTTACGGTTCGGATGAAATTGCATTTAAAGGACTAGAGGTAAGGCTTCTACTTTCAGGTATTGATTCAATAGTGAATACAACCGTCTTTGCACAGCCTAAAAATCTTTTTTAGGCTGTGCAAAACGATTTTTCATTAAAAACAACAAGTTTCAGTTGGGAGAACGTATTAAAAATGATCTTGTTTACTTCTAAATTAAATAAAAACTTCCAATTTTGTTGTATAAAATTTGGGCCGTAAAATAAACCCTCAAATGATGCTTTCCAGCAAAGAATTTTTGCTTTTTTGGCATCACGGAGCTGCCGGAAACAAAATAAGCTATGGCTCAACAAAATCTTAGTCTGGACCGTGAAATTTAGTTGCAAAAAGTTGCATTTTGTTACAAAAGGCCTTCAAAACTAAAAGATTAGTCAAATAAAAACGATCAAACCACTAAAGTACCAGAAAATGCGTTTTTAAAAGGAGGTAAATGATAAAAAGAATGGGCATAGGTTAATTTTCGCCATTTTATTTACGCAGCTCGCCATAACTTTCTTTTAAGTCGGCCAATCTATCTGATTTTGATGTCATATTGTTGCAATTATTGAGATCTACAAAATGACATCAAAATCATAAAGATTGGCCGACTTAGAAGAAAGTTATGGCGAGTTTCGTAAATAAAATGGCGTAAATTAGTCTAAAAGAATGAGTAAATTTGATGAAGATGGGTTATATAGTCATTTTAAACAACAGCAATGTTTTACAGCTTTTCAGCTGAATATCTTTAATTAAGAAAGTTTCTATAAAGCAAAACACTTTAAAACAGCCGTTACAATGGAAATTGTTTTGCTTTTCAGCTGAATATCTTTAAACAATGAAAGTTTCTATAAATCAAAACACTTTTGCGAGAGCAAAACAGCTGTTACAATGAAAACTTTTCAAGAAAATGTAAGAATTGTTGTTTTGATGGATTAAGATGGTGAGTAATCGAAAAAAAAAGTGCAATTTTGCAATCCTAACCAGTCAAATCGATGAATCACAGGGAAAGCGAAGTGTTCTCGTTTTTTTCTCGTTCTCTCGCCTCTCTTTTTTCTGTCAGTCATTGACTACACGCCACAGCTGATTACGGGCGGGGAAAGAGGGGAAATTTGATAGAGTCATTCACTGAATGATAGTTTTTGACAAGTTTGGCTGAGCCATTTGACTTTGTCACTAAATCTAGTCAAATGTCAGCCTGCAAAGTCACCCAATAGAATGCAAGTCTAGCCATCAACCGGTTTTGGGTTACTGTAACTGGGCCATGAAATAGGCACTGAGTCTTGGACAGTTTCAGTAAATCTAGTGCATCAAAAAGATTAAATTCGAATTCGGCTTTTGCATCGACAGCTACAATTCTTTGTTTCAACAATCCCGTTCGGTATTGACCTTCAAATTTTCTATGATTCCCATATCCATTGGTTGGATTGTTGCAGTTGCTTCCAATATGGTTCCAATATAGTTCGGATACGGTTCCAATATGGTTCCAATATGGTTCGGATACGGTTCCAATATGGTTCCAATATAGTTCGGATACGGTTCCAATTTGGTTCCAATATAGTTCCAATATAGTTCCAATATAGTTCCAATATGGTTCGGATACGGTTCCAATATAGTTCGGATACGGTTCCAATATGGTTCCAATATGGTTCCAATATAGTTCGGATACGGTTCCAATATGGTTCCAATATGGTTCCAATATGGTTCCAATATGGTTCCAATATGGTTCCAATATGGTTCCAATATGGTTTGGATACGGTTCCAATATGGTTCCAATATAGTTCCAATATAGTTCCAATATAGTTCCAATATAGTTCGGATACGGTTCCAATATAGTTCCAATATAGTTCCAATATAGTTCGGATACGGTTCCAATATGGTTCCAATTTGGTTCCAATATGGTTCCAATATGGTTCCAATATGGTTCCAATATGGTTTGGATACGGTTCCAATATGGTTCCAATTTGGTTCCAATATGGTTCCAATATGGTTCCAATATGGTTCCAATATGGTTCCAATATGGTTCGGATACGGTTCCAATATGGTTCCAATATAGTTCCAATATAGTTCGGATACGGTTCCAAATAGTTCCAATATAGTTCCAATATAGTTCGGATACGGTTCCAATATGGTTCCAATATGGTTTTAATCTGGTTCCAATATGGTTCCAATATGGTTCGGATACAGTTCCAATATGGTTCCAATATAGTTCGGATACGGTTCCAATATGGTTCCAATACCAAAGAATTGCTGAATGTTTGATAAATTAAGCTTCGGATCGGCTGGACAGTTATCGATAAACAACAAACAACCAATAAAGAAATTTTCCAATTAAATTTGATCAAATTCGAATTCTATCGAACTCTCAAATAATTCGCCGGTCATCCATGCCTTCGAATTTGCTGCATACAAAACTCAAAGCTTTTTAGTTTTAAGGCGTCCCGAAGATGAGTCTTACTTTCATTGTTTCCATTCAACTCTCCAAATCATCTTACAGTTATTTTTGGCCTTCATTGTGGTCCAGCAACGAAAAATTTCGGCTTCTCCACTCGGCTCCCAAATGGAAATTGATTTCTTTCTCATTTCAACACAAAATCTATAAAAAACAAAACGTTTTGTCACATGCAAATATGTGTTTGAAAGTTTTCTCTACGATTTTCTTGTTCACGTTCAATGGTTGACCAGAACTTTCCCAAATTCGCTAGAAAGCTTTTGACATGTTGTGGTCGCCGCTCTCAATGAGAATTGGTGCCGCTTTAGAAACGATTCCATCCAAACGAGGTTTTTAACGGTTCAGGAAATGAGCTTTGCTTTCATTGTTTCCATTCAACTCTCCAAATCATCTTACAGTTATTTTTGGCCTTCATTGTGGTCCAGCAACGAAAAATTTCGGCTTCTCCACTCGGCTCCCAAATGGAAATTGATTTCTTTCTCATTTCAACGCATAAAACAATAATTTCAATTAAAAACAGTTAAAGAATAAAAAAATTCAATTGGAAACAATTAAACGCCAAGCCTGACCTAGAAAAGTTCCGGATTCTTCACTCGGCTCCCAAATGGAAATTGATTTCTTTCTCATTTCAACATAAAATCTATAAAAAACAAAAAACAAACAAAAAACACACAAAAAAAAACATAAAACAAAACAAAAAAACATAAAACAATACTTCCAATTAATCTGACAAAAAAACAAATGATTTAAAAATGAAAAAGAAACGACGACGCGGCACTCCCATCGACTACCTCCAAATGGCGGTGACGTCAATTGGAATGCGACGTTGCGCAAAAATTAACATTTAACAATAAGGTAAAATTAAGATTTAAATTTTGCGACAGAAATTTAAATTTAACATGAAAGCGTCTCGCAAGAAACAAATTTTTAGCCGATAATTTCAATGCAAGGATCAAGGATAGAAAAAAGGGTAGGAAAAGGTTCAAAAGTTAAGAATACTCTACGGAAAAGGCTGGCTCTTCTTTGACTTGTACGATTGGTCGGTATACGGCGGTAGACCCTGGTGTGTCAATCTTTGAGAAAAGAGACCCTGGGGTGGACCCTAGGGGTGATTCGTTATTTGCACTCCTTCCCTTTCAATACACACACATAAACCACTCCCCAGCTTTTGCTTTCTTTGTTTTTTCGCCTTGTTGTTGATCGTGTCCAGAGTTTGGAATCGTTTTTGATGCAAATACTGCTACACTCGCCTGACTGGCTACTGGAGCTTGACTGGCTACCGGAGCTTGACTGGCTACTGGAGCTTGACTGGCCGCTGGAGCTTGACTGGCTGCTGGGGCCTGACTCCAGCAGCAGGCTCCAGCAGCCAATCGAGTGTAGCAGTATTTGCATCAAAAACGATTCCAAACTTCCAGACACGATCAACCACAAATACTTTTAAATCGCATAAAAGCTAATTCAAAGAGACGCGACAATACTTTTCTCGGACCCTGTAGATCTATCAGAATCGTTTTCTTATCATTGACTCTTTGAAATCTTAAAAATACCTTTCAAACATCTTTAAAATATCAAAAATAGACTATAAAGTATTCAAAAAAAAAAGAAAATCGATTTTCCACATCAAAGACAACAAATTTCCAGGCAACAAATCGATTTGAAAGCTCAAAAGAAAGGCAAATAATTGTAACATACACTCAGAAAAGAAAAGACTCAAGTTGAATAGTTTTCTTTTTTTTTTTCGCTGAATTCCAATGATAAGAAAACGAGCCCTTTTTCGCGTTTTTTCTGAATCACATTTCATGGCTCATCTAGTGAGGAAATTCGTTAAATTTGATAAAAATCAACTGAGAAAATCGTTTGAACTAAATTTTCTTTAAAATAATTTGAAATTCGATTTGGAGCCATATTGGAACTGTATCCGAACCATATTGGAACCATACTGGAACCATACTGGAACTGTATCCGAAATTGGAATCATATTGGAACCATATTGGAACCATATTGGAATCATATTGGAACCATATTGGAACCATACTGGAACTGTATCCGAATCATATTGGAATCATATTGGAATCATATTGGAACCATATTGGAATCATATTGGAACCATATTGGAACCATATTGGAACCATACTGGAACTGTATCCGAACCATATTGGAACCATATTGGAATCATATTGGAACCATATTGGAACCATATTGGAACCATATTGGAACCATATTGGAACCATATTGGAACCATACTGGAACTGTATCCGAATCATATTGGAATCATATTGGAATCATATTGGAACCATATTGGAACCATATTGGAACTGCATCCGAACCATATTGGAACCATATTGGAACTGCATCCGAACCATATTGGAACCATATTGGAACTGTATCCGAACCATATTGGATTCAATTGGCTGTCAAAATTCCCAAATCAAATCCGTTTTTGTCTTGTTTTTTTTTCCGTCAGAAGACTGAATACTTATTCAGTTATCTACCATCTTTACCCACATGGCTTTTACCATTTGAGCCCATATGATTCATTGCTGGAAACTTTTATAAGTTTTCGTCGACAAAAAATCGAAAACTTCGAAAAACAAAAATCTGAATTCTAGCAATTCTCGTGTGATATCCAGATAGAAGAAAAAACACAATTTTAAAAAATTGCTCTTGTCAATTTTTTGGAATCATCGCAAACTCTTAGCTGTACTTATCGAGTACAGCTAGACAAGCGTAGACAGCATTCCCTCAAGCACTTTCCGACACAATAAAGCTCATAGTTTAAACCAATTACCAATAACTATGCAAAAATCAAAATGAAACCTTTCAGAAAGGCTTATGTAAATACGTTCGCAACACATTTCTCAAAATCCCAAAGGTAATTTAAATCTTCTAAACAGCCTTGTCCATCAAATAAAGTAAAATTGAAAGAAAACCTCGCTCGAATGTAATCGTCAAAGCTTTCAAAGCTCATTTATTACTATCCATTCACAAATTCAATCACCAACATTGGTTACTTTACACAATTCTTTTCAAATACAAAGGCAAAATGTACAAAATACCCGAACCGCATAAACATTTTGAAAGATTTTCGCTAAAATCCACTTGTACGACATCGCTATTCATTCTAAGACCTCAAATTGATCGTCCGAGTCGTAGTTCGGATCGCCCATATCATGAAATTCTAAAGAATAGAAAATTATAATTTAAAAAACAAAAATCTTATTGCTTATTGATGATTTCAGGACAGAGCCGATCTTTATTATGCTTTTAGATTTCAAAAAAAGCAAAAAAGTTCGCTCCTGGATGGGTTCGAACCATCGACCTTTCGGTTAACAGCCGAACGCGCTGCCGATTGCGCCACAAGAGCAGGTAGCGTGCTGGGGAAAAGGGGAATGGATCTAGGAAGGGGGGATGGGGGAGAAAAGGAAGGGGGAGGGGGAAAGGAGGCCAAAAACGGGAAAGAGAGCTATGGGCATGAGAAAGCGAAAGGCCTGTCCCGCTGATCTTTTGTGAAAGATCCCAATTTAAAACTTCAAGAAAGCTCAAAACGCTTACTTCAACTTAAATAAAAGCCTAAATTTAATATTAATAAAAGAAATTATTTTTTAAAATCTCTATTATTTTAAAAATCTCACCTTTCATCTCGATTTTCGCCTTCACACCAATGTAAGGCTCGAATTTTGGCCAATAAGACGGTCGATGCTGAAGTTGCTCGAAAAGGGGAGGCGATGAGGCGGTGAGAAGAGTCTAAATCGGGGAAAATCGTTCACACATTAAACTGCAGTCTGCATAAATGATAATTATCCATGCAAAACAAGATTTACTTCTTTCAATCGTCGACTCAAATCCTCAAACTCGTCCCGCGAACGGCAAAAGAACGTCAACGCTAACGACGGGTCAACCTGAAAGTTAAAAGTTAAAGTTAAAAGTTAAAGTTAAAGTTAAATTTGAAAGTTAAAGGATTTAAAAAAAAATCTCAATTCAATTTATTCTTACTAAACAGTTAACAAGAAGAAAAAAAACCCCAACCTGATCATACGCCATTCCAAGAACAGTCGGGCAATGATACGTGGTGTCGTCGATTTCTTTCTAAAAGAAACCATTGTCCATCATTTCTTTGCTCTTATTCAAAAAGCTATAATGTTCCTATATAGTTGAATTGACATCATCAACCAATGATTGACAAATGAGCTCACCAAATCCGCATTATCTTCCTGTGTTGCGTTGATCGATTCAAATCCATCCACGAACGACTCCGGTTTGATGTAACGAGGACCGACGAGTGATTGCTGACAAAAATGTGGATCCAAATAGAGTAGCTAAAATTTAACGATTAGTTTAGATTTAGATTCTAAGGCTAGATTTAGATTCTAAAGCTAGATTCTAGAATAGAAGAAATTTCACCTTTTCCCCGGTGATCCCAATAAAGTACAAAGCATGATTCGGTCGTCCACCAATGATACCCGTGCATTGTGGCAATCGGAAGTACTCCTAAAAGTTTTGGATTTATAAAAACTATTGTGATTAAGCTAGTTGCTTATGCACTCGTATTTATTTCAAAGTTCACCTGTATAGCCGGTAGATAACATCGGTTGATCGTCGTCAGACCCAAACGAAGCGGAACGATTAGAAGCAATGAACGCCAATTATCCGCCTAGAAGAATGGGATTCGCGTTTAAAAAGCTCGAAAAGAAACCTCTCGTTCAAAATCCCCACTCGATAGGCTTGAAGGAATCAATGAGTGATCGAGTTTTCCATCTTCTAAAAAAAAAAATCAAATACAGTAACATTAACAATTTAATCTTTATAAACTAATAATTCTTAATATCGCTAGTTTATCATAACTTTAGCTAGCTGTTTTCTTCATGCAGACCTCTGTAACTAGCTACTTAACTTCGAGACTAAGTAACAAAACGTTGATACTTATATTTTCAATGGTATTGAAATTGAGTAAACGATTGTGCTACTTTTGAATACCGTATTTCTTCAAATAGAAAACCGGGTAACGAGTATCATCGCGTACTCCTGCGTAGCAGCCCTTTCTAAAATTTCTTTTCTGCATAAAAGCTTTCAATCAAGTGCTATAGAGCTGGAAAATGACTCAAAAATCTGTTAGCTCATGTGGTATTCTTGAGTCATTTTCCAGTTCTATAGCACTTGATTGAAAGCTTTTATGCAGAAAAGAAATTTTAAAAAGGGCTGCTACGCAGGAGTACGCGATGATACTCTTTACCCGATCTTCTAGTCGAAGAAATACGGTAATCTTCTTGATACTAAACAATCCCTTAAACACCCACCTCTTATCAATTTTACTGCATCATCACTTGGCATCGTTGTGGCCATCAATTCGACATCTTCCCTCACGACAATATTGTCCAAAGCTACGTGAACTGCCTGAAATTTATCGGTTGAATTTATCGGTGGTAAAATATCAATCAAGAACAACAAACGATAACTCTATAACACCACACGCACATGAATAGCAAAAGTAACAAAAACAAAAAACTAGATAAACATTCACAAATTTGTGCATGTGCAAGTCTCATAGAATCTCTAAATCTCTCTCATAGCTTACCACATCAGACCACGTATCAAAAACGCACAGCTTCTTCAGCACCTAAACATAAAAATAGAAACTAGATATGGATAATATTTAAAAATTTCTCAAAAGCTGTGGTAACTGATTAGTTACCACATTTCATTCAAAACCTCACTTGTGCTGCCGTATTCGGTCCAAACCACTCGCCAACTTTCTTTCCCTCAGAAACACCCATTTGAGCTAAATTATTTAGAAATTATATAATTAACTTAAATTCCCCCACCTATTAAATGTATGCTGTAAAGTGAATTTTTCGTATCGAGAAACATTCGCAAAATTTTCTCGTAATTTCCGCTCGGCTTCTCCCTTTTCCAGTTGTAATGCAAGCCAATGTGACGTCTCAAAAGAACCTAAAGATTTGAAAATCATTGAAATTGCAATTGAACGGCGAACGGCGAACGAAAGCATAATCAAACGGCGAACGAAAGCATAATCAAAGCAAGTAGGTAATCATAGTTAAAATCCAATATTTAATTAATATATTTAATATTAATCTTAATCTCACCTCTCCGAGCAGCATTTGCGCACATCGAAGCATACAACCCCAACCTTGATCACTCGCCGGGCCAGTGCCACCTGAAATGAAAATTTAAGTTATGAAAAAAACATTAACAAGCGTCAAGTATTGCTATTTCTATGTTTAATCATAGTAAAACCTCTAATAGAACCTCCTTTTTATTTCGAGCTTTTTACGTAACCCAAAACGTAACGTAACCCAAAAATTACCATTACCAAAAATACGTATTTTACACTTTTATTTTAACATTTTCTTTTTCTCTTTTCTTGCTTGTTTTTGTCTATTCAAGATTTTATTTTTATTTTTAGACGATGTCAGATCGACTAGAAGAGTTGGATGAACTTGAAGAGAACTTGAAGAGTTCCGAGATTGCAGTGAGAACGAGATGAAAGATTTTTCGAGAAGGAACGTGAGCACATACAAAGCCTCTACGATTGTGTCTGGTCAAAAAAAACGAGGTGGATGAGGGAAGTAAAGAGGAAACGATCGCTCAATGTTCGGAGAACGATTGTTCAAATGAAGAGAACGACGAAAGCTGAACGAAAGCTGAACGAAAGCTGAACGAAAGCTGAACGAAAGCTGGATGAAAGCTGGATGAAAGCTGAACGAAAGCTGAAGGAAAGCTGGACGAAAGCTGGACGAAAGCTGAACGAAAGCTGGACAAAAGCTGGACGAAAGCTGAACGAAAGCTGGACGAAAGCTGGACGAAAGCGAAATGCTTCTCCAATCGAGGTTTATTTGCAATGAATTGTTGACCCATGGAAATCTCTATCTAAAGAACTCATCGAGAGTCATTCAAGATGTGCGGAATCATGAATGATGTCAATGGATTTGAAGATGATCAAATTGAATACTCTAAAATAGATGAACCTATTCCGATTGGCTTTTCAAAACTTTCAAATGCTCGAGTTTATTGATCAAATTGTTTTGAATCAAATTTTGATCAAATTGAATGAAGATGCAAATAATGAAATTAACAACAGTGATGCTTCGATTATGAACGATTTTTTTTAGAAAGCTCGAGCTGTATTGTGTTGCCTGATGTTAACATTTAATTTAACGCTACACTTGTTGTGTTGCCTAGGCTTGGGCTTAGGCTTTACCTGGAATACCTAGAATACCTAGAATGGTTTCTACTTAAAGTTAACGTTTACTTTGCATTGTTTGTATTTTCTTGTTATTCAATAAATTATAACAAAAGTTTTGCAATTTTATCCGGGATTTTTACCAGGAATCACAAATTATCACAAAAATTTGTTTGATTTCTAATTTTTGTATTGAAAAATAAAAGCTCTCTCTCTTTTAGAAGCTCCCTTTAGATGAGAGTTGAAAGATCGAAGCCCCTGGAGTTCTATTAGAATAATTACGATACTGGATTTTATCTGGATCTTCTATCTGGATTTTAAAAACTAAATTTACCTATTGGATGAAATCCTCGTCGATACGTGAACCATAATCTCGACGTGATGTACTCTCTGATCGTTTCAATCTCTAAAAGAGAAGAAAGTAAAGTTTTTGCAATGACAAACACCTGAATCAGCCGTAAAATGTTTCCCCAAAATGTCGAGTCCTCCCTCGGTCGCGATCAACGCATAGTTCTGAAGCTCCTAAACAAGAAATACGTTTATTTGAAAGCCCGGTACTAGAGTCTAGAGTCATTCAATACTTTTTCGCGATCAACGCATAGTTCTGAAGCTCCTAAACAAGAAATACGTTGATTTGAAAGTCCGGTACTAGAGTCTAGAGTCATTCAATACTTTTTCGCGATCAACGCATAGTTCTGAAGCTCCTAAACAAGAAATACGTTTATTTGAAAGTCCGGTATAGAGTCGGTCATTCAATACTTTTCGCGATCAACGCATAGTTCTGAGCTCCTAAACAAAATACGTTGTTTGAAAGTCCGGTACTAGAGTCTAGAGTCATTCAATACTTTTTCGGGATCAACGCATAGTTCTGAAGCTCCTAAACAAGAAATACATTGATTTGAAAGTCCGGTACAACCTTCATTTATTACCAGACTTAGATCGATTCTTTTAAATCCCATAAACTAAAATAGTTACCTGGAATGGTGTCTCAAACGTAACGTAAGACTCAAGCATGTCCATGCCAACATCAACAACGCGAACGACCTGAAAAATTAACTTTTAGAAGTGTTGCCTTAAATTTACGATAAAAGTAAAGAAAACATGTATCCTACAACATATTATTACAACAGAACTACAACAGAATTATTACTATTTCAACACTCGATTACGATTCAATTTTTCGAACCTTAATTCACCAAGTCCAATAAATCGTTTTACCATTTTCAAATGAGCCATTTCACTCTTCATTCTTCAGATATCTATCACGTGCTACGTGTGCTTCTTTCAAATCGCAGAATCAACTCAAAAGTTTATTCAAAACAGTTTAAAGATAACAAAAAAGAGAAACTCTATAATCGAACAAAAAACAAATAAAATTCTATTTTATACGAGGTCTTCATACGATCGTCTACTCTTGTCCTTGTAGAAGTAGTCCGGCTTTTCATCCCATAATCCCAAATCTCGTTCGTTTCTGATTTCATCCTAAAAATTGAAAATATGAGCAGGGGTTTTTAAATATGAAATTTATTTTAAGAAATTTATTCACTATTTTAAGAAATTTATTCGCTATTTTAAGAAAGCACACACGATTCACGAATAAAAACCATCGTGCGCCAATGGTTACCTGTTTATAAAAACAGGTAACCATTGTTTACCTGTTTAAAGCCAACGTACCTGTTTATTGTAGTTGTGATACATCAACAAGTACTTGATCCTCTTCTGCAAATCGTGCCATCTACGTGGGGAATTGTTCTAAAGTTGAAATTACGATAATTACGATAAATCAACGTTACTCACTTGCAACTTCTCCTTGTAAAGATTTCGATAGTGAATCAATTTAACCAGCTCATTCGCCCGGTGTTGTCCCGGAAATCCGCGTAGCCAAACCGGCACGTGATACTAAATTTGATCTTGCAATTTGAAAAAAAAAAAACTAAAATAATGAAAATTTACCTGTAATTGAGCCGGATGAATGCTTCCGTCTCCCAGCAGGTCAATGTAGTCATTCTGGCCAAACCTGAAAAGAACTAGTTTATGAAAATCAATTAAGGATTCTAAATCTCACCGTGCTTGTGATTCTCGCCAAGTATCACGTTCCTTGTAATGTGGTCGTTGAACAGGAACGCGGCATCTAAAATCATAAAAATAGATCAACGCTTAAAGATCAATGTTTACAGAAACGGAATCGATCGTATCTAAGCTAACCGACCCTGGAATTCTCGGCAATTGCTCGATTCCATTTTGATGATATCTGAAGTTGTAGCCAACATCTTTCACCTAAAAAAACAAAATAAAAAGAAAATATTGGAATAGCTTCTTTCGTTTTTCTTCTGTTTCCTTTAATGATTTAGTCAAAGCTTTGTGATACATAAAATCTAGTTTCAAGTATGCTAAACTTTTAAAACTTGAAATTTTGACTCATTTTAAAACTTCGCTTTTTAAAATTTTCAACTCGAGTCATTCAATACTTTTTAGAATCAGCAAAACTTCATTCAGACTAGTCAGTGAATCAGAATGGTAAATATTATGGTCAAGGGAATGAAACCAGCGCTCATATATCTTTCCAAAAATAAAGTCCAAAGTTGCAAGTCTCAGCTAAAGCGTGTTGTATACTATTAAAAAGCCCTGAATCTTCTCTACAAAATAGTGCAAAAAGATTTTGAATTCGATTGATTATTGAAGACTTGGGTGACTTTTAATTTGAAAGATCAAAAATTACCATTTTCTGGAAAATGTGTTTCTGGTAATAACCATGCCCGGGTTTTCCGTTAGAAAATGCCGTCAATTAAAGTCATTTCAAAATCACATAAAAGAAAAGAACTTCTTCTGTTTGTTCGTCTTCTAGAGCTAAATCTTTGTTTTTCGAATCTTTGTCTTTCTAAATCTAAATCTTTGTTTTTAGGCCAAAAACGGCTACTTTCAACTTTGGATTTTCATATCTCGATAGCATCAAAGCTGATCATTTGAATTTTGGCATAAATATTGAGTAATTGATATCCTTAAGATACTGGAAAATTTTCAAGCGAAAAGATCCGTGAAAGCAATAGTTATCAGCCGGCGCAGGTGCCCAGGTTGAGACTCGACCTGCGGTTACTTTTTAACGCCCAACTCCCCAACAATCAATCGAATTCAAAATCCTTTTACACTATTTTGTATAAGAGATTCGGGGCTTTTTAATAGTATACAACACTTATTGGCTGAGACTTGCAATCTTTTTATTTTTGAAAGGATAAGCACTGCTTTCATTTCCAGCCTAAAAATGAAACATTTTCCTAAACGATTATGTTTAGACGAATGGAATCTCGTTGGGGAAATAAACAGGAAACGATAAATATGCAATTGTTATGGAGTTATGTGGAGCAAGCCAATTACACAAGGGATGCATGGGTGAAATCGATTTACTCGAGAATGTTCGACTTTCTTGGTGAGTTCGAGAAAGATTCGAGAAAGATTTCGGCGTTTTTGAAAGAGCAGGCGCAGGTGCCCAGGTTGAGACTCGACCTGCGGTTACTTTTTAACACCCAACTCCCCAATAATCAATCCAATTCAAAATCTTTTTGCACTATTTTGTATAAGAGATTCAGGGCTTTTTAATAATATACAACACTTATTGGCTGAAACTTGCAATGTTTTTATTTTTGGAAAGATATGTGAGCGCTGGTTTCATTCCCTTGACCCTAATACAATAAATTAGCCAAATTTACATTAAATACATTAAAGACCATTTGGTCTTTAATGTATTAAAGGTATTCAAAAAAACGACAAAAAGGTCGTGAAAAATAGAACCTGTGTTACTATTAACGCTCTGAAACTGATAACACCAATTCACCAACCTTCCAGCGACTCTTTTCATGATCATCGACAACTCTCGGCACAGATGATCGATCGTGAAGGGATCGTTGAAGCGAAACGACACTAGTCAACGCAGAAGCACTTGGCCAAATCGATCTCGACGACGTTGTGCATAACAACATCTAAAACTGCAAAATAACAACTCAAAAAGGAAAAGCTCAAATCTACACAAGATTTTTATATTTTAATGGCAAAAACCAATTCATTTCAAAATGTGATTCTTGAAATTAATGTTTATTGGAAAATTTTGCACATAAATACTAAGGAAGATCAGATAAGAATTTCGTGTCGAAGCACTGAAACAACCGCAATGTTATACTTTTGAGTACAACCAAGCCAAACTTTAGATTTACGTGAGTTCTCAAACAAAAGATACAAATTTGCTTTTTGGTTTTACTCGAATAATTAAAAATTTGATAGATTTTTGCCGTAATTCAGAGAAAACTCTTACAAAAAACACTTCAAATTTGACTACAATTTGACAATTCTTAAAAAAGCCTTTACTAGACTAAATTCAGCAAAAATCTATCAAATACCCAAAAAAATATATAATTGATAAACATAAAAATATAATTGATAAACGAGCTAACATTTAAAAATTTACAATGAAAGATATAAATAATAATACCGGTACTGAACGAAATTGAGTCATCATCAAACAAAAAAAAAAAAGGAGAAAGGAGAAACCCCAACAACGTGAACATGGAAATACCCGAATGAGAAAAGATAGCACCCGTGCTAAAACAAGAGCTAAAAAAACAAAAACAAATAGACTTGGCTAAATTCAACTTTACGCTTTGATCGAGAATCCAAACCAAGCCTGGTTTTTATGTTCTCTCTGATGCGAGAATGCATAAAAAACAAAATTATGAGGACGAAACGTTTTTAGAGAAAGAAAAATGAAAAAACCGTCAGACTGTAAAGTGAACGCAAATTAAGTCCACTTTACGGTCTAGGGTGAAAATTAGAATTTGAAAAAAATTAGCATTTGCAAGAAGTTAGCATTTGAAACTTAATTTACATTTAATCATGCTTCCAAATTTTCATTTTTCAGGAACCATCACGATTGCGCCGCAAGTCAAAAACGAAAATTGCACCGAAAGACCAATTTTCGCTGCTGGTCTTGCGGCGCAAATTTCGCAGCGCAAAATTCGGCAGCGCAATTTTCGCTTCTGGTATTTTGGCGCAAATTTCTTATGCTCAAATTTCGTTTTTGGGTCACGCGCAATTTTCGCGGCGCAACCGTGATGGTCCCATTTTCCACCACATTCGATAACCTTTACTTTCATTTTTACATTTTATTGCATTTCTTTTAACTTACGACTTTTCATTTCATTTCTTATGACTTATTTTTCATTTACTAATGTTTTTCTTTAGGAATGCGCATGACCGATCTCGTTAAAGCTCGATCAGACCGTAAAGTGCACTTAATGTGAGTGCACTTTACCGTCTGACAGTTCGTTTCATTTTTCTTTCTCTAAAAACGCTTCCCCCCTCATAATCTTATATTTTTTGTGCATTCAGGTATGGGGGAAAACATAAAAACCAGATTTCGTTAAAAATCTCGATCATACCGTAAAGTTAAATTTTGCCACAGACTTAAAGCCATAATTAACATGTCAAATGTGTAGGTATTTATGAAAATAACAAGTGAGCATCCTAAACACATTGATATGTCAACTATAACTTTAAGATTTGCTTAACAAGATGATCTTCCTCTTTCAGCAACGCTTTGGCCAAATCGTTTCTCTTGCACTGATCAGCTGTTCTTGCGGCATATGCGACGATTCGGTGTCGATCGTGCAGAGAATAGGCAATCGTCGAGACTTTCTTTGTTGTTTCTTCGATGTTGAATCGGCCTAAACGAGTCACTCGTGAATCAACGCAATACTTTGTGCTGATAAGCTAATATTTTGCAAGCGTACTTAATTAAAAACCTCTATTAGAAGAATGACATGTCGTCGTCATTATAAAAAAAAGTTTTACAGCAATCTATTTGATCTTTGAGTCATTTAATATCTCAACAAAATTTACCATATGACGCTTTCTTGACAATCTCGGTCGCTTTCGTCAAAGCATCTCTTAATTCAGCGTCTTCTAATCGTTCTTTTCTTCTTGATGACCCTTGTTGTATCGAGCTTCTTCTCATTGATCCATTCTCTGTACTCGATCGTCGTTCCAGTGCGATTTTCTTCGGTGATGAAGGTGTATGATCCTGTTCATCTTCATCTGGTGACAACTAAAAAGTTGCCATTTACTAAACATTGCATCACTTAAAAACTAACCACTCCATTTTCTTCCAATCCAGACAATGATCTTTTCCCATTCGTCTAAAAAGAACATATTTAAGTTTCAGAGTTTAGCAAACCTCCACAGAATCCATAGAAGATGTTTCCTCCATTTCAACATCCGTATCAGTGACATCAGACGTATACGAGATATCGGAGACAATTGACGATCGATCGCTGATTGTTTTTCGGCGCTCCCTAAATCAGAATTGTAAATAAAACAACTTTAATACAGCAAAAAAAAACAAATGTAAATCAAAACCCCAGCCAAAGCTAGACACCAATTTCAATGCATTAAAGGCTAAATGACTTTTAAATTTAAAAATTTGAATTTGAAAGTTGAAAATTAGTGAACTTTTAAGTCTCTGAGCAGCTCAATCTAGTCAATGAATGACTTAAAAGCTGTTTTTAGTTTACAATCTTTTAAATGGGTGAATAAAGTCAATTAAAATTGCTTATAAAAATCTCACCTCCAACTCTTCAACGCATTCCATGGCAGGGGTCCCGTTTTCCTTGTTCGATGTCGGTGTTGTCGATCGAATTTCCCGATTTTCTCCCTTCTCTGTTGTGTGGGATCTTTTGACGATCCGGTTCCAGTATTCGGGCTTTCCATCACCTCATCCACTCCAAAGTTGCCCAAATTCTTCTTGGCGAAAGGATTTCCAAAGCCAACCGATGTCGATCCACCATCGATTTCTCGGGGTCGAAAGCCGGCATTCTAAATGTTAAAGTTTAAATAAGTACCTAAATCATTAATTAAAAAAAACGTAAAACGATCGCAACGTTAACGATCGTAATGCTAACGATCGTAATGCTAGCGATCGCAACGTAAAACGATCGTAATGCTAGCGATCGCAACGTAAAACGATCGTAATGCTGACGATCGCAACGTTAACGATCGCAACGCTAACGATCGCAACGTTAACGATCGCAACGCTAACGATCGCAACGTTAACGATCGTAATGCTAACGATCGCAACGTTAACGATCGCAATGTAAAACCATCGCAACGTTAACGATCGTAACGCTAACGATCGCAACATAAAACGATCACAAAACGAACCGTCAACTCCTTGATATATTCCTCGTACATTCCCATCATGCTAACAGGTTGATCATGAATTTCAGCTAAACTTTCGATAACATTTAACCAATTTTAAAGTCACAAACCGGCATTTTGCAACCGAATGAGTGTTCCCGGTTTTCCACCTTGCAAGAAATGTGATTGTTGATCAGTGACACTTTGTCGATAATTCTCATGAAGCGAAATCAACGTTTGAATTAGTTCCGTTCTCCTAAATCTCACATTTTAACAAGCCAATTCAAAAAACACAAACTTGATAATCAATGGATTTTTGAACATCGACTCCTTTTGGCGATTGATCAGCGCATCTCGTACGGTGAGCTAAATTAAGCGATTAGCTGAATAGCAAATGCTTTATATAAATATTATTAGGTAATATGCAAATTACCATAAATACTGCAAATTACCAAATTACCTAATAGAAGCCCTTTCTCCATAATTACGTTTGCGACGCTACGACGCAATTACGACAAGTGCTTCGTTCTCGGCGCCGCTTTTTTGCTACAATTTGCGCTTGGGTGACAATCGATAGTCCTTGAATTCAACTATCTTTTAATACCAAAAAAATAGTTAGAAAAAATCTGGGGGTTGAGAAAAAAAATGATTTTGTAAACAAAATTTATCGACTACGCGACTGTACGAAAGGGGGCTTCTTCTATTAGTTTACGATAGGTAATCTTAGGTAATCTATCTCTTAATAATCCAATAAATTTATCGTAAACAACTAAAAATTTACTGCAAAAGATGGGAGTGGGACAAATGCGACCTTTTTTTGCGCACCCGGACATTTGCGCACCTTGCCCATTAGCGCACCTTTTTTCGCGTTTTAAAAAAGCTCTAAAAAGCTAATATTAACCAATTTCTATTCCAAAAGTTGTTTTTCTAGGTAATTTTAGGGCGTAGAATCGAAATTTTGACATATCAGAGCTTGTGGAAACAAACGGACCGAGTTATACAAAGAGAAAAATCGACAATATTCTGTAATTTGATCTAGCTTTCATTTGTTTCATTGATCTAGCCGTTTTGTCTTTCAAATTGGTTCCACGCTCTCTGTTATGTCAAAATTTGAATTCGACACCCTCACATTACCTAGAAAAACAACATTTGGAATAGAAATTGATTAATATCAGCTTTTAGAGCTTTTTTAAAACGCGAAAAAAGGTGCGCTAATGGGCCAGGCGCGGAAAAAAAGGTGCGCAAAAAAGGTCGCATTTGTCCCACTCCCTAATAATCTAATAAATTTATCGTAAACAACTAAAAATTTACTGTAAAAGATTCATTCTTCATATCAATTTGATAAAGTTTATAAACTTTTTTTAAAAATTCACCAAATTAAAAAATTCAATCTGTCATAATCACGTTAAAAGCCGAATTTCATTCAAGCAAAGATGCTTTACACTAAACGGCGTGGGCCATTTTTTTTTCGCCAACTTGCAGCTCATTTTTAAGCACCTTAAACTTGTCAGATCAGGAAGTTTTAATAAGATTTAGATAGCTTAGAATGTCAACTTTCAGAAACTATTTGTTTTATCAAAAGTTATTAACAAAAATCGGGCTGAAAAATGGTCAAAGAGTCGACCGTAAAGTCGACCCTTCCGTTAACCGTAAAGCACCCAAAGAAAAAGTCCTTTTCCCCACCTTTGGTCCTTCTTCTTGTTCCGTTTGTAGATCATCTGTTGGCAATCTCACATCCGGATCGACGATCGTTTTCCGATTTTCCCCATCTTTCTTCAATTTCCATCGACCCGCACATCGCTCCAATCGTGGCAAAACGGGAGTCATTCGTTGAATAGACGTCTAAATTTAAAAACAAATCAAATAAATCAAAAAAATCAATATAAACAATCAATAAGTCAATCAAAAAACCTATTAAAAACCCATTTAAAAAAAAAAGTTTCCAATTAAATTCTTTGTAAAAGTGTAAAAGTGTAAAAGTTTTCTCAAAAGTTGCGTCAATTCGATTGCGCAATCGAATTGACGTTTTTTTGACGTCATTTTTCTCAAACTTTTGATTTTTTTTAACTTAAACTATCGTAATCTGATTTGTTTCAAAGTTAGCGTAAAATAGAAAACAAAAATTAGGCTGAATATGTTTAAACTTATGAGAAAAATAGGAGAAATTGATTCAACAGTTCACTTTTTTTTGTTTTTGTTTTAAAGCTCATTAAAAAAAAAATGGTCAGAAAGTATTGAAGAATTTCTGACTGTGAGAAGAATTGAGGTCTTAAGAAGTTGTTTTCGATGAAATAGGTGAACGAAGAGAGCCGGAGTACTGAAGAATTTCTGATAGTAAGTAAATGAAATGGCTTTTCTGGAAAGTTGCTTCAGAAAGCTATTTCAGGAAATTTGCTTCAGAAATAGCATCAAGTCGAAGTGAAACAAAGAAAAGTTCAGGAAACCAGGAAAAGTCATTAAAAATCAATTCTATTAGTTCTATTAGTTTATCGATCGTTGAATACTAGCATTAGTTTCGAAAAAAAGTGCGCGATAAGGCTCAATTTCGTTTTGGATAACTGGGTTTTAAGAAAAATATTATACTAGCATTTCTAGGAAGCTTTAGAGCATTTCTAGATAGCTTTAGAGCATTCCTAGATAGCTTTAGAACATTCCTAGATAGCTTTAGAACATTCCTAGATAGCTTTAGAACATCCCTAATAACTTTAGAGCTTTCCTAAAGAGCTTTAGAGCATTCCTAATAACTTTAGAACATTCCTAATAAATTTAGAGCATTTCTAGATAGCTTTAGAACATTCCTAGATAGCTTTAGAGCCTTCCTAGATAGCTTTAGAGCATTTAATGGTTTTTTAAAAAGCAGGCAAGAGCTGGGTAAGTGCCAAATCAGGCTTTGGGGCTATTCTGGAATTTTCTTTCTATTCTATTCTTTCTTTCTATTCTATTCTTTCTTCTATTCTATTCTGACCTCTTTTTCCATAAAGATATTCAGTCAATCTTGTTTTTCCCCATTTTGCCCTTTATTAGCCTCCTTTCAAAACCCACCACAACGGGCATGAATCCAAGTTGAGCGATTGTCGGCGTAACATTTTGATGCTGTACTTTCGCATTCACATCATCAAATTCCCTCTTTGCAGCATCCTGAATGAAAATCATGTAAATTAATCAATTTTTTTTTTTTTAGTAATCTAAATCAATTGCAAACCTTAGCGACTCGTAAAAGTGCTTCACTTTGCTTATCTTGCTTGCTGCCTACCCGATATGCTTTGATTGAGTAGGTGATTTGTCCGTTAAATGGCGGAATCGAGCACTGTTGCTCGAAAAGCTCCGGTGGCACGTTGAAGCGGCGAAAATGTTTGCGAAGGTGCTAAAAATTGTGAAATTAGATGATAGATGATGTGATTGAAGAATTTCGATAGAGATGATTTGATTAGAGAATCGAGATACCTACCGTAAACACTGTAATAGTACCCCACCTCCCTCGTACAATCGCGTAGTCGCAAAAGTTTTTTTAGTATTTCATTTTTTTCAAAGCGCCCGTACTTTCAAAAAATGTGTCTTTGGGTATGAAAAAATAGCGCTGAATTTCAGCTATTTTTTTGATAACTAAGCGCGCACTGTAGCATAAACCAGTGTCGAGAAAAACGCGTTCAACGCTAGACTACGCAACGCTCCGCACCGTCATTATGGGGCTGGGCTACCCCTACAGTATTTACGGTAGGTGTTATTTCTAAAAGTTTTCTCTAAAATTGCGTTTACAAGGTTGGAAACTCGTCTACAAACTTGGAAATTATGGAAACTCGATTTTTCGACTTTAACTCGACACTCAATTATTCAATTTCCCTAATTTCATATTTATATAAAATTTCAATCCAATTTCTCCGTTCAATTTCAATTTTTTACTTCAGAAACACAGTGTTACGCTTTTTATAGCACTTCGAAGTTCACAAAATGTCAACCACTCAGCAGAATTGTTTTTTTTTGACATGATTTGCACATTGTTTTCGATAATTTTCAACTCTAAAGAAGCAATTCTTTTAGCTTTTTCCATTCTTTAGCTAAATTTAGACAAATATCACAAAATAAAGGCAAATATCACAAATATCACTTTGCAAGAAAGCAAATCAGGAATGATAAAGATCACTGCCCAGTAAATGATACAGATTCAACTATTGCCTCTCAATTGCCTCAATTTTGAAATTATTGTAAATCTTCTGCTGTGAAATGCTTCAGATAATTCTATTTCTTAATAAAAAAGCAAAAATGATTGAATACGAAGGGGGGATCTTTTCAAAATCCTGTCAAACAACAATTCAGCCGAGAGATTGGCATTTCTGAACTTCGGAAGTACTATAAAAAGCGTAGCACTGTGTTTCTGAAGTAAAAATTGAAATTGATCGGAGAAATTGGCTTGAAATTTCATATAAATATGAAATTCGAGGAATTGAATAATTGAAAACTCGATTTTTCGACTCGATTAAAGTCAAAAAATCGAGTTTTCATAATTGTGCGCTTGCAGAATTTTGAACCACCATTAACTAATCGCTTTTAAAAACTTTCCTTACAAGCAATACAAATACGAATACAAAAGAAGCGCTAAGTTTAGATCATCTAATGCATTTTAAATTTCGATCATCTAATGCACAGTGATCTCATCTAAACAGTGAACATCTAAACATCTAAACAGTGAACAGAGTCATCTGGAGTCATCTAATGCACAGCTTTAACTTACCACAAGATAATACAATGGAACGGTCTTCAAATAAGTCGCCAATTTCTCTTGCCAAACCGTATTGCTCTTCACTACGATGTTTTTCTGAAATTCAGAGTTCATTGATTAAGCTTTTGAAAGCCCCATTTGAAAGTTTCTTGAGAATAAAAGTTTGTTAAAAGTCATTGCCGACGTCATTACAGATTTTGATAGTACTAATTGTCGATAAAAATTCACACAATTCTCTTCATAATCAACCTTGATTTCATCAAAAAGCGGCAATAATGCCGGATAGTTGTATGGAAGAACAAATAGCGACACAGATTGAAGAGTTGATGCAACCTTTAAATAACCAAACGGTTTTCCCAGTCCCTCGTGTCGCGATGAGTTTTTCACGTAAACCTAAACGATTCAAGTCTCCATCATGTTCTCTCCAATCTCTCGACTCACCATCCATCCCAATTGCGATTGTGTTTGTTGTTTATCAGTCATGTACTCGATCATATATTCAGTTAAAGGTCCAGCCTCGACTTCATAGCGATCAAATGGAACATCCTGAAACGATCATAGAAAGATTTACATTCAACTTTACCATAAAATAATGAGCAGTGTCAGTAGGTTGAACTTGAACGTAAATCGTCGGATTTGCGCGTCGAGCCGGAATTGAACGAGTGCTAAAAGTTGACATAAACTTATCATAACTATTTTTGTTACTTTAGCAATTGGCATTTTATTCTACAAGCTACAAGCTACAAGCTACATTTTATTCTACAAGCTATAAGCACTTCAAATAAAACAAACTCTAAAGTTTGAGATGAAAAAGACTCGGGAAACGGCCAATGAATCTGCGGAATCGCTCCCGAATTCTTGATGTAGATCATCGACAAGGGTCGACGCTGAAATTAATAAATATTGACGAAAAAATCAAATCTTTCTTACCTCCAATCTTGTTGAGAGACTCTTATCATCTTGTAGGCCATTTCTATCTAAAATTTTCACTGGTTTAAAGCTGGCTTTAAAACATTTATTATCTACAATTTGCAAACAAGAAAACAAACTATTTTTTTATTTTTATCTACGTTTTCTTGCAATCTTTTTGTTAGGAATAGTTGTTTAGTTGTTTAGTTGTTGTTGTTGTTTAGTTGTTTAGTTGGTGTTGTTGTTGTTGTAGTTATAATAGTTGTTTTAAATCATTTCCCACAGATTATATATGTTAATTGTGTTTTCTAAAATGCGGACCTTCTACTATTTGTCCACCATTTCACAGCATTTTTTTTTTCTTTGGTCAAATTCGTTGTCGAACTGTTGTTTTGAAAAGGATTTTCCAATATTTCGTCTGTTTAAATAAATTTTTAAATCAGCTTCGTCAATTTAAATAAATTTTTTAATCAACTTCGTCAATCAACTTCAATCAACTCAAAATGTACTCATCAAAATCAAGAAAACCCATAAATATACAACATTTTTACTATACAATATTCTCATGAGACTCAACCAAAATTTTGCAAACTTACGTTGATAGGCTTCAAATCGAAGAACGGCTCCTGAAATGGACATCACTCCCATAAATTGTTGAACGAAAAATGGAGATTGCTCGTGAGAGTAGAGAGACCATGAACGACCTGGAAATCAAAAAATTGTTGAGTTAAAAGAGTTCTTGGAAAAGTGGTCGTCAATATGCTCAAAAATCTCAATCTCTTAATCATAGAATAGTAATTGATCAAATTCTTGACGCATAACGAGCCGAATTTCAAATTCTACTCGTTATCGAGCTCTTTTCTTTCATTTTCTTATCGAGCTTCTTTTCTACCTCCTGTTTGTCGACAGAGTCGGTCAAGCGGTGAAACATCGGGCTCAATTTTCTTTGTCACATCAAAACCGGAAGGGCGATGAGTTGACGGTAGCCGAAGAACCACCTAAACAATAAAATTATGCTTGAAATTTAATGCCGAGAAGCAGACAGACTTAACAATAAGCTAATGAAACAAGCTAATAAGCTTATCAAAATGCTTCTCTTTGGTTGGTTATACCAAGAACATTTCGTGTCCATTTTCGATTAAATTTCGATTCAATGATTAAACGATTAAATCATTGATCAATCAATGAAGATCAATCATCATTGATCAATCATTTCAATCATGTCCTCTGAAAACAATTTCTCATTGCTTTCTAACGCACCGAGAACACTCGTTGATCCCATCGAAACGCTTCTTCCATAAATTCTCCTGCTGGATGTCGACCATTGAATATAATCTAAACATAAACTTTAAAAAAAAACAACACTCTTTTTCTATAGCAACATCATCTATTTAACTATAAATAAATTTTAACGGTTTTATGCGCTAGATTCTACTCATATCACTCTTTTCCTCGTTCTCCTTACTCACCGGGAAATCATCCGGCAACGAACTGGCTCCAAGCGAATCCGTGATCACCACAATCACCACATTGTCATTTTGCAACGAAAACCACCGTCCCAGTCCGAATTGGTCTTGTCCAGTAGCTGCCCTAGAAAAAAAACAATTAAAACTAGAAAGATAGCATCTAATTTAAGCCTAGACACTAGTTTTGTTAGTAAAATATGTTAGTGTTAGTGGTAGTAATGTTAGCAACACTAAAATATGTTAGTGTTAGTGTTAGTAACTGTTAGCAACACTAAAATATGTTAGTAAATCGGCTCGCCGACTTTCTTTTCACAAACCGATGCGTATTGATGTATTTGAGTGAGTTCAAAACGGCATGTCCCAGATGAAATTTCCCATGTGGTCTCAAATTGTTTACCGATTGCTCAAAAATTTGACTTCCTTCACGAAATCCGGCCTAAAATAAGCAATTTTGTAGAGCCCACTCTAAATATTAACCTCGTCACAGAATTTTCTTTCACTTTACTATTGAATTAATTAAAAAAGCAGAATTTCAAAATCTATTCATCTATTCTATTCAATCAAATCGATTAAAGTTTTACTAAAAGGCTAGGCCAAATCGTTAGACTCAATTTCAACGGCTAAAAGAACCTTTTAGCTCTTTTAGCTCAAAGAACTCTTTTATGTTCCTCTTTGACATTTAAAAGAGCTTTCTCTCGTTGTCTGCCCTTAACCCGACCCCTCTTTTTCTCTGTTACTAGCACCGATCATCTCAATTCAAAAAAATCGAAAGAGACAACGATGTCTCTTACAGAATTAAGCAATCAGTACAAAAATGTATAAAGATTAGATCGAATTGTAGCTGAAGAGCTGTGAAAAGAAAAAAATGTATGAGAAAGCGAAATTCTTTTTCTAGTTTTTAAAGACTTTCGAGTTACTGACCATCGCATTGTACTCATATGCACTCTTGATCTGTGGCTAGTTTGAGAGCAACCAATGCTCAACATCACATCGTTTTCAGCTAAAATGGTCAGCTCACGGTCAACAAAAACCATCATTTTCACCAAAGATCGCTATCTTTGGGTAACTTTTCACAGATTCCGTGTGCGTGTACAAGTAAAACAAAGTGAAACACGAAAAATCGATGGTGATTTGGGTTTTCTCATCACATTTTTCTTTCACAGCTCTTCGACCACATCATTCATTTGTTCTCACGTCGCACCTTGACACACAGCGGATATTCTTCTGTCGTAATCAACATGTACCGGTCGGCTCCCTTCATTTGCTCTCTTGCCTAAAAATAATTCCAATATTTGTCCATCTTTGCTCTTTCGGAATTAAGCTTAGAAAATTCTCCATAAAACAGACCTTTCGAATATTTCCAACTAAACCCCTAGCATGCTCAAGATACGTTAAGCCCATGTACGAGCTTGCTGCCATAGAGGCACTTGTATCCACGAGAAAGAGTAGAATCGTCATCCCTCATCGACAATTGAAGAAGCAGCGATGAAAAGCGACGAGATCCTGAAGAAATCAAGTGATCGTTTGACGTGAACGCAAAACATGCGAATGAGGCAAATAGGCGGGACTCCGGCCCTTTTATTCACTCGGCGAGACGCGACGCGACACTCCGCCGCGTTACGCTTCAGACATTTCTCGCTATTCAGCCATTTGACTAGATATTTTTTCTTTTACCAGTCTATAAATCAAAAAACTTTAAGAATTAGTTTCGAGAGCTGATCAAAACAGCGCCACAACAAAAATACCCCATCCGCGATTAAGTTTCGATATTTTTCTCATTCTTATTGGATTTAGAATAAAATTATCTACATTTTGTATACTTTGGGATCATCTAAAACAGAATTGGCGTCGAGAAAAGCTCAGTTAACGGGCGTGGGACAAATGCTACCTTTTTTTGCGCACCTGGACATTTGCGCACCTTTTTTTGCCGGAAAAGGCCTTAGGAAAGGTCGTAGAGCTTCAAAAATGTTTTCATAGAAGGGAATCGTATGCGTAGATTCCGAATTTCGACAAATCAGACCTCGCTGACACGTCAAATTTGGGCTGAAAGGTAAAAACTACGCAACTTAACGCTTTTCCGCAGTTTTTACCTTTTAGCCCAAATTTGACATGTCAGCGAGGTCTGATTTGTCGAAATTCGGAATCTACGCATACGATTCCCATCTATGAAAACATTTTTGAAGCTCTACGACCTTTCCTAAGGTCTTTTCCGGCAAAAAAAAGGTCGCATTTGTCCCACCCCCGATCAAAACAGCGCCATAGCAAAAATACCCCATCCGCGGTTAAGTTTCTATATTTTTCTCATTTTTATTGGATTTAGAATAACATTTTCCACATTTTGTATACTTTGGGATCAACTAAAACAAAATTGGTGTCGAGAAAAGCTCTTTTTGAGCTATTTTTCGTTTTTTTTTTTGGCATCTTCTCATCCCAGATTTGTTCTAAACGGCTCCAAAAAATTCAGCAGATAGCTAATTTTTTTTCTACGTCTAATGAAAATAAGAAACACAAATAAACTTAACCGCAAACGCATTATTTTGGTCGGCGCTGTTTTAACCAGCTCCATTAGTTTCATTTTTCTTGTACCTTTCAACTTATTAAATTTTTTTGTTTAGATGGAGGTCGAGCCCTCAAATTCCACACAGGAAGCAGAAAATGAAGGTTTGTGATTTTAAAAAAAAAGCGTTATCACTAACTTTTATACGTTTAGGTGCTGCTCCAGTTCGCGGGATGCCAAAATCGGGCAGATGGTGGAAAGAAACAAAGAAACCAAAGTAAGATTTCTTTTTTTATGAAATGTGGGGTAAAAAGGGTTGTCGCTAAACTAAAAGACGATTAAAAGTCGCTTTATTCGACGTTTTTAATGATGAATAACGGGAAAACGTGTGTTTTAATAAATTCATCGTCAAGCGCAACGATAAATATAATTAAAACGTGTCTAACGTGTAAGTGTTAAATGCGCGTACCTGTTTACGTAACATTTGTGATTTTAGGAATACGATCAACAAGGTCAAGCCACTCCACTCATCGTGGGAAAAGAAAATGACTCAACGTGCCCAGAAAGCTCAAGTGAAACTTCTACAGCAAGAAATTCGGGACAAGTTGACACAAGAGAAACAGGTAAAGGATAAGTTTTGCGGCGTCTTGCTAATAAAGGCTTTAGGACAAGATTGAGCGCAAGAAAGAACACGAAGAAAGGCGAAAGGAGAACGCAAGGAAAGCAGAAATTGTGCAGGTTTGTTATTTTTGAATCGATAACGTTGGTGTTAGATCAATTTCAAAATGATTTTAAAGATTTAGTAAAGGGCAAAAAGTATACTCTCGGCTCTCCAAAACGTACTAGCGGATTTTTGATTTTGTCTGATCGTATCGTGAAATTCTCTATTTGAATCTTGGTACTAAGTCAGTTGCCTCCCCCCCCCCCAACTACCTAGTACCAAGGGGGTTACCTAAAATTTTCCCAAATGTAGTTTTTCTAGGGTAATTGATGGCGCTGATCACGAAAAAAAAAACATTTTGAAGGGATGTTTGCAATCAAAAAAACTTATTTTCCCAAATATTAATAGCCGGTTACTTCCATTTACTTAATATGTGTCACATTTGCGCTAGCTGCCAGTAGTCTGCTAGAAGCATAAAGGTAGCGGGCTTTGTGCCTTTGTGAAGCCTATCGATGTTGGCCTAACGTCCAACATCTACACACAAAGCCCGCTGCCTTCCAGCTTTAGCGACCGGGGTGCTGCAGTTAGATCACACGGACGCGTTCGGCGCAGCAAAGGTGCGGGGCCAAAGCCAAGGTAAATATATGGCACCTATGAAAAAAGAATAACTTAAAAATGTTTTTTTTCGTGATCAGCGCTATCAATTACCCTAGAAAATCTACATTTGGGGAAATTTTAGGCGCTCCTCCCCAACTGCCTTAGTACCTGAATCTTTTAAACTATAAAAGTTTCATGATTTCTATTGGAACTTTTATATTTCAAATTTTTAAATGTTGTCTATGTATATTTCATTTATTCAGGTGATCCGAAAGACAGAGAAGCTGAAGAAAATGAAAAAGAAGCAATTAAGAAAAGTCGAGAAGAGAGATGTCACATAAAAAGTGTTCTTTATTTTTGCCTATTTTATTGTTTTTCTTTCTTGTTACCGTTGTTTTTAGTTGTTTGTTGATTTTCTTTCTTTTTTTGTTGATTATTAAATAAAATTATTATTTTACAGTTATTGATAAAAAGCCAGATAAAAGGAGGTTGAAATCTTGTGTGAAATGAAGAAAAAGTAAAAGTTTCTTGTTTTTTAGATATGTCTCAACGACTGAAAGTTCTAGAGTTGTACCGAACTTTGTACTACATGGGCAAGGAGTATCCAAACGGTAAGATTTTTCTTTGTTTCCAATCAAATTCCTTTTTCTTTACGAGGTTCATTTGAAGATTTTAGGCAGTCAATGGTTCCACACACGCTTGAAACTCGCCTTCGCCAGGAACAGTGCTGAGACCGATCCGCAAAAGATTGAACAACTTATACAGGTAAGCATTTTGAAAGTTATAATGATACTGTCAGTTAAACTCTTTCTAATCTATTTTATTTTCAATGATTAGCATTTTTGTTAAACCGATTCCACAAAACCATGCTTTCATGAGCGTCTAACCAGTTTTATTATTAATTTTTATCAAAAAACACTTTAATAATTGAGTGTTACAAGAGTTTAATTGACAGATACGTTAGATTATACCTTAACTATTGGATCGAAGTGTAGATTTGAGGTAAATGTTAGTTTGCTAGCGATGACTCTATAGGATGTTCCGTATATAGTGTTGCGCTTAATGCATCTTTTTGGCTTTCGAAGACAATAAATTAATCTATGTCCAATTTTGACGTTTTATAGCTCATCCTAAAGCTGAATTCAAGACGGATCCATTGGTAAAAACTGTTTTGAGATATCTCTTTTCTAAAACTTTTTACAGCTATTTTAGTAAAGGGCGGCAGAGCCAAAAAATGGCTGTTTTCACGTTTCGTTAGTTTTCCGTGCAGAAACCTAGGCTAAAACCATGTGTTTCGTGATCAGCGTCAAAAATAACCCCTAGACACGCATTTTCAGAATCTTAGCAAAAAATTTTTGAAAAATATTGTCACCGGTGGAAGTCGAAACAGCGGCCCTCAGATCAATAGCCTTTGAAAGTTATAATGATACTGTCAGTTAAACTCTTTCTAATCTATTTTATTTTCAAAGATTAGCATTTTTGTTAAACTAATTCCACAAAATCATGTTTTCATGAGCGTCTAACCAGTTTTATTATTAATTTTTATCAAAAAACACTTTAATAATTGAGTATTACAAGAGTTTAATTGACAGATACGTTAGATTATACCTTAACTATTGGATCGAAGTGTAGATTTGAGGTAAATGTTAATTTGCTAGCGATGACTCTATAGGATGTCCCGTATATAGTGTTGCGCTTAATGCATCTTTTTTGGCTTCCTAAGAAAATACATTAATCTAAGCTGAAAAACAACAATTGATTATGAAATCTACGTGTAATTTTACATAGAATAGAAGAACCGTAACATTTTTTTAATGACTTTGACAACCCTAGCCGAGCAGTACAAAAAATGCTATGCTGAGAAACAGTTAAATTCGAGTTTAGGTTTTCTAAAAGTCGTCTCTTTCCATCTTTTTCTGTATTAATACATTTTTAGAGTTAATTACTATAAAAATAAGTGCTTCTTGAGAACCATTATTGCAAATGCAAATGCAAATGTTGCAAATTATATTGGCTAACAAAAATGGGCACATTTTTGACAAATTTCATTTTTTCTAGAGCAGCAATCAAGGCTTATATGAAATGAATGAAGTTTAAAATTTAATTTTTACACAAACTCATTAATCTAGTGGAAAAATGTTCGTAGATTTTAAATATCTAGACGAAAAAAATGTCAACTTTTTGATTTTTGAAAAAAATCATCCTTTTGTAGAGCGCAACACTAGATATAGGAACACCCTGTACTAACGATGTTTAAATGCTTTTTCTTTTTAAATAGCTCTATTTGAAATTTTTTTTTAGAGAGGCGAATTCGTTGTCAAAGAAATCGAAGCACTTTACAGTTTGAGAAAGTACCGAGCCATGAAACAACGATACTACGAGGACAGTCAATAGGTTTTGTGCATATTTTTGGTATAGACGATGCGTGAAAAGTTTTGATGTCGTGGAAAGAAGACCGCCTATTGAAGATTGAAAAGAACTAGAACAAAACGGATTTCAGATTCGAAAAAATTAACTATTTTTACCTTAGGGAAGCTTTTTGTTTAGTAGATTTCGGCTTCTTGCATCAATTTTTGAGCTTTGTTTCAGTGGCAACTCGGAACAATTTGTTAAATGTTAAATTTTTCCGGTAATGAACCTTAAACTACAGTCGACTCTCTCTATAACGAAATGGAAGGAATTAAAAAATTCCTCCGTTATATAGAGTGCCGTTATAGAAGTCGACTGTACAACTCGAAAATGGTCGAAAACGAAAACCACTCGAAAATGATTATTTCAAAACGAATTTGGTTGTATGAAGGTTCATTTTAAAGGAAAATGATTCGTCTTTCTAATAGACACAAAAGCATGCATTTAAGCCTACCCCAAAAGCTTGGCTTTTGCTTAGCACAAATTCTAAGCAGCGAAATTTGGCAACTCACTCCGCGACTAAGAATATTATCAAAAATAATCCCTATTTCATTTTGAATTCCCTATTTCCTTCCCTATAGCATGCAAAAAGTTTCTTTGGGGTTTGTTAGACACTGAAAACTTTATGTTTAATAGTATTTTTTTCAATCTGAAATCCGTTTTGTTCTACCTTTTTTCAATCTTAATATAAGCGGTCGTCTTTTTATGCTGTCAAAACAGCGCCGTCAAATTTCTCGAAATCCAAAAAATCCAAGCCGGTTCAAGTTTTATATCAAAAAATTCCTTGCGTTCTTGGCTACATGATGGGTGAAACAGTTTTTAAAAAAAGTTAATATTTCATAGATAAAAAGAGCACTCAAAATGGGTCTCTAAAGATATTCAGTTAACCAACTGGGTATCATCACTCGACGCACATTTTGAGTGCTCTTTTTACCTATGAAATATTAACTTTTTTTAGAAAACTGTTTCACCCATCATGTAGCCAAGAACGCAAGGAATTTTTTGATATAAAACTTGAACCGGTTTGGCTTTTTTGGACTGTGAGAAATTTGACGGCGCTGTTTTGAACGTTTTCTATTATGGCGCTGTTTTGACTACCCCCCGGTCAAAACATTTCACGCACTTTTCACGCACCTAAATACTTGTAGCTGCTTTACGTGTGTTTTTTTTTTGATAATAAATTTATTCCGCTAAACAAATCAAATCAAAAGCAATAAAAAGGCCTAAATTCTAGAGCTAAATGAATAATATAATAGGTGTAAAACTATAATAAATTATGGATTTTAAGTGAATGGGGTTTTATTTTCAGCTGAGATTGGAGTTTTTTTTTTTGGTTCTACATGGAAAACATTTCAGGATTACTCGTCAACAATTGGGGAAATTTTCTTTTTTTTTTTTTTTTTTTTTAAAGCAATTTCTAGATCTATTGGATGTGCGAAATACAAAGAACACAAGCATATTTCTTTTTTTTTTGTGCTGAAAGATTTCTCGGACAACTGATCGAGTGAGCTTGAGCTGGAAGGGAATTTTTTGATTATTAAAGGAATATTGCTTTTAGAATTTTAGCAAAAAAAAAAAAATCACAGGGATTGGGGCTAATTGGGGAATTTTTCTAGTGATTTTTTTGATCGATTATCCCCCAGCAACGGTGTCGTAATTGGCACGGAAAAGGCGCTTGTGAAGCTCGAATTTCCACACAGCGCCCGCGGCAAGGATGACGAGAATGATCAAGACGAACACCTGGAATTGAGGGAATCTCGGGATGGATGAAGCTTTTGGACTCCGCAGTGCGTTTGAAGCTTTATGAAATTATGGTTTTCAATCACGTTTTTGTTAAATGGTGGGTATTTACAGGGTGACCAAGAATTATCGCAACAACTTTTTGAAAAAGGATCTAGGAAATGCCTAACTTATTTTAGAAGTATCAAGTGTTATATAGAGAATATTGTAGCTCTAATTCTTGGCAACATTTATCTCCCAAGAAACTTCCCGATTGAACTTATACGACTCATTTAATAAGCGCTTGAATGATCGCTAGTCGACATCTCTCCGGCGAATCTGTTATTTGGCGCTAAAAACTCGTTTCCTTAATTAAAAATTGAGTTGAAAGCTTGATTTTTGATAGAGTTTTGTTAAACTCTTTTAGATGAAGAAAAACATTGTTTTGATAGAGTCAATTTTGCTTAGAGTCAGTAAAAGTCAATGTTTGCCGAATGGACAAAATGATGAATGAAAGATTATGGTAGCTTTTCAAATTACCAATCGTTTAGAAAATAGACAATCGCGAGCAATGATTGAACATTTTTTTTGTCAAGCTTTAGAGTTTATTCAATACTACGGTACTTCCTACAGTTACGGTTTCGGTAACATCTGTTAAATAGGCTAGGGTTACGGTATCCGTCAAGTTTTAAAGGGCTTTAATGGGCTGTAGGGGGTTTAGAGGGCTTTAGAGGGCTGTAGGGGGTTTAGAGGGGTTTAGAGGGCTTTAAAGGGCTTTAGAGGGCTTTAGAGGGCTTTAGAGGGCTTTAGAGGGCTTTAAAGGGCTTTAGAGGGCTTTAAAGGGCTTTAGAGGGCTTTAAAGGGCTTTAGAGGGCTTTAGAGGACTTTAAAGAGCTTTAGAGGGCTTTAATGGGCTTTAAAGGGGTTTAAAGGGGTTTAAAGGGGTTTAGAGGGCTTTAGAGGGCTTTAGAGGGCTTTAAAGGGCTTTAGAGGGCTTTAGAGGGCTTTAGAGGAAGGACTTTAATGAGCTTTAGAAGACTTTAAACGACTTTAGAAGACTTTAGAGGACTTTAAAGAGCTTTAAAAGGCTTTAGAAGGACTTTAAAGGGCTTTAGAGGACTTTAAAGGACTTTAGAGGACTTTAGAGGACTTTAAAGAGCTTTAGAAGGCTTTAAAGGACTTTAAAGGGCTTTAGAGGAAGGACTTTAATGAGCTTTAGAGGATTTTAAAGCCCTTTAAAGCCCTTTAAAGCCCTTTAAAGCCCCTTAAAGGGCTTTAAGGGGCTTCAGTTTCAAACGTACTTTTAGAACTTTTTTTGGATATTCAATCACTTACCGTAATCATCATAGCATTGCTCTCATCGGGTATCGGTTCTTGTTTCGCCTTCTCGTAGATAACTGACGTTTTCTCCTTCTCTTTGTCCTTCTCTTTCCCGTTCTCTTTCCCCTTCTCCCCTCCATCGCCTTCTTCCTCGTCACCTTCCTCCTCCTCTTCCTCTTCTTCTTCCTTGTCCTCTCCTCTCTCATTTTTCTCTTCTTTCCCCCCTTTCATCGGCTCTTCTTCCTCTCTTTCCTCTTCTTCCTCTTCCTCATCGTCTGTGATTTGCTCGATCTCCATTTTTGGTTTAGCTCTAAATTTTGTTCTCTGAATTTTTATAAGAATTTGATTGAAAGCAAGGCCTTAAGATTTTAATGATTTTCAATTAATCACTTCTAAAATTTGAAAGCGATAGACCTTGTAAAATAAAATTTTTTGTTCTTTAGTGCCTTCTTTGCCTCGTTCAATTGAAAACAGATCATATTAAGCAAGTTTTGGCACATTTAAAAGTCAGAATTTGATGGAGAATCGATTGGTGCCATTTGCAGGACGATCCGATGTCTAGAAGTAGGCCAAACGCTACTTCTAGACGTTCTAGTCAAACGTCTAGAAGTAGTCAAACGTCTAGAAGTAGTCAAACGGTACTTCTAGACGTTCTAGCCGTTCTAGACGTTCTAGACGTTTGTCTAGAAGTAGTCAAACGGTACTTCTAGACGTTCTAGCCAAACGTCTAGAAGTAGTCAAACGTCTAGAAGTAGCCAAACGTCTAGAAGTAGTCAAACGGTACTTCTAGACGTTCTAGCGGTTCTAGACGTTCTAGCCGTTCTAGACGTTCTAGACGTTTGTCTAGAAGTAGTCAAGCGTCTAGAAGTAGTCAAACGTCTAGAAGTAGTCAAACGCTACTTCTAGACGTTCTAGCCGTCCTAGACGTTTGTCTAGAAGTAGTCAAACGCTACTTCTAGACGTTCTAGCCGTTCTAGACGTTCTAGACGTTTGTCTAGAAGTAGTCAGACGTCTAGAAGTAGTCAAACGCTACTTCTAGACGTTCTAGCCGTTCTAGACGTTTGTCTAGAAGTAGTCAGACGTCTAGAAGTAGTCAAACGCTACTTCTAGCCGTTCTAGACGTTCTAGACGTTCTAGACGTTCGTTCTAGAAGTAGGCCAAACCGGGCAATTCCGTCTATTTCTTAGTAAAAAAACCGGAATCTGCGAAATTGCCCGTTTGACTCACTTACAGACTTTGAATCGTCCTGCAAATGAAAGCGATCGATTCTGCATCAAATTCTGACTTGTAAATGTGCCAGACACCATCAAAATCATCGAGAAATTAAGCTCCAAAGTCGGACTCACAATTCTCACTGTGCCGCCAATGAAAAGTCAACTTTTGGATTTCCGAAAATCTCGATTTCCGGAAAATCTCGATTTCTCAAGAATTTTCGCAATTAAAATGCTTAGAGTTGGTGAAATTTTGTTCAATAACTCATAGAAAAATAGTAAATTCAAGTGCTAACAAGGTGTTAACAAGATTTTGACAAGTTTGCTTTCAAAAACTCAATAAATTAGTAGGATGCCGAGCGAGATTGAGCTCTAAACTTTGAAAGGTTCTTGTTGCGTGTGTTGCGGTAATTCTTGGGCACCCTGTAGGTGTGTTTCGAGATGTTTACTCACATATCTAGAGCCTAGAACAGCCTATAGTTGTCCAGGGTAGACTCTAGCCTAATAGCTCTGGCCTAATAGCTCTGGTCTAATAGCTCTGGCCTAATAGCTCTGGCCTAATAGCTCTGGCCTAATAGCTCTGGTCTAATAGCTAGCTAGGGTCAAAATGATAAAATATTACAGTATTCATACCGAGAGTTCCCATTTTTTTCTCTCTTTTCTCACTCACCTTTCCTTCATCGTTTTCTTTCCGCCTTTTGTCTTCTTTCGATTGCTCAGCTTCTTGTCGTTTGACTGAATGAAATTCTTTATAAAAATAGTAGCTGTTATCAGATTTAAACTACTGGACAATGAAATATGATATTTGAAAAACGATCGTCACTTTCGCGCGTCTGTAACTCCCTTGTCTTTACCGTATTTCTAAATGTTAATATTACCATTCGGTAGCGCTTTTCTACCGTTAAAAAACGGTATGCGGTAGCTGGAACCAGGCTAGCCTTGGATTGCGGTAGCTTTTCGGGGCGTAATCAAAACAGTGGGACCAGAACGGCTCCAAAAGAGCGCCACTATTAGACTTGCTTATCGACCTATAGCTGATCCATAGCTGACCTATAGCTGGCCGATAGCTGAGCTATAGCTGATCCATAGCTGACCTATAGCTGGCCGATAGCTGACCTATAGCTGGCCGATAGCTGACCTATAGCTGGCCGATAGCTGAGCTATAGCTGATCCATAGCTGACCTATAGCTGGCTGTGACCCATAGCTGGATAGTGACCCATAGCTGGCCGATAGCTGAGCTATAGCTGATCCATAGCTGACCTATAGCTGGCCGATAGCTGATCCATAGCTGACCTATAGCTGGCCGATAGCTGACCTATAGCTGGCCGATAGCTGACCTATAGCTGGCCGATAGCTGACCTATAGCTGGCCGATAGCTGACCTATAGCTGGCCGATAGCTGATTCATAGCTGACCTATAGCTGATCTATAGCTGACCTATAGCTGATCTATAGCTGATCTATAGCTGACCTATAGCTGACCCAATTGAGCTGAGACTAATATGGCTGTGACGAGTTTTCTATCGTAAATCTACACTACTGGACAATGAAATATGATATTTGAAAAACGATCGTCACTTTCGCGCGTCTGTAACTCCCGTCTGTAACTCCCTTGTCTTTACCGTATTTCTAAATATTAATATTACGATTGTGTAGCCCTTGAAGTAGCCCTTGAAAAGAGCTTTCAGAAAATGTATAACACTAATAGTTTAAACTCAAAGACAAGAGAGTTATAGACGCGCGAAAGTGACGAATTTGACGAATCGAAGACGAACGAAATCGTTTTTCAAATATCATATTTCATTGTCCAGTATTGTACTTCGAGGATAGGATTTAACTAAGTAACTTAACTCTGGAGCTGGAGCTAATAGAGCTCTGGAGTTGGAACTACTGAAGCTCTGGAGCTCTGGAACTCTGGAGCCTCGGATCTCTGGAGCTCTGGAGCTGGAGCTCTGGATCTCCGGAGCTGGAGCTCTGAATCTCTGGAGCTGGAGCTCTGGATCTCCGGAGCTGGAGCTCTGGAGCTCTGAATCTCCGGAGCTGGAGCTCTGGATCTCCGGAGCTGGAGCTCTGGAGCTCTGAATCTCTGGAGCTGGTAGGAGTACTGTACTTCTAATATTAAACTTTAAACTTTAAAACTCATCTAAAAGATTTAATCAAAAAAACCCAAACCGTAAAGCATCCTTTCACTTGCAACTTCTCACTTTCGAATCTCGCACATCCAACCGGTTCCATTTCATCAGCGAGTTCAGCCTCTTCACTAGAAAAGTTTCTTTAAACCTTTAAAACCTTTAAACCTTTAAACCTTTAAAAGCCTTTAAGAAGCTTTAAAAACCTTTAAAAACCTTTAGAGACCTTTAAAAACCTTTAAAAGCCTTTAAAAACCTTTGAAAACCTTTAAAAAGCTTTAGAGATCTTTAAAAACCTTTAATTTCAATACTGTACAAGGACGGTAATTGCTCTAAAAAACAAAACAAAAAAGTGAACTCACGCAAAACTCGCGCATCCTGCCATGGCAAAAGACTGAAGTTGAGAGATTGAAGAGTTCATTGATGACTAAAATTGGGATATTTCGTATGGTAGATGGGTTTTGTATTAGATTTAAAGAAAAAAAACCAAAGCGAGACCGAGGCGCGATCTTACGACCGAGAGGCCTTTTGGACCGATTGAGAGGCCTTTTGGACCGATTGAGAGGCCTTTTGGACCGATTGAGAGGCCTTTTGGACCGATTGAGAGGCCTTTGGACCGATTGAGAGGCCTTTGGACCGATTGAGAGGCCTTTGGACCGATTGAGAGGCCGTTTGGACCGATTGAGAGGCCTTTGGACCGACTGAGAGGCCTTTGGACCGATTGAGAGGCCTTTTGGACCGATTGAGAGGCCTTTGGACCGATTGAGAGGCCTTTGGACCGGCTGAGAGGCCTTTGGACCGATTGAGAGGCCTTTGGACCGATTGAGAGGCCTTTGGACCGATTGAGAGGCCTTTGGACCGATTGAGAGGCCTTTGGACCGATTGAGAGGCCTTTGGACCGATTGAGAGGCCTTTGGACCGGCTGAGAGGCCTTTGGACCGATTGAGAGGCCTTTGGACCGATTGAGAGGCCACTATTCACTAGACCACCGGTGCCCATATCCCAGTGATTGAAAAGCACCCTTTAAAGCTTATCTTCGAAAGCTTATCTTTATACAACTCAATTTTCACGTGTCTGGAAGCTTATTTTGATTTCAGATTATGATTTAATATTATGAAAGTCGCTTTCTCCATCCTCGATTTAGTATGATGTATGTGGTTTGGAAACAAAAGCTCACGGGAATTTCGTGCCTTTCCCTAGTAAGATATTTCATTATAGTACCATTTCGTGCCTCCTTTCCCTAGATATTTCATTATAGTGTCAGTCCGTGCCTTTCCCTAGTAAGATAATTTCACTATAGTACCATTTCGTACCTTTCCCTATTATTGGGTTGGGGAGAATGAGTTGGCGCCCAACTTTAAAGGGACTTTTTGCACAGATAAAGCCTTCTTTAAACATACGTTTGGTTTCATCAAAAGGATCCACTATTTCTCTACAAAATGACTTTTGAGAGATTCCATAAAGCTTTTCTTTCGTGGAGTTTATGAACTTCCAAACGCAGCTGGTTAAAATGGCAAAGAGTCCGACTCATCATTTGAACAGTTTCTTTCACATAAACCTCCTTTGGTGTTTATATAAAAAAGATAGAGCACATTCAATTACTTCCACCAATGGGAAGATCTTCTAAAGTCTTCTAAAGTCGTTTAAAGTCTTCTAAAGCTCATTAAAGTCCTTCCTCTAAAGCCCTCTAAAGCCCTCTAAAGCCCTTTAAAGCCCTTTAAAGCCCTTTAAAGCCCTCTAAAGCCCTTTAAAGCCCTCTAAAGCCCTCTAAAGCCCTCTAAAGCCCTCTAAAGCCCTTTAAAGCCCTTTAAAGCCCTCTAAAGCCCTCTAAAGCCCTTTAAAGCCCTCTAAAGCCCTCTAAAGCCCTTTAAAGCCCTCTAAAGCCCTCTAAAGCCCTTTAAAGCCCTCTAAAGCCCTCTAAAGCCCTTTAAAGCCCTCTAAAGCCCTTTAAAGCCCTCTAAAGCCCTTTAAAGCCCTCTAAAGCCCTCTAAAGCCCTTTAAAGCCCTTTAAAGCCCTCTAAAGCCCTCTAAAGCCCTCTAAAGCCCTTTAAAGCCCTCTAAAGCCCTCTAAAGCCCTTTAAAGCCCTCTAAAGCCCTCTAAAGCCCTCTAAAGCCCTCTAAAGCCCTCTAAAGCCCTCTAAAGCCCTTTAAAGCCCTCTAAACTCCCTACAGCCCTCTAAAGCCCTCTAGGAAGATCCCACCAATGGCTTTTTCTAGATCACAGTTTGTAGTTTTTTTGTGAAAAAATGGCTTTTTCTTGAGGCGGAGGCGCTGTTTGAATTTTCTTTTAAATGTGATTTTGTAGAGAATTAGTTAACCATTCTACTCATATCAAACGGTCGAATAGAAGTTTTAGACATTTTTTTGATTTTCGGCGCCGACTCATTCTCCCCAACCCAATAGATATTTCATTATAGTACCAGTCCGTGCCTTTCCGTAGCTAAATACTTCATTATAGTACCACTTCCTCTCTCTCCTTTCCCTAGTAAGTAAATTCCCAAGAAATTCACCTCAAAACAGTACTCTCCTTTGCACTCGTGCTCTTTCGATTCCATCTGAAATTTTAACAAATTTATCTTTAACAAATTATCTGAACGAAACTTGGCCATAGATACCGTAAATACTCTAATAGAAAGGCCTCCTATAGGAGTGTCGCGTAGTCTAGGTTTACACTCAAATAAACGCTCAGAACTCGGAAGCAGTAGTACCGGTACTACAGCTTCTGAGAGTCCGCCCAGGGGAGCTTTGGTCCGCTCAGGGGCGCTTTGGTCCGCTCAGGGGCGCGTTGGTCCGCTCAGGGGCGCTTTGGTCCGCTCAGGGGCGCTGTGCCCTGTAGCTGTGCCCTGTAGCTGTGCCCTGTAGCTGTGCCCTGTAGCTGTGCCCTGTAGCTGTGCCCTGTAGCTGTGCCCTGTAGCTGTGCCCTGTAGCTGTGCCCTGTAGCTGTGCCCTGTAGCTGTGCCCTGTAGCTGTGCCCTGTAGCTGTGCCCTGTAGCTGTGCCCTGTAGCTGTGCCCTGTAGCTGTGCGACCAAAGCGCCCCTGAGCGGACCCCCTTCTCAATCACAAGTTAGAGCACAGAAAAGCATGCCCATGCTAAGCGGATCGCTCCTTTGCACAGCAAATAGGAATTACTAAATGCTGTTCCGGAATGCTAACGGTACTGTATTGCTAACGGTACTGTATTGATGAAAAATTGTTTTTTTTTTGCCATTTTTCAATCATTTTTTTCTAAGCGCTGGTTAATGTTAGAAATCTGTTTTATATCTCAAAAAATCCCCCACTCTCTCTACTTTAATTTGATAGCAAAGCGCGCAGAAACAAGCGTACTACTGCTGAGTTATGAGCGTTCTTTTGAGAATAAAAAAACCATCGGCTACGCGACGCTCCGCGACGTCCCTCGACGTTCTGTTAGGGTTTTTTTTGGAGATTTTTCTTTCATATACTCACCAATTTCCCGTGCACTTCGTATTTCGCGTACATTTTGCATTTCGAGTTCTCCACCTGAGTCACTTTGAGCTTTTTTCGATTGCAGAAATCGGTGCCTAGATAAGTTTAATGAAAAAAAGGCGAAGAAAATGAGGGAAATGAAGGATTCGGTGCTCCAGAAAGGCGCGTTTACACGCGAGCACAAAGTACACCAAAATGGTAGGCCTAGGCAACTTTGTGTGTAAACAAATCCCGTCTGGTTCACCGAGATTTTCAACGTTGAAAGCAGTCTGCTAGAAAGGGTACGTTTGAATCAGTGTGCTAGAAGGGGTACGTTTAAATCAGTCTGCTAGAAAGGGTACGTTTGAGAGCAAGTAAAGCACAAAGAACAAAACAAGTACTGTACTTGAGAGTCTTTTATGAATAGAACAGTTTGTCTAGCCGATTTTTCTAAAGCCATTTTTTCTAAAGCCATTTTTTCTAAAGCCATTTTTCTAAACCCATTTTTCTAAAGCCTCACCACAAATGCAACTCTCGGTTCTCAATAAATCGACCGGATCGGATTTCATGTGATGATGCATCGCTCCTGAAATAGAAATTTAGAAAAAGAACCGTATTGGAAACGTATTGGATCAAAAAAAGAACCGTATTGGAACCGTATTGACGTTATTGGAACCGTATTAGATCAAAAAAAAGAACCGTATTAGAACCGTATTGGAACCGTACTGGATCAAAAAAAGAACCGTATTGGAACCGTATTGACGTTATTGGAACCGTATTAGATCAAAAAAAGAACCGTATTGGAACCGTATTGGAACCGTACTGGATCAAAAAAAGAACCGTATTGGAACCGTACTGGAACCATATTGGAATTGTATTAGAACCGTATTGGAACCGTATTGGATCAAAAAAAGAACCGTATTGGAACCGTATTGGATCAAAAAAAGAACCGTATTGGAACCGTATTGGATCAAAAAAAAGAACCGTATTAGAACCGTATTGGAACCGTATTGGAACCGTATTGACGTTATTGGAACCGTACTGGAACCGTATTGACATTATTGGAACCGTATTAGATCAAAAAAAGAACCGTATTGGAACCGTATTGGATCAAAAAAAGAACCGTATTAGAACCGTATTGGAACCGTATTGGAACCGTATTGACGTTATTGGAACCGTACTGGAACCGTATTGACATTATTGGAACCGTATTAGATCAAAAAAAGAACCGTATTGGAAACGTATTGGAACCGTACTGGAACCGTATTGGAACCGTATTGGAACCGTATTGGATCAAAAAAAGAACCGTACTGGAACCGTACTGGAACCGTATTGGAACCGTATTGGATCAAAAAAAGAACCGTACTGGAACCGTATTGGAACCGTATTGGAACCGTATTGACGTTATTGGAACCGTATTAGATCAAAAAAAGAACCGTATTGGAACCGTATTGGAACCGTTTTTAGAAATAGAGAAAACTTTTTGACTGATATTCCTTTAACCGATATTTCTTTGACTGATAACAAACCGGTAATCGGTGGCACCATACAAGCGCCGACACTGCGACGCTCGAGAATCGGAATCGAGGCGTTTAGACAACCCTGGAACAGTTTGTCTAGTAAATGGGGAATAAGGATTTATGAAAAAAGATTAAGGCTTAACTTTTATCTAAAACCAACAGAACTGTAGGCTTTAAGGTTCCCAAAGAGCTTTCTCTTTCTCGAAAATCTTCCGCGCTTTAGGAAGCAAGTGTTAGCTGAGCAACTAGCTGAGCAACTAGCTGAGCAACTAGCTGAGCAACTAGCTGAGCAACTAGCTGAGCAACTAGCTGAGCAACTAGCTGAGCAACTAACACTGAAGTTAAAGATTGGACACTTTTTTAGGTGTAGATTTTAAGATTTTAAGGTAATTGTTTGAAAATTGGGTGATCTGGGAGGCAACTTAAAGTTCTAAGTAACAGCTTAAAGTTACTTGGCGCGTTACGATAAATGGGATACTGACGTGAAAGATTGGGCGCTTTTTAGCGACAGGTTTCAAGATTTTAAGATAATTTTTTGTAAATTAAGCGATCTGGAAGGCAACTTAAAGTCCTAGGTGGTTTACTCGGCCCGTTACGGTAAATGGGGTACTGTAGGGGTACTGACGTGAAAGATTGGGCGCTTTTTAGCGGCAGTTTTCAAGATTTTCGGATAATTTTTTGTAAATTGGGCGATCTGGGAGGCAACTTAAAGTTCTAGGTAAAGCATCAGGCCCTACGCATCAGGCCTACGCGGGTTCGAATCCCAGCGCCGACCCAGCCACCAATCCATAAAAGGACCGGCGTGTTCAACTCTTAAATTTGTCTTAACGTAATTTGTCTTAAGGAGTCTTAAGGAGTCTTAAGGAGTCTTCAGGAGTCTTAAGGAGTCTTAAGGAGTCTTAAGGAGTCTTAAGGAGTCTTAAGGAGTCTTCAGGAGTCTTAAGGAGTCTTAAGAAGTCTTAAGAAGTCTTGAGGAGTCTTGAGGAGTCTTAAGGAGTCTTAAGGAGTCTTAAGGAGTCTTAAGGAGTCTTAAGGAGTCTTCAGGAGTCTTAAGGAGTCTTAAGAAGTCTTAAGAAGTCTTGAGGAGTCTTAAGAAGTCTTAAGGAGTCTTAAGAAGTCTTAAGAAGTCTTAAGGAGTCTTAAGGCGTCTTAAGGGGTCTTAAGGAGTCTTAAGGAGTCTTAAGGAGTCTTAAGGCGTCTTCAGGAGTCTTCAGGAGTCTTAAGGAGTCTTGAGGAGTCTTAAGGAGTCTTAAGGAGTAAATTTGGGTGTGTGTGGAGTGAAAATCTAATTTAAGCAGTGAAAATCTAATATACAAGACTTAATCCCAAGGATCTTTCGACTCTAAGCGGGGCTAGGAGTGAAGTTCAAGCCTGTGATAAAGTCTGAAGGGATTCAGGGCTAAGTCAGGCTAAGTCAGGCTAAGGCTTGGCTACCGGCTTGGCAGGGACAGGCCAGAGTCCAAATTCTGGCTTCTGGCTTCCCTCTGGCTTACATCTGGCTTACAGTAACCCAGCTACCGTAACCCAGTGTTATTTTGACCGGCAATTGATCAACCGAGACGGTACAGAAACCAGAAATTTAGTGTCTTTTTAGTAAACAAAAAGTTCGCCGTAAAGCTACCGTAGTTTTTAAGTACCTTTTGTACTTCAAGTAACATAAAGTTACCTTTTGCACACTTTTCCCATCTTTCCCCTTGTATTCCACATATGTGCACAACTCGCCGATACACTCATCCCCGTCACAGTGTTCGCCTTTACATTCGCATTTCACCTGAAAAAGTGATTGATCGTTGAGCTCAAGTACTTGTACTTTGAAGTTGTAAACGCACCGCATCTAGTGCACCAAAAACACTCACCAATGGCACGTCTTCTGTCTTCAACTTATTCCACCTTGACCCAGCTTGGCAATCGTCTTTCCCATTGCAAAAACAAGTGAAGAGTTCCTGAAAGAAATGAGCTTTATGCTCTCTTTGAGCTCTACTTTGGGCCTTACTTTGGGCCTTACTTTGAGCTTTACTTTGGGCTTTACTTGGGCTCTACTTTGGTCTCTACTTTGAGCTTTACTTTGAGCTTTACTTTGAGCTTTACTTGGGCTACTTGGTCTCTACTTTGGGCTTTACTTTGAGCTTTACTTTGGGCTCTACTTTGGTCTCTACTTTATGCTCTACTTTGAGCTTTTCTGGTGAACCAAATTCTCGAATTTTCTCTATTCTACAAGAAAATTGAAGAATTCAGTGCCCTAGAAGACTTGGGTTTAAAAAATTAAAGCATAAATTGGAGCTTTATGCAGTGAAGTGCAGCAAAGTAAAGCTTTTTCCCCGGGTTGTTGTCTTTTCTTGTTTCAGCTCTAGACATTCATTTTCCCCATTTTTCTCATTTTCCTTCTCGAATTTCACCAGAACAAGGCAATTCTTTTTTTTTGGGGGGGAAATGAAAGGAATAAATGATTTGCAAATGGGGAAAAGAGAGGGGAGAATTGACAGGTTTATGGGGTGAATTTGGGAGATTCGAAAGCCTTAGTGAATTTGGGAGATTTACCGTAGTTAATGAAAGAATTAGCACGAACCTCATCGGCTTCGGAGACTTCACAATGATCTCGAATATCTTCTCTCAGTAAACTCCCATCCATGCAACCCTTGACCAGCATCGATTTGTGGTATTCAACAGTGCCCCAACGGGGAACGAATCTGCAAAAATGTGGTTAGGGTTTTGAAAAGAGAAGCTATTTATTGCTATTTTTGCTATTCTTTTGCTTATTTTTGCTATTTTTTGCTATGTTTTTGCTATTTTTGCTATTCTTTTGCTTATTTTTGCTATTTTTGCTAAAAATTCTAATAAAACGGCTCAAATCCGCATGAAATAACGAAAAAAAAGCGTTTTCTGGTGAATTTTGACGTGTGAAGTCAAATGTATGACGTCATTTGGCGTCAAATATGTGACGTCATTTGGCGTCAAATGTGTGACGTCATTTGGCGTCAAATGTATGACGTCATTTGGCGTCAAATGTGTGACGTCATTTGGCGTCAAATGTATGACGTCATTTGGCGTCAAATGTGTGACGTCATTTGGCGTCAAATGTGTGACGTCATTTGGCGTCAAATGTGTGACGTCATTTGGCGTCAAATGTATGACGTCATTTGGCGTCAAATGTGTGACGTCATTTGGCGTCAAATGTGTGACGTCATTTGACTCAGAAAAAAGACGCGACGAATCAACTCAACTTTCTAGTTCTTGGCTCTTTAAGTTCTTTAAGTTCGTCCTTGAATAATTAACAAAATTTATCGTCATCAAATAGGTGAAAAATTTGCGTAAAAACTTCCCGAAATCGAATCGCGCTTTTTTTAGGCGATCTTCTAGTTTGCTCACCGAGTAACTTTGCTTTTGCTAATTTTGTTTTGCTTGCTCTTGCTTATTTTGTTTTTGTGTTTTATTGTGTTTTGTTTTGTTTTACTTTCTTTCTTAATATAACTATTTAGATGGCTTCGATAGACGCTCAGTGGCTGGTCGAATGGCTCAATGGTTTGTCGAATGGCTCAATGGTTTGTCGAATGGCTTAATGGCTTGTCGAATGGCTTAATGGCTTGTCGAATGGCTTAATGGCTTGTCGAATGGCTCAATGGCTCAATGGCTTGCGCGAGAAATCTTCGACCGAATTGAGTGTCTATCGAAATCCGGAGTAGGACCGTTATCGAAGAGGAGGACCAAATCGCTGAACAACTCGTCGAACAATTCGTCGAACAACTCGTCGAACAACTCGTCGAACAACTCGCTGAACAACTCGTCGAACAACTCGTCGAACAACTCGTCGAACAACTCGTCGAACAACTCGCCGAACAACTCGCTGAACAACTCGTCGAACAACTCGTCGAACAACTCGTCGAACAACTCGCCGAACAACTCGCTGAACAACTCGTCGAACAACTCGTCGAACAACTCGCTGAACAACTCGTCGAACAACTCGTCGAACAACTCGTCGAACAACTCGCTGAACAACTCGCTGAACAACTCGCCATTTCAAAGAGCACCGTTTTCGATTGAGTGAAGAGAATCAAGCTTACCGGTTCAGCAAACGATTCGGGACGACCAAAAACAGTCACTAGTCCAGGAATTGTGAAACGAGTCCGAGAAATGATTGATCGATGGTCGATGCTATCCAAGAAGAGAAGCCGGAGAAGCCAAATGGCCGGAGAAGAGAAAATTTCCGAAAGATCTGTTCGTTCAACTGTTCATGTTGACAAGAAGCTTCACAAATATCCATAAAAGCTTTCGAAAAAGCCCACTCAACCGACCGCATGATAGTGAGCCGTTTTGACCGTTGCAAGAAGGTGCTCGAACGTTTCCCAACTCCGGCAAATGCCTCATCAATTCTTTTCACGGATGAGTATTTGTTTACTGTGAAGCAGTTTGAGAATCACGAAAATGATCGAATTCTTGCAGGATTGGACAACAAAATGATCGAGATCGATCGATCGATCATCAAAATGACTTCAACAAGCTTCTAATAATGGCAGAATTTGATTTTTTTTGAGTCAAATAACGTATCAAACGTCAAAATTCACGAGAAATGATGAAAAATCAGCTTGCCACTTTTCAATCGTTTTTCTAAGCGCTGGTTAATGTTAGAAATTTGTGTTATATCTCAAAAAATCACCCATTTTCTCTACTTTAATTTGATATCAAAGCGCGCGGAAACAAACGTACTACTGCTGAGATATGAGCTGAGATACTGAGATAGTTTTTTTTAAGAGAATCGAGGATAGACTACGCAACGCTCCTATAGCCGGGCGTTTCTATTAGAGTTTTTTACGGGGGTTTTATCTCGAAAATCTTTTCACTCACCTCGATATGACACAATAGTCTCCTTGACAGCTTTTCCCTCTGCATCTCTCTCCTTCACATGACGCACATTTAATTGCGGAGATCGATTCGGGAAAATGGGAAATCGAAATGGAAATGATGAGTAGGAGATGGGACAATCGGATCGAGTCACGCATTTTCCTGAAAAATAGAGGTTGAGTTGGGTTTGAAGAGTTTGAAAATTGTTTAGAAATTGATTAATTGATTAACAAGTCAAGAAAATCACGCTAAAAGACAAAGCTAGATCAAAGAGGACTCAAAAACAACAATTGAATAGCTAAAAAACGATTGAATAGCTAAAAAACAATTAAATAGCTAAAAAACGATTGAATAGCTAAAAAAATAGATCAAAAACGTTTCGCAAGTCTCAAGAGTAGTTAGGGGGAACAAAAGTTGAGGGAAAGCTGAAAGGAGGGAAGAAGATCGGGGAAAGGATTGGGGAAAGGGACTCTGAGGGGGTGCGCAGGGAGCAGAGTAGACCCTGGACCCAACAGACAGAGGTGGAGCCCGGCTCATCGATTCCCGGTGAGAAGAGAGACGAAAAAAAAGAGGCCCTGAGTTTTTTCCCCTTTCTTCTCTTGCCCCACTAGGGTCCTGGGGGCAATCGTTGCATCGTTGCGCACCCTTCTTTCGCTTCCTTTCCCCAGATTGAGCTCGCCTCCCATCTCACCTTTCCTCCCATTCTTCAGCTCTTTCCCCCGAAAAACTAGTCAATAGCCTCGTAACGTCATCCCAATGATTTCTGGCAAACGAGTGCCAAAATAGGGCCAAATAGGCCAAAATAGGCCAAAATAGGCCCAAATAGGCCTAAATAGGCAGCAATAGTCCCCAAATAGGTTCAAGTTGTTGGATGAGATTTGATGTAAACGGGTCTGAGTCTAAGCCTAAGCCTAAGCCTAAGCCTAAGCCTAAGCCTAAGCCTAAGCCTAAGCCTAAGCCTGAATCTAAGCCTTATCCTGACCCTGAGCCTAAGCCTAAGCCTGAGTCTAAGCCCGTGTCTAAGCCTAAGCCTAAGCCTGAATCTAAGCCTTATCCTGACCCTGAGCCTAAGCCTAAGCCTGAGTCTAAGCCTGAATCTAAGCCTTATCCTGAGCCTAAGTCTAAGTCTAAGCCTAAGCCTAAGCCTAAGCCTAAGCCTAAGCCTAAGCCTGAGTCTAAGCCTGAGCCTAAGCCTGAATCTAAGCCTTATCCTGACCCTGAGCCTAAGCCTAAGCCTGAGTCTAAGCCTGAATCTAAGCCTTATCCTGAGCCTAAGTCTAAGTCTAAGCCTAAGCCTAAGCCTAAGCCTAAGCCTAAGCCTAAGCCTGAGCCTAAGCCCGTGTCTAAGCCTAAGCCTAAGCCTGAGTCTAAGCCTGAGCCTAAGCCTGAGTCTAAGCCTAAGCCTGAATCTAAGCCTTATCCTGACCCTGAGCCTAAGCCTAAGCCTGAGTCTAAGCCTGAATCTAAGCCTTATCCTGAGCCTAAGTCTAAGTCTAAGCCTAAGCCTAAGCCTAAGCCTAAGCCTAAGCCTAAGCCTGAGCCTAAGCCCGTGTCTAAGCCTAAGCCTAAGCCTGAATCTAAGCCTTATCCTGACCCTGAGCCTAAGCCTAAGCCTGAGTCTAAGCCTGAATCTAAGCCTTATCCTGAGCCTAAGTCTAAGTCTAAGCCTAAGCCTAAGCCTAAGCCTAAGCCTAAGCCTAAGCCTGAGCCTAAGCCCGTGTCTAAGCCTAAGCCTAAGCCTGAGTCTAAGCCTGAGCCTAAGCCTGAGTCTAAGCCTAAGCCTGAATCTAAGCCTTATCCTGACCCTGAGCCTAAGCCTAAGCCTAAGCCTGAGTCTAAGCCTGAGCCTAAGCCTGAAACTAAGCCTTATCCTGACCCTGAGCCTAAGCCTAAGCCTAAGCCTGAGTCTAAGCCTGAATCTAAGCCTTATCCTGAGCCTGAGCCTAAGTCTAAGCCTAAGCCTAAGCCTAGTCCCCAAATAGGCCTAAATAGCCAGCATTACTCGAGCTTTAGCCAGAGTACTGATAGAATGACACTATAATATCAGGCGTTTACCGACATTGCTATTAGGTGCAAAAGTGCTTTTAGAAACTTGCAAAAGAAAAAACTGCTGGTCAAAAAAGCCACCATAAAACGACTGTAAGTAAAGATGATGCAGGTTGATTGGTATTTTTAGAAACTCCAATATCTTCTCTTTTTAACGATATAAAAAGAATTTTGCAACAATCGTTTCGGCGCGGAATATAGACGTTTCAAAAAGGTACCAAAAACGACTTGACGGTGAGCAAACCTAATTTGTATCTTATTTTTCTTATTTAGTAAACTTCTTTCATTGCAGATTGGTGACAAAACATTTATTGAAAAATCGTGGAGAAATCTTTTGAAATTCGGCTCCGCCAGGTCATTCATTTCTGGTGGGTTTTTTGAAAATTCCATATTTAACAATAAGACTTTAGAGAATTTAGATTTAGCATTTGCTACAGAAATTCAAATTTAACATGAAAATGTTTCGAAAGACACATTTTTTTTTGACACAACTTTTTTCTCTGAAGGTTTTGCTCTCGAAATTCTCTACTTATTATAAAGCAAGCGAGAAAGTCTTACAAAGCGAAAACTTTAAAACCAAATTTCTTGCGTTTGCAACTCATTTAGGAAAAACTAAAAGCGGATTCGGAAAGCCTGTCAAAAACTGAACAGGATCAGATTGGTCTCATTTTGGAATTCCACCTTAAGTTGACGACCTTCCCTAGTCAGTGCAATTGCCCGGAAAGCAAAACCTCGAGGGTTCAATCCCCTCTTCAGAAATCTACTTTTCTTGCAAATTCCTTCATTTCTTTATTAAAAGGCGCTAAAGTTCCGGTGTCTGTACTGGTCGGTTGATCAGTTGCCGGTTAAAATAACACTGGGTTACTGTAGGCCAGATCAGGCCTTCTGTCATCCAGATTCTGCCTTCTGGCCCGTCCCTGAAAACAGGCAAGACCAGGACGCAGGCCGGAAGCCAAGCCTGACCTAGAAAAGTTCCGGAGTCTTCACTCGGCTCGCAAATGGGGTTCTTTTCCAATATCGGGGGAGCGGTCCGATTATCGGGGGAGCGGAAGGAAAATCGGGGGAGCGAAAGGAAAATCGGGGGGAGCAAATTTTGCCCCCTCGAAAAATGCATTTCTGGGACTTTTATTTTAACTGCAACGTTTCTTTTTTAAATTTTTTGGCAGCGCTACATATGTCCTATATTATCCAAAGTACTGCCATAAAATCCGCGAATTACCCGTTATTCTCACAACTTTTATATTAGATCACAAAAGTGACTTAAATATCTAACACCAAACATACCTCTACCTTCCCTATCGGCCGCCTTCTCTTTTTGCCGAACGCTCCACAATCCCGAACGAACAAATGGCTACCTAAAAATTTATTCATTAATAGTATAATTGATCATAACAACGAAAGAAATGTAAGCGAAGTAACCAAAACAAAAACAAAAGTAACCAAAACAAAAAGAAAAGTAACCAAAATAAAACAAAAGTAACCAAAACAAAACCTTTCTAGCAATCACAAATTAACTGTAAAAAGGGATTGTATTCATTTCCGCCCCTGCGGGCCAAAAATCGACGATGTCCTCCATGATCGACTCGAATGCATTTACTCCGGCAGGCAAATTGCGATGCCACAATCCTTCAGCGATATACGAATCCACCATGGTGCCGTGGGTGCCGTGTCGACGTCTGTTCATGTCTTTAAACGGTTTCCACATTCGCTCGATTGTTTGCGTGTGCACGGTCGGATCTGCCGGCAAAACAAAATTTGTCGAGTGGTTGACCCATGCAAAATCGTAATTTGGGTCAGTGAGAAGCCCTTGGTATGCACGCCATCCATCAGAGATGATTCGAGTCCCCTTTTCGATATGTTTTCGAATCGCTTCAAGCAGAACCGGAGCCGTTCGGTTCGGCACAATAAAAGCGAAGCATTCCCTTGTTTCACGACACAGACCACCAAAAAGCCAACGTTCTGGCAGCATCCGACCAGCGCATTTGTACTGTTTTGTGGTTTTTGCGCTTTGCGATCAGCGATTCATCGATCTCCACGGTGAGTCCGGCACCACCGATCTTGTTAATCGAAAGCTTCTTGATTTTCCAAGCGCACACTTGGCGGAGAAAGTAGTTCCACTCAACAACGGTGTCGCCACTAATGCCGAGCTCCTGTTGACAGTGTTTGATTGTCGTGAGTCCCTGGCTCCATAGATGTATGAACTTTAAAATTGTGACAAACGGGAGCTTGCTTTGTTGCAAAAAAGTTATCGACTCGAATTCCTCTTGAATGCTTGGGGACATTTCGCCGTGCGCAAGTGTCACATACCCAGCGAAATAGATCTTTTCCCTTTGAGCGGACTTTCATCGATTCGCCACAGTTGCAAATCCACGACTGGATGACTCCTTTGGTGACGAAATAATCGATTGCCGTCGATTCCTTGAACGCACAAATATCGGAGAAGCGCGTCGTCGTTAAAGTTTAAAAAAAAACGTTGCAGTTAAAATAAAAGTCCCAGAAATGCATTTTTCGAGGGGGCAAAATTTGCTCCCCCGATATTGGAAAAGAACCCGCAAATGGAAATAGATTGCTTTCTTATTTCATCGCCTAAACAATACTTTTAACTAATCTGACAAGAATAAAAACAAAACAAGAACAAAAGCAAAAACAAATGATTTGCAAATGAAAAAGAAACGACGACGTGGCACTCCTATCGACTACCTCGACATGGCGGCGACGTCAATTGGAATGCGACGTCGCGCAAAAACAAGCAAAAGCAAAAGCAAAAGCAAAAACAAATGATTTGAAAATGAAAAAGAAACGACGACGCGGCACTCCCATCGACTACCTCGACATGGCGGCGACGTCAATTGGAATGCGACGTCGCGCAAAAACAAAACAAAACAAAACAAAACAAAAGCAAAACAAAAACAAACAAACAAAAGCAAAAACAAATGATTTGCAAATGAAAAAGAAACGACGACGCGGCACTCCTATCGACTACCTCGACATGGCGGCGACGTCAATTGGAATGTGACGTCGCGCAAAAACAAGCAAAAGCAAAAGCAAAAACAAATGATTTGAAAATGAAAAAGAAACGACGACGCGGCACTCCTATCGACTACCTCGACATGGCGGCGACGTCAATTGGAATGCGATGTCGCGCAAAAATGATTTTTTTTTAAATTTGCTTTTACCGTATTTCTTCGAATAGAAGACCGGGTAAAGAGTATCATCGCGTACTCCTGCGTAGCAGCCCTTTTTAAAATTTCTTTTCTGCATAAAAGCTTTCAATCAAGTGCTATAGAGCTGGAAAATGACTCAAAAATACCACATGAGCTAACAGATTTTTGAGCCATTTTCCAGCTCTATAGCACTTGATTGAAAGCTTTTATGCAGAAAAGAAATTTTAAAAAGGCTGCTACGCAGGAGTACGCGATGATACTCGTTACCCGGTCTTCTATTCGAAGAAATACGGTAATTTTAATTTGAGATTCAAATTTAACATGAAAACGTCTTGAAAAACATATTTTTTTTCTCAAGATCATTCTCTAATGTTGAGCGGATGGAAGACCTGATTTGTCGACGCGAAACAGTCTTTATTCTTTACCAAAACTTTGGCTAAAAATTTTACCCAACTTGATAAAGCAGCAAATTATTCGGCTAATTTTTTGGACGCACTGGTCGTTTGTTTGATCCAGTACACTTAAAAAATACTTCTGTGTGAAAATCGATTTTCTATCAATTGGTACTATTTATAGCTAGATAGTTTGATAGTTTGATAGTTTGATAGTTTGATAGCTTGTTAGCTTTATAGTTTGATAGCTTGATAGCTTGATAGCTTGATAGCTAGATACTTTGATAGCTTGATAGCTTGTTAGCTTGTTAGCTTGATAGCTTTGATAGTTTGATAGTTTGATAGCTTGTTAGCTTGTTAGCTTGAATTATTTTCTCGGATAATTGCCTGTGTTCGGATAAGAGATTTATTGCTTTTTTTAAATTCTAAAATCATTTAGATGTATTTATTTTGGCTCTGGTTTATCTTTAGCAAAGTCCTCCGTTTTGGCAGATTTGTTGATCGCTCAAACCGTTCTGAAATTTGATTTAACTAGTGATCTAGTTTTAGTTAGTGATCTAGATTTAGCTAGTGATCTAGATTTAGCTAGTGATCTAGATTTAACTAGTGATCTAGATTTAGCTAGTGATCTAGATTTAACTAGTGATCTTCACGCATTTCTACCTGGAAATCCTTGAGCATTTGACCAGAATTTTGGTCAACGAAACTCGTGCAAACGGGGATCTGAAAACATGGGTTTTTGGATGGATTTTGATGCAAAAACGTGGATTCGCCAGGCCCAGGACTATACTGAGATCTAATTTTCGAAGCCAAGCCAAAGCTAAGCCAAGCCAAGCCAAAGCCAAGCCAAGCCAAAGCCAAGCCAAAGCCAACAAAGCCAAGCCAAAGCCAAGCCAAAGCCAAGCCAAGCCAAGCCAAGCCAAAGCCAAGCCAAAGCCAAGCCAAAGCCAAGCCAAGCCAAGCCAAAGCCAAGCCAAAGCCAAGCCAAAGCCAAGCCAAAGCCAAGCCAAAGCCAAGCCAAAGCCAAAGCCAAGTCAAGGCCAAGCCAAAGCCAAAGCCAAAGCCAAGCCAAGCCAAGCCAAGCACAGCTTAATCTTTTGCCCAAATCAAACGTACCGATGGTCCGGTGAATTTCAGTTTGCACTCGCTTTCCATGAACGTTTGCAATTGTCCCGCGGTGACTTTCGAGAAATCCTGCTTGAAGTTTGCGCGTGCGTCACGGCACATTTCCTGTAAAAATTCTCGAATCATCCTGATCACTTGTTGCCTTTTTCATAACCAGGCAAAAATCAGAGAACATTTTTGATGGCGCAATTGAGAAGCGTTGATTTTCGAGGCGCTGCTTCGACTCCTGTCAGCAATTTTTTCGAATTTAAGCGATTTTCGCGCGAACTGGATGTCACGAAATGTTAATTTGAAATTTTTACGACTCATAGATGATTTTAAAGATTTCACTCCCATGGCGCAGTGGGTAATGGGGCCGACTCCAGCACGACTCCAGCGCGAAAGCTCGCGGGTTCGAGTCCCGCCAGTGCCTAGAATTTTTCGATTCTTTGCTTTTTCTTTTCCCAATTACTGGGACTCATTTTCTTTCATAATCTGCGATTTTATTTTCACTTAATTTCGTCTTTCTTATGGTTTATATAATAAATTTCGTAGTTTTATGGTTTATTTATAGTTTATATCGAGTTTTATATGTATTAAGTGCCTTTTAGAGAATGAGAAAATACTCTAAACGACTTTGTTACTTGACTGATGAACTCACTTGACATTGTGGACAGAATTGAGCAAAAGTAGCGACAAGAAGAGCGCCGAAAACGAGCAGAGAAAGACGCGACATTTTGTTTTCCCTGAAAAGTTCATTTGAAAGTTTTAGGAAACATTTGTATGTAAAATTTGGAGAAATTTCCAGAGAAAGCAACACGATATAATTGTATGTAATATATGGGTAGCACAGATCACTAGAGGATCCACTAGAGCTCCACTAGAGCTCCACTAGAGCTCCACTAGAGGATCCACTAGAGCTCCACTAGAGGATCCACTAGAGCTCCACTAGAGGATTCACTAGAGCTCCACTAGAGGATCCACTAGAGCTCCACTAGAGCTCCACTAGAGGATCCACTAGAGCTTCAAGATCAAGATCATCTACAGATGATTTAAAGGCTTCAAGACTATCGGAATCTTTCCCTATTGGACTCTATTGGACTCTTGGAGTCGATTCCAAATTCTGGCAACTCTTATTGGAAAAGAGTTTTACACAAACTTATTGGACGTCTCTGTAGATGAAGCTTCTTCCGCCAAAGCTCCTTCCCCTAAAGCTCTTTCCCCAAAAGCTCCTTCCGCTAAAGCTGCTTCCCCTAAAGCTCCTTTCTCCAAAGCCAAAGCTCCAAAGCCAAAGTTCCAAAGCCAAAGCCAAAGCTCCAAAGCCGAAGCTCTAAAGCCAAAGCTCCAAAGCCAAAGCTCTAAAGCCAAAACTCCAAAGCCAAAGCTCCAAAGCCAAAGCTCCAAAGCCAAAGCTCCAAAGCTAAAGCTCCAAAGCCAAAGCTCCAAAGCCAAAGCTCTAAAGCCAAAGCTCTAAAGCCAAAGCTCCAAAGCCAAAGCTCCAAAGCCAAAGCCTCCAAAGCCAAAGCCAGAGCTCCAAAGCCTCTCCTTGAACTAACCATGGGATTAACTTGGAATAAATCTCGAAAAAGAGGGATAAGTTGCCTGCGCTTCACAATTTTAAAACATTCTATTAGACGTAATTCTATTTCTTGACGTAAACGCAAGTTTCTAGTGCACTGAAACACTTCATTTTGTGTGTTTTCTTTGGCTCTTTGTTTCCAAAAGTGAAAAATCAAAATTGAAAATTGAAAATGCTTTTAAAAAAAAAGGTAAATTGTTTCTAAAAAATAGGAAAAATTCAGAAAAGATTTCAAATTTCTTTTCGAAAATGATTTTTGATGTGAAATGAAAGGAAGATATTAGAATAAAGGTTAAAGATTTGCTCTCTTTCAAGCGTCTTCTGCCTTTCCTCCGTCTTCTGCCTTTCCTCCGTCTTCTACCTTTCCTACGTCTTCTGCCTTTCCTCCGTCTTCTGCCTTTCCTCCGTCTTCTACCTTTCCTACGTCTTCTACCTTTCCTCCGTCTTCTACCTTTCCTCCGTCTTCTGCCTTTCCTCCGTCTTCTGCCTTTCCTCCGTCTTCTGCCTTTCCTCCGTCTTCTACCTTTCCTGCCTCTTCTTTTTGTCTCTTCTGTCTGTCATTTCTGTCATTTACAGTCTTTTTCTTATCTTTACAACCCTATGTACAAAAAAAAAACGTGGTTTTATTCGAAAGAACGAAATCGAAAAGTTTATTACCAAGGTTTATTACCAAAGTTTATTACCAAAGAGCGATTTTTTTTTTGTTCTTAACAGAGTCCGGCTTGCTTGCAAATTTGTTGATTTGTCTCACCGCCTTGAAAAGCTTTAAGCAGCTCGTTCTTGTCTTTGTCCATTGCACTCTTGCATGCGCTTTTCTAGAAATTAAATAGTAAATAGTTTTCTGTGTAAACACGGGGAAAATGAGTCGGCATGCTTCAAGTGTCTCAAAAAACACCGTAATCCTCAAGTTAAGTCTCTTTCTACCGTAATTCTGTCTCGATCTTACCGCCATTGCCACCATCGAGAAGAAAAAAGCAAAAAAAAGCCGATAATGCAGCGGCGGGATTGAACCCACGATCTTCCGACTGATAGCCGGGGCTCTTAACCACTAGGCTATGGTGACCATCTGGACACCCCTTCATTTTTGGCCTAATGAAAATCCTGGTAAGAAAAATGCATTTCGGTTTTGAACATTTTCGCTCCCTAGCCAATAAGATCGCTTCATTCGCCAGCGAACCGAAAGCAGTGGTGGCCTAGGGGATAGTGAGCTGGACTACAAGACCAGCCCTGCTTCTCGCCACGGGTTCGACTCCCGCCACCGACAAAAATTGCCGTTTTGTTTTGAAACCGATAAATATCATTTTTAAGCCTATTACAGTGACTATTACAGTGCCAATTACAGTACTTTTAAGCCTATTACAGTTATCGACACTAGGAAATCTATTAATCTATTAAAAACTCTTTGAAAGAGTCCCTTGGCATAAGGGGTATAAAATTGGACTCTCTGTCTTGGTGACAGACTTTTGTTGATTGTTTTGACAAACTTTAACTCTTTTTGATCATTGAAAATAACCTGTAAGACTGTAACTGTACTGTAAAGAGCACTGTAACAGGCTTAAAAATTATATTTGTCTGTTTTTCAAAAGGAGGGAGAAGTTTGTCAGTGGCGGGAGTCGAACCCGCATGTCTCGGTTTTGTAGCCCGGCACACTATCCACTAGGCCACCGGTACTCTTTGAAAGCTCGCGTGTGAAGCGCTCTTATGGGCTAGAGAGCGAAATGTTCGAAATCCCAAATCCCATGTTTCTCGACAGGCTTTCAATTTAGGTCGAAAACTGCAAGCGTTTTGGAAGGTCGCCATAGCCTAGTGGTTAAGAGCCTAGTATCATAGTCGGGGGGTCGAGGGTTCAATCCCGCGGGTGGATTTTTGGTTTTTTCTTTCGGAAATCGGAAATTTAGAGTTGTACTTGTGAATCAAATTTTTCATAGCAGGCAATGGTTTACAGGCAGGCAATGATTTCGCTCAGGCAACGTTGGAACCGTTGGAACCGTTTACAAACCGTTGGAATCAATTGGATAGAAAATGGACAAGTTTCCAGTGGAAAGAGAAAGGGGACAGGGTTGAGAAGAACATTTGGGGGCTCAGGCAATGTTCAAAGGCAATCAAGAATCCCGCGTTACCTCGAATCCGGAGAACTCCTTGTCGCATTGCGTATCCATGCAACTCTTCAGCTGATCGGCGCTCACATTCGTGAAATCGTTGTTGAATTGCGTTCGACAGTTGCCGACCATTTTCTGGAAAGAAAAGGGATTAAAGATGTTGTTTGGCAGATCTGAAAACTCGATTACCTGACATTTATCACAGTTGCTCGAGAAAACAACGACGAAAACGGCTAATAAAGCGATCAGAGTCGTTTTGGAAATCATTTTCGCTGAGAATTTGTCTAAAAGCATTATTAACAGTGTTTTTCTTTTCGTTTTTGAAAAGAAAGCTTTTAAAATACTACCGTAATCCCCCCAAATGCCAGGATTCGTCTGCCTAGAGTCAACTAATCAAGCTAGGCCTCAGCTTAGCTTTAGATCCGGGACGTCGATCATTTTTTCATATTCCCAGCCTCAAAAGGAGAGAGAAGTTAAAGATTGGGCGCTTTTTGAGATGTAGATTTAAGATTTTAAGATAATTGTTTGAAAATTGGGTGATCTGGAAGGCAACTTAAAGTTCTAAGCAACAACTGAAAGCTATTCGGCAAGTTATGGTAAATGGGGTACTGACGTGAAAGATTGGACGCTTTTTAGCGACAGATTTCAAGGTTCTAAGATAATTTTTTGTAAATTGGGTGATCTGGGAGGCAACTTAAAGTCCTAGGTGGTTTATTTGGCGCGTTACGGTAAATGGGGTACTGTAGGGGTACTGACGTGAAAGATTGGACGCTTTTTGGCGACAGATTTCAAGGTTTTAAGAGAAGTTTTAAAAAATTGAGCGATCTGGGAGGCAACTTAAAGTTCTAGGTAAGGTATAAGATCCTGTCAGCAATGAGACACGAGTCGGTGTAGCTCATTGGTAGAGGGGTCGAGCGGTAAGCGAGAGGTCGCGGATCTTGCGCCGATTTGTTTTCCAGTCGCAACCCATAAAAGAACCTTGTTCAACTCAAGGATTCTGATCCTTTTGATCCTTTTGATCTACTGATTTAACGTCTGACTTTGGTCCTTATCGTCCTGCCCCAGGTCTAAGAGTCAACGATCTAGAGCCTTGAGTCTAACGGTCTAGACGCTCAGGCCTAACGTTGTACCTGGTCTCAGATCCAGAAGCTGGTTCTGGCTAGTAGTTGGTCCTGGCTAGTAGCTGGTTCTGGCTAGTAGCTGGTTCTGCTCCTGTACCGAGCTGTACCGAGCTGTCAAGGCCAGCGCCTTGGCACAGCTCTGATCCTAATCCAAAGATCTTTGACCCTGGCGTTGATCCAGAAAGGATCCTGGATTCAGGAATAGTTCTAGCTTTGACTCTGGATCTAACTCTGGCTCTAACCCTGGCTCTAACCTTTGCTCTAACCTTGGCTCTAACCCTGGCTCTAACCCTGGCTTTGACTCTGGCTCTAACCCTGGCTCTAACCCTGGCCCTGGCCCTGGTTCTGGTTCTGGTTCTGGTTCTAGTCTAATTCAAGCAGATCTGCCCACCATTCTAGCTAAAAACCTAGCCTCTAACTAGTTCAATTACGATAATTTGTCTAAACTAGATCCATTTCGAAAACGATTTAGAATTCGTTTTCAAAACTTTCCAAACAAAACTAGAGCCTATTTCTAAAGGAAAACTTGCTCAAAAAAAAGAGTTTAAAAGCTAGAAAACAGCTAGAAAACAGCTAGAAACAGCTAGAAACAGCTAGAAAACGCTAGAAAAAACAGCTAGAAACAGCTAGAAAACAGCTTAAAAACTATATTTTCCCCAAGAAACTTTTATTTTATTGTCTTTTCTAATCAAAGGATTTGTTTCGTTTCCTCAATCGTAATCGGATCAAAAAAAAAAGAATTTTCCCGACAAAATCCGACAAATATTGAGACAATGCGGCGAAGAATGGTTATCTTTTTTGATAAAACGCCTGATTCTTTCCTTCTGACGACACAGAAAAATTCGAAAATTCCAGAAAAAATGCGGATCTTTGCGAAAAAGATAAAAGAAAGTAAGAAAATTCGAAAAAAAATCGAAAAAATTTGACTGATCCAAAAAAAGATCAATTTTTTTTAGCTGTACATTGTGCCGCTTTTTTTTGTGCATAAACGCTCGTGATCTAATGCATTGCTTTTATCGACTTCTTCTAAAGGATTTAGAATCAAATCTACCCAAAAACCCGGTGCTAGAAAGGCTGTTTCGAAAATTTGAAAGCACAAAGCACACAGCGCAAAGTCAACGGCGCAAAGCACACAGCGCAAAGCAAAGCCCACAGCGCAAAGCACACAGCGCAAAGCACACAGCGCAAAGCAAAGCCCACAGCGCAAAGCCCACAGCGCAAAGCAAAGCCCACAGCGCAAAGCCCACAGCGCAAAGCAAAGCCCACAGCGCAAAGCCCACAGCGCAAAGCAAAGCCCACAGCGCAAAGCACAGCGCAAAGCAAAGCAACAGCGCAAAGCCCACAGCGCAAAGCAAAGCCCACAGCGCAAAGCCCACAGCGCAAAGCAAAGCCCACAGCGAAAGCACACAGCGCAAAGCAAAGCACACAGCGCAAAGCCCACAGCGCAAAGCACACAGCGCAAAGCAAAGCACACAGCGCAAAGCAAAGCACACAGCGCAAAGCAAAGCCCACAGCGCAAAGCCCACAGCGCAAAGCACACAGCGCAAAGCAAAGCCCACAGCGCAAAGCAAGGCACACAGCGCAAAGCAAAGCACACAGCGCAAAGCAAAGCCCACAGCGCAAAGCCCACAGCGCAAAGCACACAGCGCAAAGCAAAGCCCACAGCGCAAAGCAAAGCACACAGCGCAAAGCAAAGCACACAGCGCAAAGCAAAGCACACAGCGCAAAGCAAAGCCCACAGCGCAAAGCACACTTCACATCGCCGCGAAAATTGCGTTTTCTATAGGATTTTCCTGGGAGTACCTTTTTTAGATGCGGAAAATTGTGCTGATTCCGAATCTGAAGGAATTTTCCAAGTCCCTCTGACAGAAAGTTTTTAAATTGAGTTTTAGCGGTTTTTTCTGGTCATTTTGTATGGGAAATCTTGTGGTAGCTGCAGTTTGGAGCTCTTGTAACTCGACAATCAGGGTCTAGAACAAGAAAACGAGGGGATAAGTTTTATTCTAGAGACTCTTACGAACATTTTGATGCAAAAATCATCAAATTCGCTCAACTTTACAAAAAGTTATAATGCTTTCTTTAACTTAATGGAGAACCTTGACCTTAGAAGGGATGATGAGGAGATCAACTACGACTCGGACGTCAAGTACGACTTTGATGCGTCAATTGAATTAAACACTACTCCTGAAAATGAACGAGCTTTTGCTAGCCATGCCGAAAGTAAAGAAACCAAAGAAAAAAAGAAACCAAAGAAGAACTTCTTCAGGGAATAGAATTCAATGCTCTGGATACCAATGAAAGCATTCTTAGTGAATGATAATGTTTTAAATTTTGATTTACTGTTGTTGTTACTTTTTTTGTTAGATTTTTTACTTGAATGGGAGGTGATGGTCAATCCGGCAGAGAGCTCTCATCTTGCACCTTCTGATTACTTATTCCGGGTGATCAGCAATGATCAGCAATGATCAGCAATGATCAGCAATGACCAGCAATGATCAGCAATGACCAGCAATGATCAGCAATGATTCGCAATGATTAGCAATGATCAGCAATGACCAGCAATGACCAGCAATGACCAGCAATGATCAGCGACTTCTATCAGTAAAATAGGCAAAAAATCATATAAAATCATATAAAAATAATAGCTGATCCTGTTGTGTAGCTGATTTTTCATCATTTTTCATCATTTTTCATCAAATTTCATCAAATTTCACCAAATTTCATTTATTATGTGCGTTTTTCAATCTAGCAGAGTTGTCCTTCGGCGCAAATCTGTTGATTGGTGTCTCCGCGCTTGAAAGCGGCCAACATAGCATCACCATTCTTGTCGATAACACTCTTGCAAACGGTCACCTGAAAGAAAAAATCGGATAGAGTGCAAAATTCAAGTCACAATAAGACTAGGTTACGTTTGGACCAGGGTTCAGAGCTTTTTTGAAACACTCTAAACATTCTGGAGACTCTAAACACTCTACAGAATACTCTAAACACTCTACAAAACACTCTAAACACTATAAACACTCTACAGAATACTCTAAACACTCTACAGAATACTCTAAACACTCTAAACACTCTACAGAATACTCTAAACACTCTAAACACTCTACAGAATACTAAACTAGGTAGTTTACCATACACTGAACATATCTATTTACCTAAACACTGAAACTAACTTAGCATTTCTGTTTCAAAGAGATCTAAACTCAGATCTTTCAGTCAGTCTTTGCAATAAGCTAGATTGTGTTTAGAGCTCTGATTGAAGAAGCTTGAAGAATCCGTGAAACCCAAGTAACCCAGTTCAGCGTACTGCCAGTTCGTACTGACTTCTTGTGTGTCTGACGGAAAGAGTTTACAGCTGCTCTGCGCTCTTTAAGCTTAAATTTTGCAAATCCCGCCTTTCTAGAGTACTTAATTCGCCATTTTTCTTCGTTTAACTCTTGAAAAGTGACAGATTACGTGCACAAATTGTTTACAAATTAAAGCTAGAAATTAGTTAGCGTAGAAATTAGCTTTGTTTACAGTTAGAGTAAAAATTAGAGCGCAAAGTAAAGCAGAAAACCTTCCGAATTCCTCAATTTCCCCAAAACTTGCCTCGAAGTTCTGGAATTGCACTTTGCATTGATCCTCCATGAATGGGACGAGTTGAGCACTTGTAACGGTCGTGAAATCGTTGTTGTACTTTGTGCGGGCCGCTTCGCACATCAACTGAAATTTGCGCAAGTGATTACGATGGGAAACAAGATGGGAAACGATTACGAAGTGTACTTTGTGCTCAATTTTGTAAACGCACCCTTTCAGTAGACTAAATGAATTTTAACTAAATGGATTAACTAAATGGACTAAGCACTGATGCTTTAGAAAAGACTCGTGCGCGAAAAAGAGTGCTTTGCTTGGCGCGAAGTACCAGCTGATTTGTCAAAATTTGGCTTCAAAGCAAAGTACAGCAGCTCTTCCATTAACCATATATTGCAACCGTATTCTAACCGTATTCGAACCATATTGGAACCATATTGGAACCATATTGGAACCGTATTCGAACCATATTGGAACCATATTGGAACCGTATTCGAACCATATTGGAACCATATTGGAACCGTATTCGAACCATATTGGAACCATATTGGAACCGTATTCGAACCATATTGGAACCATATTGGAACCATATTAGAACCATATTGGAACCATATTAGAACCGTATTGGAACCATATTGGAACCATATTGGAACCGTATTCGAACCATATTGGAACCATATTAGAACCATATCCGAACCATATTGGAACCATATTGGAACCATATTGGAACCATATTGGAACCGTATTCGAACCATATTGGAACCATATTGGAACCATATTGGAACCATATCCGAACCATATCCGAACCATATTGGACCGAAAAAGAGTGCGTTTCTTGGCGCGAGCACAAAGTACCAGCTGATTTGTCAAAATTTGGCTTCAAAGCAAAGTACAGCAGCTTTTCCATTAACTGACAACAGCTCTTCCATTACTGACAACAGCTCTTCCATTAACTGCCACCAGCTCTTCCATTACTGACAACAGCTTTCCATTAACTGACAACAGCCTTTCAATTAACTGACAACAGCTTTCCATTACTGACAACAGCTTTCCATTAACTGCCACCAGCTCTTCCACACACCTGACATTTCCCACAGTAATCCTCGGCGGCGAAAGCCACGGCCAGCATGGTGACAAGGAGGAAAGCGGTGAACAACTTCGACATGTTTCCCTGAATAATAATAATATATTTCAGTAATAAAACGTTAAAAAATTCACAATATCCACAAAACACAAAAATTTAAATTACGCAATTAATCGGAAGAAAGGAAGAAAAAAGGGAAATTTTTGAGAATTTAGAAATAAATCAGAAAATGGATAGGCAGCATAAATGAATGCTAAGGTAAACAAAAAAAAACAAAAAATAGAGGTAGAGGTAATATCTGTAATCCTGCCCGTACAGTCGCGTAGTTTAACTCACATACACACTTTTTAAAGTTTAAAGGAACTAAATAGGAACTATAAAGGAACTATAAAGGAACTATAAAGGAACTATAAAGGAACCAAATAGGAACTATAAAGGAAATTTACAGATCGATCAAGTAGCATGATCATTTTTTCCACAACGGCGACGGTTATAAATGCAAAAATTTCGGCGCTCAACTATCGAAACAAACTGATGGTTTTGTTTCACATTTGAGAAAACATCTCAAAACTCAACACATTGTTCAGTTCAACCAGGTTTGTTATTTTGAAGATATCTTCTGCCTATCTAATTTACTTTTTCTTGTGAATAAATATCTTGAAGTCCTTTGGCGACCTATCAACGACGACTTCTCCACCTATCAACGACGACTTCTCCACCTATCAATGACGACTTCTCCACCTATCAACGGCGACTTCTCCACCTATCAATGACGACTTCTCCACCTATCAATGACGACTTCTCCACCTATCAATGGCGACTTCTCCACCTATCAATGACGACTTCTCCACCTATCAACGGTGACTTCTCCACCTATCAACGGCGACTACTCCACCTATCAACGACGACTTCTCCACCTATCAACGGCGACTTCTCCACCTATCAACGACGACTTCTCCACCTATCAACGACGACTACTCCACCTATCAACGACGACTACTCCACCTATCAACGACGACTACTCCACCTATCAACGACGACTACTCCACCTATCAACGACGACTACTCCACCTATCAACGACGACTTCTCCACCTATCAACAGCGACTACTCCACCTATCAAAAGAAAACAAAATGACTCAATTACTGAAATTTCAGTAAAAAAAAATATAAACGTAACTGGGGGAAATGTGGATGTAAACAGCTAATGCAAAAATTTTCATATAAGAATCGAATTCGGAAGATCCGAAATACGAATCCGGGTCTTTTCCTTTTTGGACGCGCACATCTCTGGTAAGCATACACGTAAAGTAGATAAAAGAATAGTATAGCTACCTAGAATGTAGAATAGTAGTAAACTAAAATGTAAAATAGTATTGTTAAAGTTTAGGGATTTATAACCGGATAGTATCAAAAATTGGATAATCTTTAGATAATTCAAATTGGATAATCTTTGGGCTACAAAAATGTTCTACCCGTTTCCTAGAAAGCGTTTTCGAAACAACAAATACCGTACTCGTAGCCAGAACGATGGGAATAGCTAACAATTAAATTAAAGTCATCCCAGGAGTACGGTAGCAGTCAAAACAGTCAAAAGGAAGTCAAAACAGTCAAAAGGAAGCCTTGGGTTTTTCTAAAATTAAATTTAAAAAGCTTAAAGAAATATTTAAAAAGCTTAAAGAAATATTTAAAAAGCTTAAAGAAATATTTAAAAAGCTAAAATAAATTTTAAAAATATTCAAGTAAAGAACCCGTCTGCAAAATGGATAAAAAAAATTGAAGCGCTTCTTATCTACGGGAAAAAATTCTCGTTGAGTACCGTCGGGACAAAAAAGATTTCACGAAATGACTGGGAATTTAAAAATTTTTATATCTTGCCTTATCTTGGAATTTTTATTCTTCTCCCCACAAAAATCCGGGTAATAAAACGTGTTCCGATCAAAGAAGCATTTGGAAAAATTTTGACGTAAAAAAAATCTAGATTGGGATGGGATGGTTAGAAGGATGGGAAAAAAAAAAACAAAAATTGATACCCGGACGTGAACGGACGCGAAACCCAAAGCCCAAAGCCCATTGATTATTGATTATTAGTGCTTTGTTTTGTTCTCGTTAGAACCCTTGAACGATTCTTGGTAGATAGATTCTTGGTAGGTAGATTAGATTATGGTAAATAGGTTACGATTACGGTTATCGATCATCGAATTGCACAAGCGAGGAGTCTCGGCGCCGGAGATTCATAAGCGTCTTAAAATCGAGCGTCTTAAAATAAAAAGTGTCATTTTCCACACTATTCAACGCTACGAAGCTACGGGAACAATTGCTGATGTACCAAGAAGTGGACAAACAATTGCTGATGCACCAAGAAGTGGACGAACAATTGCTGATGCACCAAGAAGTGGACGAACAATTGCTGATGCAACCAAGAAGCGGTAGACCCCCAACGCCTAGCTCTCCTCACCTCCTAGCTCTCCAGAACTCAAGCAAATAGATTTTTCAGTGTGGTCGATTCTAGAAGCCAACGCTTGTTCAAAGCTCCACAAAAATATCGAAAGCTTGAAGAGATCACTGTTGAAAGCGTGGGAAGAGCTCGATGCAGCCTATTTGGTGGCCACCGTTGAAGCCTTCACGAAACGCCTGCGAGCCCGCAGGTGACGCCCAACTGTCGTCACAAAGACAAACATCAATCGAGAAGGAGCCAAAACGAAGAAGAAACTGTTGCTTCACCATATCCATCAGAGGCATTCAGATTTTGGTTCTTCTTGTGGATCAGAACGAGCGCCTTGTCTTCTCGTGGAGTTGTGACTAGTGGACGTCCACATTTTGACGCACGATGAACGTTTGCACGAAGCTCGTTCCATGCTTTAAGGAGTGTTTTCTTTAACGAGTCAACTGTTTAGCAGCTTTAGCTGTGGTTTAGCAGCTTCTAAGATTGACCAGACTGAAAAATCAAGCGAATTAAGCTCCTTGGAGGCCAGTCGTTGAATGCGATGAAATCGGGTAGGTTCTATTCACACCAATCCTGAACCATTCGACTTTTCACTTGTCTCACGGCTATCAGCCGATGCAATTTTGCTGAAATACCCAGCTAGGTTGTCAAAAATGAGATAGAGGCCAGGGGGAAAACGGCAAAACGTCAAAACGTCAAAAAAATGTCCATGTTTGAGCTGTTGATCTTGACTGCTGACAGCACGAAAAACAAGAGGAGTCTTTCCATCGATCGTGATCCCTGCCTACACTGAAGCTGCCTACACTGAAGCTGCCTACACTGAAGCTACCTCCACTGAAGCTGCCTACACTGAAGCTGCCTACACTGAAGCTGCCTATACTGAAGCTGCCTACATTGAAGCTGCCTACATTGAAGCTGCCTACACTGAAGCTGCCTACACTGAAGCTGCCTACACTGAAGCTGCCTATACTGAAGCTGCCTACACTGAAGCTGCCTACACTGAAGCTGCCTATACTGAAGCTGCCTACACTGAAGCTGCCTACACTGAAGCTGCCTATACTGAAGCTGCCTATACTGAAGCTGCCTACACTGAAGCTGCCTACACTGAAGCTGCCTATACTGAAGCTGCCTATACTGAAGCTGCCTACACTGAAGCTGCCTACACTGAAGCTGCCTATACTGAAGCTGCCTACACTGAAGCTGCCTACACTGAAGCTGCCTATACTGAAGCTGCCTACACTGAAGCTGCCTATACTGAAGCTGCCTATACTGAAGCTGCCTATACTGAAGCTGCCTATACTGAAGGAGGATGAACGCGATGAATCAAGAACACAACAAAATCTCACGACAGAAACTCACGCCCAAAACTCACAGAAACCGCCTAGGACTTCAATCTTTCGAATTTCATTTACTAAGCGTCTATAATAAACGATTTTTAAAACTATTTTCATTTAGTCCATTTGCATCGAGACAAAAAATGCTTGTCCGAATTTGTTTGTCCGAATTCTGCTCTCCCTGCAGTTACCTACTACAGTCCTTTGTTTTAACGAGCCTATAGTGATCTTTACTATTAGCTGATGCTTTCCAAAGGCATACTGTAGCCACCAGACTTACTAGAGCTAGGGATACTGTATGTACCTATCTCTTAAAACATGGTAACTTTGAAAAGAGAAATTAATTAAATGATCACTTTTCTAAAACGAGTCAAATCTACCGTACTCCTGCACGACAAGCTTCAATGTTCGTCGAATGATGAAAAGAGGAGAATCGCAGAGCTGCAAAGCTGCATCGAGAACCGATGTTGACCATTTCATAAGCTATTAAGCTGATTTCAAATATTAAAGACACAATCAACTAATTTGTGTCCCTGTGCTTGATTTCTGCTTATAATTGTTCTGTTCACGGTTTTTGTTTTGTTGTTTGTACTAGTTTGTACCGTACTGTTTGTTCTAGTTTTGTTTCCCACATTGAAAATCCACTTATCTGCAATAATCTTTCATTATGAACGTCAAATAGTCAGATTTACAAGTGATCGCTCGATCAATTGAGAGCATGACAATACTGTTCTTTTTTTCTGCCTAACCTTGGATAAAGAAAAAATTCAGTCTAAAGCTGCCGTGGATCAGCACTTTAAAACAATTTATGTCGTATTGAAAAGCAATACCCATATCGACTAACAAAAGGTGATGAATTTTTGACTAGTCAAAGGGAAAACAATAACAACAATAAACATAACAAACAATGAGAATAGATTAATCACAAGAAAAAGTTCCAAGAAAAGTGCTTATGCATCCAAATTTATCCTTTGATCACAGCAATTGGGCGAAGTTTGACAGCTTTTCGTGATATTCCCGCCTCATGACACGTATCAACAACATCAGTCACATTCTTGTACGATTCAGGAGCCTGAAAGGAAAAGACAAATTTGAAAGCCGGTATAAATTCTATAAAATAACCGACTTTAATCAAACCGAAACTTCTAAAAGCGCTTTTGATCAAAAGCCAAACTCTAAACTCACCTCTTCTGTGACCAATTTCGGACTTGCCACTCGAATCGAGATTCCTTTTTTCTCAAGATCACCCAACACCTCTTGAAAAGAAATATTGCGACGGGACTTCGCTCTCGACAAGGCTCGACCCTAAAGTTTGTGCTGAAGAAAGTTTGGAAATGCAACAGACTAGTAAGTGCTATTCTACATTGATCAGATAAATTTATCAACAGCAGCTTGATCTTAAGTCAATCCGAGTTTTACCGGATAGCTTCTTCAAATTTTCATCTTCCCAATGGTTCATTTCTTCGCCTCGCATTTTCATTATCCTCCCTTTTATGAAAGCACAGTGATACTCACCGCTCCATGACATGTCGTGCCAAAAGTTTCGACCATTCCTTTCTCGGTTCCCGTCAACACATAACTACACGTACCCATGCTTCCGCCAATTAATACTGGTTGACCTAAACAAAATTATAATCAAGATGCTTCAACGCAACTTTATGTACCTGTTAATTGATAATCGACGGGGATGAGTGGATGATGTGCGGGGAATGCTCGAGTTGCTCCTTTTCGATGCACACACAATTGTCGTGGGCGACCGTCAATCTACGAGAATGTTTAGAAGACAGTGGTGCGACAAGCCGTTGAGATCGTTCATAAACTTTCCCAATTCAATTTACTGTTAACATTCAAAAGAATTTGCTCTAAAAGTTGAAAGACGCACTCCTCATAATGCCTTCAAGTCTAGCGTTACTGTAGTCTTTAAAAATCACAATCTTACATGTTACGCACATGCTAAACTTTTACTATTACACTTTACTTTTACTAAAAGTCCTATTACATCTTTTAAAATTTAGCAATTCACACACCAAATGTTCCTCCATTTTGGCGACATTATGAGAGACATCGTAGATTACCGCCAAATCCAAATCATCAGCCGACATGTTGAACACACGAGAGAAAGCCTAAAACACAAATTTCATTACCATCATGAGCGCTGTTCAATCCGAAATTTTTAAAAAAGCCTACCTGTCTCACACAAAAAGTCATACACGATCGATTCACCCAGGCAAAATTTGCCGCCGCCGCCATTGCTTTCAAGTAATCTTGACCTAAACAAACAATAAAAAAATTTTCAGTTTTAAGATGTCTAAAACATCCAGCTAATTGAGTTGGCTGATCAACTTAATGTTAATAATTACCTTCATTTGATTGAATCCTAGCACACGCGAGTTGCCGATCGTTGATTACGATTCCGTCTCTCGCCATTGCTTTCTCCATCTCAACGAGCGCATCCGTCGCCACCTGAATGATAAATTTAGCATAAGATCAAAGGATCCACAATGTCATAAATATTAGCTAAACTTTTTTAAACTTCGCAATCTACCATTTACATTACAAACTATCAAACATTACCTGATGTCCAAGTCCTCGACTTCCACAGTGCAACATTACAACAACTTGTCCTATAAAAAGAGCATAATAGGTTACTGCAATGATCGGATCAACCTATTTCATCAATTCCCATTTTTGCAGCGGCGTGTTTGTCGAAAATTTCATCCACTACTTGCACCTCGGCATAGTGATTTCCGGCTCCAAGTGTACCCAACTATAGCAAAAAAAAACTTTTTAAGACAGTAGCTTATAATTCTCACAGTCTGGCTTATCCAAAAGAGCCAGCTTGCAAATGATTATCAAAATATCAAAAAGAAACCGATACCTGAGGTAGTCCCCTCTTCTTTGCCCTGGTTGACACCTTGCTCGCATCTGCTTGCAGCATTCGACCATATTCTTCGCAGTGTTCCTAGACAAGTTTTACAATTAAGCTAACTTAAATGAAAAAAACCTTGTCTTCAGCCCATGAATATCCTTCACGCAATGTCCAATCCATTCCCATTTCAAGGCATCTAAAAGAATAACGTTTTGCATATGTTTTAACAATCTTTTAAGATTAAGACTAGGAAACTAGTCTGCTTTAAGCAACAGCTCCCTCACGCTTGCTTTCACTGCTTGCAAACAAATAGGCAACGATTGACATTTACAACAAGAAAGAGCTTTAAAAACTTTCAATAAGTCTGAGATTTTTAAAGATTTGTAACAAACTCGAGGATGGACGAGCCAATGTATGCGTATGTCAAATGCTCACTCAATCAAATCGTTTGCACCCATTAGGATCAATCCTCTAACTTCACAACGAGGAAGCATTACGTACATTTATTAATTTAGGCACTTTTACTACGTTTACTCCAAAAATCCCTTCAAAATGCTCACTCGATCAAATCGTTTGCACCCATCGGGATCACTCCTCTACCTTAATTTATCTGTTAGTAAAAACTCAAAACTACTTTCACCTACTTCCAACTCCAACGGGAATGTGATCAAAGAGTGATTGCGCCAATTCCTCTTTCACCGGTCTCACATCCTAAAGTTGAGCTTAGCTACTACTTTCAAGATTCTTCTTTTATTAACCTTTTCTGTCAAATTTGTCCTAATCAAGCGAACACCACAGTTAATATCAAAGCCGACACCGCCTAAAAAAATAGATGTTCTTTATACTCTAAACATTTAAACTACAAAATAACATGTTGTCTACCTGGTGAAATGACCGAATTTTTATCGTTCACATCAAAGGCGGCAATGTTTCCGATGCTGAAGCCGTAGCTAAAATGAAAACAATAACACCTATTAGATAATTTTAGTCTATGACTATGTATAATTTAGCCTATGACTAGCCGATAACAGACAAGAAGTAACGTAATACAAATTTCAGGATATTTAACAAGTCACAGCACGATCACATTAACTGTTTGTCATGCTCATTATCCAAAAGCCAAATATCTGACCCGGAGTGAACATCGGGTAATCCAATTGAGTGTCCAATGATGCCGGGAAGCGCAGCAACGTTTGCAATTTGACGCACCGCAGGTAAAAAGCCAGTGTTACCTAAAGCAAGAATTCGTTTTGTATGAGACTTGATAATACAATGAAGCCCCGTCAGTAGACACTTTGCTAGCAAATTTCTTCTACAATCCTTTGCCCAAACGGCATCAATTTGAACTACAATTGTACACGATGGAGTCAACGATTTTTCAAAATTCCTTCGAGCTTACCAACAAGGCTTCACCGCATCTACTCTTCGATAATCCCAAAATCCTTACCAGGTGTCAATGATGATTGTTTGAGCTCATCGAACATCAACGTTTCCAAAGCTTTGTTGACGTAAAAACGACCTTCAACCTAAAACAAAAAAAAAATCAATCAAGCATTAGCACTCTTAATCTCACAATACTTATTAATTTACTCAAGCAACGGCTTGGAACTTTCTTTCTGACTATTACTACCAATGCCTTAATATAAAAAAAACGCACATTCATGTTCGGCACAAAGCCCTTCTTTATTCTGAACTTCGTGGGCGTGATCCGTTCAAGGAAGTCGCATTCCTCCTCAAACGTTCGCGGCATTCTGAAACAGAAAAGGTATATAGTTCAAAAATTATATAGCGAGATTAACGTAAAAATAAGAAACAAAAAGAATGGCCGTTTTATCAAAATGGCCATTCGTTTAAGATTTCCATCAAATTAACTGAAAAACCAATGTTCGTTGTTTTTTTCTGAAATCGATTTCATTTTTTATTTTATTTTTATTTTATTCCATGTCAAAATCTTATTTTCAGCGTTTTAAACATTTATTCACTCTTTATTTTCCACCATTTCGCTCAATGCTTATTGAAAATCGCATTTGCCAACCAAAGAAAATAGTTTTCTTGTTTCACAACACATTGCTGTCCCACTCTCCAACACATCAGACATATTTATTTGCAAAACTGTGCAGCCCCAGGGGGGAAACAAAATAGGTAGGCTAGGTGATTAATAAAGTGTCAAAGTCTATAAAAGAGTAAGAAAATTCCCAATCCCTGTAAAGAGACATCACAATACAAATGGAATTTCAAGAATGGGGATAACATTTTGAATGAAAACCAATCATGAATCGAGAAAGCACTTCACAAAGAAATAAACGAATATCACAAACATTGTCCATCCACAATAAAAAAAATGTGTCAAGTTTCTCTCAAAGTATAACACAAAAAAAAGATTTCAGTCCCGTAGCGTGTTAAATCAATTTTGGATCAAAATCACATAGCACCGAATGACTTAAGAATTTTTGCCAAAACACGATCACTTTTGTATTTCTCAAAAAATGATACATGAAAGCTCGTTTAGCTTAAAAATATCCGTACAAATGTTTTTTTTTGTTACAAATAAATAACAAACAAAAATACCCGATTAAAATTGAACCGCAAAATATGAAGTTTTTCTTCCGCGGAGTCTTTACACGGTCGTGTGGATGTCATTTGAGCCAAAATTCGGAGCCGATTGAGTGGACGAGCTAAAAAAAAGCGATTAGCAAGGCTGCATCAAAAATTTGCTTTTTACCTTTTCGGGATTGAGTTCCGTTGGAAGATTGCCGATCGACATATCGGGCAACTCTCCAATTGAAGGGCACACGTCGAGCAGAGATCTCTAAAATAAAAAAATGGCTATCTAATAAATTTTTAGGGTAAAAGTATTAAGGTAAAAAGTATAAAGATTTGATATTTGAATTTATGCAAAGGACACTCAAACAAACCCATGTGAACAGGGAATCAGTGTTGTGTCGGCCGGATTCGCATAGCAGATATTGCAATAATCATCGGGTATCGCTACTTTCTGGATCATCTCAAGTCGGCATCGACGAGGAAGGATAGTCTTCTGCGAATCTGTCAACTTTACGCCTGCTTCGTTGAATGTTCTAAATAAAGCAGCGTAAAATTTTATTTAAGCTGTCGTTTTAAAAGTTCGACGTCAAGTATCAAATATAGGTGAATAATAAATACTATTCAGATACAACTTCGTGTTTATTTTCTTTTATAAAAACCTCACCTAAACGAGAGTCCCTTTGGGGGAAAAGCGAAAGATGAATTGCCAAAGTTAAAGCGACAATGTTGGAATGACATGAATGACGCTGCAGCAAAAATTCCATCAACCGAACAGCGGTTTACTAAAATTTTCCCAATTAAATAGTAAAAAGATGAATAAATAGTAAAAAGATGAATAAAAAGCAAAACCTTAAAACTCACACAAAAAGGCTGTATGTGGGCGAGTCAGGGGTTTTCCGTTGAGATAGAAGATCACTTGACTCTTCGGCAAATTCAACAAGCATCCAACAACGTCGCCTAAAGTATCCGTTTTGATTTAACTACAATCGCAAAATTTGATACCCGCTTTCCACGGTTGATGATCGTGCCGACTGCTATGCGCGTTGTGCCACAAAAGTTGCCTGAATTTTATCGGTTAGAAAAATTTTCATAACATTCATAACATATAAGTTTTTTAGAAGGTCTTATTCTCTTACCGACATCCATCATAAGCCACCGAATTCTCATCATCACCAATGCCATAGCCTTCCTAAAAGCTTGGTCTTAGAGTTATGCTGAATGCTTACTCACATGATTTAAGAAGCGGCTCCTCTTTGTTGCAAAGCCAATTTGCATGACACCGGGCGTCAGAACGGTTGCTTCATAGTACCTGAAAATTGCGAAATGACAATTTCGCAAAGTTTTCCCCTACCAAATTCCTTCGTTGACCTCAAAAGTGCATCGAACCGACTCAAAAGATGAAACGTCGCATCGAGCCTAAAAGGTGACTCGTGTAAAAGTTCTCAATTATAAAAACCAACCTCTAAACCATCGGGCGAAATCTTCAGATACTCGCTCACATCCTCGTGATTTAACATCGCATTTATTGAAGAAACATCCGTCCTTTTGTACGAGTAGACCCGACCAGGTCGGACAACTAAAATAAGACAAAACTTAGCTAATGACAGCCGCAAAACTTACAGATATTATCCAAACTCCATTGAGCACAAAAACCGACTTGCTGGGCCAACCAATCATTGGACAAGGATGTATCGTAAAGTATTTGCTCAAGATCCTAAAATTTTTGCTGTTTTAAGACTTCTAGACGGTTTTTACATACCTCCAATGGATGGACTCCTCCATTTTCCAAAGCCTTTGTGATGATGTGTCGATTCTCGGTCGTTTGCGCAAACTTCTCAAGTGCGATCAACGAGAAGAGAATGACTTGTCGGGGGTATGAAGGATTCTAAAAAATGAACATCATCAATATCTCACAACCACTTACCAAGTTTTTGATCAAATATTGCAATACTGACGGCGTACACATTGAGACACTTGATGCGCCAGCTAGCTTCTCAGCCAAACTAAATAAAAATATAATAAGAAATCGAAATCCATGTCTTTTATCTTTAAAAGTTTAATATCAAGTATCAGAGTAGTTACTTTGTGCTCTGACAAACGGGTGTCTTCTGATGCATTAGAGGCATCATTTTATTCAATAAACAACTTACAACAACAGCTCCAGCTAATTTTATTTTACAAATCTTTTACTGAATTCATTAGTTCCCACCTTCCAAGCACAATGCATGCGTTTCGATGCCAAAATGATGGTTGTGACGAGCATTCGGGGGTGTTCAACGAAAACGAGAAAAGCAATCGACCGACAGCTTCCTAAACAAATTTCAAGATTAGATGCTTTTTGTACACGAATTACATCTTAAACTCACCCTAGTTGGCAGAGGGCTTTCATCAAGAAATAGGGTAATTACGGCTGGTCCAAGCGGATCCTCATCGGGTACAGCTTCAACGAGACTCTTTACTACCTAAAAAATTGTCATTAAGATTCAATTAAAAATAACATACCAACAACCATCCTTTCTCTTTGTCGGCAATCATGTTCAACTTGAGCAGAGAAGACGGTGGTTCTTGATCACTATAGGAAAAAAGCTATTAATCATTTTTTTAATTAGAACTATCTCAAATCATTCAACTTGTTTTAAAAAGTGATCCTAATTGAAAATTATTCATTACATCGTCAATCTTTTTATTATTCCTTTTCGTACTCAAGCTTTCTGCCTATTTACCCGTCTTTTCCATTTTAGGAGAAAGAAAAAGTGCATTGACTTAAAGAAAAGGAATAGGATTGGGTCTCCCTTTTTCCCTTGGGATACTAGGAGATCCTTTGGGGCAATTTCGCCATCGGGGAAAGCCCGGCCAACACAAAAAAAGAAAAAAAGGCGAATGAAGAGAAAAAGCACGTGCTTCAATCGCACTTAATTCTTCTCTTCTCCGGAATACTCTTTCTTAGGATAGAATAAAGTGAAACCAATTGGTAGCCGACTAAAATGAAAAGAACACGACTACTAGGTGTTGAAAAAAATTAACACTTAACTAAAATACCATTAGTTTTTGTTGGGAATTATTCTCGTGATAATAGCAACGCAAAATTTCAACATTTCAACGGTTCACGCTTGCAGTTTCTTCAATGAGCAAAATATTCGAATGCTTAGGTTCAGATTTCAATTTTGAATCTTTCCCAGCTTAAATCTCATCTAATCTTCCCAATAAGAACCGGGAAAGCTTTGTTGCACACAAAAACAAAGCTTTGTTTTCATCAAAAGTTCCCCAATGAATTTTTTCATAAACTTACTTGTTAACAAGCGATCGAATGACAACAAGCGTCTGTTTGATCAATTCCTTGATATCATTCTTCACATTTGGCGACTCAAAGTACGTTGACTCGAATGATGCATCACCTGAAATTTAAAGTTTAACATTCTAATCTTTTAATGTTTCGATTAAGATTTGCTAATCTAATTAAGCGAATTAAGTTTTGTTAATCTTAATTGGTTATTACGACTGCGTTATACCAATAATTGCTTTTTTTCTCAAAAGAATATGTTTCTACGCGCAAAAAACACCCCACTCAGCCACCTTTACCCCTGAAAATTTCCTAACAAATGGGAGAAAAAAATTGATAAGCTCAAGGAAAAGATCGCACGGACATTGAGCTTTGCTCCTTTTGAAATCTCGAAGGAAACGACTATTGAAAAGATTTTGAGCATTCAAGCTAAAATTTCCGGTTCCTTTTAACCAATTGCCCACTAAAAGTTCATCAAAACCATGAAGTCCTCGATGGCGAAAAGAAAATAGAAATGATAACGTTTTCAAAACATAAAAACAGTTGGTAAACAGTAAGAATAGACTCTTGTTTGACAATCCATTTCATACTTGTCTGCGGAAAATGGAGAATTCACGAGTTAGAATGCTAACTCGTTGATCCTAGTCACTTACATGATCTTCTCAAAATCGGCAAGTTCGGGTAGTGAAATTGAAGAAAGAGGAGATTCGGTGTTGAAGCCGTCGATGAGGCTGGAGACGAGTTCACCGAATCAGAGTACCCAAGAATGTCGTAAATATTCAACGCAGTGAAATCGGGTAATGGAAAAGGCATTGTCGGAATATTCGGAATGTAGAGAAAAGTTTGAATCGCCGGGATCGACGGTAGTGGAAAGGTGGGTAGATTTGGAATATACGGAATGGAGAACAGGGTGGGCAGATTGGGTAAATGGGAAATCGTGGGCAAGAATGGAAGAGCTGGTAAATTGGGAATCGAGGGAAGAGTGGGCAACAATTGTCGGCAGGAGGCGGCCGCTCGCTTGAATGCGGCTGGAGGAGTAGGAAAAGGGGGAAAATGAGGAAAAGGCGGAAAAGGAAAGGGCAGCACCCGGCCACTGAGACCCACAAAGCCACCGAATCCGAGCGAATTCCACCATTCGAACATCGTTTCATCCGAGTTCTCGTCATCGTAGTCGCCAAAGCCCAAATCGAGATTTTCCTCAATCATGTACTCCATCTTATAGCCGAATTTTAAAATAGCAAATGCTCTGCTCAATAATAGAATAAACTCCGAGCTTTAAACAGCAAATAGCAGGTTGGTTTAGACTTCAAAGCTTTACGTTTTGCGTATGTGCAACAGTTACGCTTGAAACAGAAGAAAAGCCTGTAAACAGTAAATTTAGCTGTTCAATAAGCAGTTTCAAATCAGAAAGAACAAAATGAGACTTTCGACCCTCCCAAAAGCAAATGATTGGCACTATTTGGCAAAACGGAATCGTACCGCCTTTCGGTCGCCAAAAAAAACGCTAAGATAAAGGAACGTGGGGCGAGTGAGAGTGAGGGAAAAGAGAAAGGACAAAAACAATATCACGTGTCATCACAAAGAGAGAGAAACGACTCGCAACCCGTTTTTTTAAACCAACGGAAAATTTTAGATCCCCTATCTTTTGAATCTCGTTCGACCTTAATTCATTAAAGAAAACTTCCCCGGAACTCTTTGTTATCAGCTATATCTAACAAAGCGTCTAACAGATTTCGAAGCTAACTAACTAGTCAAATTGAGAATTAACCCAATGCAGTACACTTTTTCTTGTCCATGTCCGCTTGAAGTTTGCAGTCGAAAAACTTTTTTACCTGAATAAGTCGGCATGTATGGGGTCTCATCAGTGGATCCTAGAATTAAAAATTATAAGCAAACGATTGAAGGTTTACTTAAAGAATTTCTTCGACGTCGTCTTTGAAGGCGTTCAGCGGCGGCTCTGAAAGAAATAAATCAAATAACTTTTTCGAGATTAACGCTTTACCAAAATAGACAATGAAATTTGTGGCCATTTATGCTAAACCTTGTTGCTAAGCTTCAAGCTAAACCTTTCAAAACCTTGTTGATAAAGGTTCTCTACATTATTGGGTACTAATAAAGTTCGGAGAGCACTTTGATCTGATTTGATCAGATCGTATTTTTCGACGGTTTTACCAATGTTATTTCATTTTTTCTCGGGTAATCAAACTGGATCTATTGGTGATATTTTTAGAAAGTTTTAAACAAACTTTGTTAACATTTTTGTTGACCTAGCTATTAATTATTGCATTTGTACAACTTTTGCAGTGCCGCAATGCTAGAAAATAAGGCTAGGAGTGAAAAACAAAGTGAAAACATTTAAAACACTCTAAAACCATCACCAATCGATAAACGTATTTAATTAAGGTGCAAAACCAAACTAGAAAAACATTTTAAAATAGGTTCTGGCTAGGTCAGGTCAAAGTGTTCCCTGAACTTTATTAATATTCATCATTGCTTTAGACCTTTACGGTTAACGGCGGGGATAACGATTATTGGCGGGGGCCGAGTTTTTGATCAAATTGCATACCGCTTTTAGATAGGTTTATGTTAATAACTTTTGATAAAACAAATAGTTTCTAAAAGCTAACTTTCTAAGCTATCTAAATCTTATTAAAACTTCCTGATCTGACAAGTTTAAGGTGCTTAAAAATGAGCTGCAAGTTGGCCAAAAAATTGGCCCCCGCCGTTAGCCTTAAAGATCCATTGCTTTTAACAATTCAACAACGTTATATTGGAGATTGAATCATTTTTGCAAAAAGAAAATGATCTATGAACATATTAACAAGATTTTCTACTTTAACTACTTTAAAATTAAGCTAAATTCAACGATACAACACTAAATCCATTTCTTTCTATTTCTTTTTCTCAACAAATTTAAAAAGGAATTACCTAACATCGCCTCCACTCGGTGCATATTGTTCGGGATCCTGATTCTTTTGTCGGCAAACACATGAACCCATCTAAAAGAAAGAAAATTGAAATTGAAATTGAAATTGAAAATTGAAAATTGAAATCGAATTTTAAACATAAATGAGGAAAAAATAGAAATACGGTTTCTGGGGAAATACAAAATTTTCCCAGAAACCGTTATAATACGCACATCAAAAACAGCTTCACTCATGAACAGAAAAGCGGCTTTACTTGTTTAAGCTAGGTAAATCCCTCCCATTGAGAAGAACTCATTCTCTTCTCTTTTCCCAAATAGTCAAAGAGGGCACAGAATAGAAAGCATAGAAAATAGACGTGTAAAGTGTTTCAGTGTTGTGCTCTTTTCAATCCAGAAACAAACGAACACAATAAAGCCTAAAGAATTAAAGAAAGCTTAAAGAGAATAAGCAAATCAAAATCAAAAAGTTTAAGATCTTGGGAGTGGGACAAATGCGACCTTTTTTTTGCGCACCCGGACATTTGCGCACCTTTTTTCCCGCACTTAGCTCATTAGCGCACCTTTTTTTCCGCACTTAGCTCATTAGCGCACCTTTTTTCGCGTTTTAAAAAAGCTCTAAAAGCTAATATCGTATTTCTTCGAATAGAAGACCGGGTAAAGAGTATCATCGCGTACTCCTGCGTAGCAGCCCTTTTTAAAATTTCTTTTCTGCATAAAAGCTTTCAATGAAGTGAGGACCATCTCCCATCCGAGACTCTTTTGACCAATAACTTTCTTCTAAGTACGCCAATCTTTATGATTTTGGTGTCATTTTGTAGATCTTAATAAGTGCAACAAAATTACACCAAAATCATAAAGATTGGCCTACTTAGAAGAAAGTTATGGCGAGTTGCGCAAAAGACCTAGTTGCGCAAAAGACCCAGTTGCTCAAAAAAATTGGCGCAAAGTAGCCTATCCCAGTTTTCTTAAACACTTTTTAGGAGTGGGACAAATGCGACCTTTTTTTTTTGCGCACCCGGACATTTGTGCATCTTTTTTGCGCACCCGGCCCTTCAGCGCACCTTTTTTCGCGTTTTAAAAAAAGCTCTAAAAGGCTAATATTAACCAATTTCCATTCAAAAAGTTGTTTTTCTGGGTAATTTTAGGGTGTAGAATCTAAATTTTGACACATTAGAGCTTGTGGAACGAATTTGAAAGATAATTACAATTAGAGACAAATTGTCGATCATAGATCAAATTACAGCAATTAGTCGATTTTTTTTTTCCCCCTAACTCTGTCCATTTTCTTCCACAAGCTCTAATATGGCAAAATTTCGAGTCTATGCCCTTAAAATTACCCAGAAAAACAACGTTTGAAATAGAAATTCCTTAATATTAGCTTTTTTTAAACGCGAAAAAAAGGTGCGCTAATGGGCCGCGTACGCAAAAAAAAAAATTGCGCTAATGGGCCGGTGCGCAAAAAATTGCATTTGTTCCACTCCGAAATTTTAAAGCCAAAGCTGTAGATATGGGCCCAAATAGAAGTATTTTTGCGTTGACAGTAAAATTGGAAACATGATTTTTTTTTTTAATTAAAAAACAATTTTTCGAAAAAAAATCGTAAGCGGCGGGGGGTACATTCATTTTTTTTTGGGAGATTTTCCGAGAGTCTTTGAGTAAGAAAATATTCACTTCTAAACATGTTTTCTACACGTTTTAGACCAAGGGCTATCACGTAGAATTAGACATGGACGCTACAAGCTACAAGGCCAAACTACAAACTCTTGTAGAAACGCGCAGGATAGATATTTTTGAAAACTCTTTTTACCAAAAGATTGAGTCAACTTTAGGCTTTCGAACGGCACCAAAATCAGGCCAAATCATTTTTTCGGCGCTGAGACATAGCGTTTTTTGTCCCAGGTTTGTAGTCTCGTCCCGTGGGACTACAAACAGCTATAAATGGCTCGTTCTCGGCATAAAAATGATGGATTGATCTGATTTTGGTGTCATTCGAAAGCCTAAAGTTGGCCCAATTTTTTTTGGTAAAAAGTTTTCAAAAATATATATTCTGCGCGTTTCTACAAGGGTTTGTAGTCTGGCCCTGTAGTTTGTAGCGCTTATGTCTACGTAGAATAATTTTTAAGAACAAATAAATGATTTTGATGTGGGTGGCCCTTACCTACTTTTTTGGCTAGCGAATTTTGGGGAATTGAAAAATAGAAGACCCGGGTCTTCTAGGGTGGCTGATAATTACATTTTTTTCTTTTCTTTTTTTCTTTTCATTTTTTTCTTCGATTTTCTTTTCATTGACAGCGCTCTGCAAACGTATTCCTAAGAGTTTATGTTTAAAAAGTTAGCTACCGTAAATACTGTAATAGTACCCATAGTACCCACCCCCTCGTACAGTCGCGTAGTCGCAAAAGTTTTTTAGTATTTCATTTTTTTTTTTAAAGCATCCATACTTTCAAAAAATGCGTCTTTGGTATCAAAAAATGGCTGAAATTCAGGGCTATTTTTTTGATACCTAAGCGCACATTGTACACATAAACCAGTGTCGAGAAAAAACCATTCAAAGCTAGACTACGAAACACACCGCACCGTCATTATGGGATTGGGGCACCTACAGTATTTACGATAACTACTTTTTAAACATAAACTCTTCGAAATCTGTTTTCAAAGGGCTGTAAATGAAAAGAAAATCACGCGCACTTAATTTTCAGCCACCCTTTATTAGAGTTTTTCGATGATAGATGAAAGAATTTTATGATTTTATATGATAGATGAGAAATTTCGCAAAGCTGCTTTTTTTTACTGATTACTGATTTACATTTACGCAAAGCTGATCTTACCTTTTTTATACAGTAACACAAAAAAAAACGTATTCTATAGAGAAGAAAAAAGAAATGTGCAAAAGATTAGACTGCGAGAAAAGAAACCCTTCGCAAAAAGGGACAGACCGGTCCACTGCACAGACCGCTTCCGCGTCTCTTTCCCTCTATTCCGGAAAAAAAGCTGAAAGAGGTGAAAGAGGCCAAAGAGTGCTTACGACATAGGCATGAAAATGCTTCTCATAGTCGACAAACAGCACTTTCACACCTGTCAGATACCATGAATGAACTGTAAATGAAACTCCCTGAACTACTTGAATGCTTACATTGTTTATTTTAGTTGAGAAATTCTTTAGGTTTTAGAAAAGTTTAGTTGTAAAGTATTGAAAAATCAATTTATTGTTTATGATGAATTACAAGAATTCCAATCAATTCAAATCAAATCAAACGTTTATTCCCAAATATTAAATTTTCACAAAACCCGTATAGTTAAACGAACGAACGAACGAATAAACAAATAAAATAACGAACGAAAAGAAGAAAAAACAAAGAGAAAAAGTGGCTAAAGCAAACTCTGAACAATTTATTCTAAAGTTTACCAAGAGAAGTAACAAACAAAAAAACTTCGCAGATCATTCGTGATCAAGAAATCATTCGTGATTCTCATCGCTTTCGTCTTGTTGACGTTGAAATTGTTGTTCAGCATCCCAATCAGAAGATCCTAGAGTTTAACAGTGAATCGTGGTTTACAGTTAATTTAGTCCTTAATAGCATACCTTGTAACCCTTCAACACCATCTGGTGGTGAGGCAATTGTTCGTTCTTGTTGCTGGGTGTCTTCCATTTGATCCTCGTTTTGTTGTACTTGATCCTCATCCATTTCATCCTGTTGCGGCTGTGATTGTTCTTCATTCTAAAGAAAAAAAACATTTATTAGGCTTTGATTTTTTTATTCCATAAGGCTAAAACCACATCTAGGTCATGAATAGTTTAACTATGAAATCATAGTTAACGTAAATCTTCCAATTGGATTTTTCAAGAATACCGCAAAAGTGAATACAGTCCAACCTCTTTATAACGACCCTTGATATAACGATAACCTCCATATAACGACCCTCTATATAACGATAACATCTATATAACGATAATCTCTATACAACGATAATCTCTATACAACGATAACCTCTATACAACGATAACCTCTATACAACGATAACCTCTATATAACGATAACCTCTTTATAACGACCCTCGATATAACGATAACCTCTATACAACGACCCTCGATATAACGATAACCTCTATATAATGATAACCTCTATACAACGATGACCTCTATATAACGATAACCTCTTTATAACGACCCTCGATATAACGATAACCTCTAGATAACGATAACCTCTATACGACGATAACCTCTATATAACGATAACCTCTATATAACGATAGCTGTGCTCAATCCCGGTAGCCGTAACGTAAAATACGTTATACAAAAATCTCGATATATCGATTCTTTTATAAAGATTTTCTCGAAATAACGATAAAATTTTCCCAAAATATTGAAGATTTTTACTAATATAACGATTTTTGCCTCAAAAACCGATTCTAAATAGAAAGTTTAATTATTCCGATAAATGCCAATTATTCCGTGCTTTATTCAAATGTAGAAACTTAAAGTATTCAGCCTATTCTACTGATTATCTTACTATAATTGCAGTTTTCATTATAGTTTTTTTTGACTCGTATTTGTTTTGGCTCTAAGGTGATAAACGTGGTCCTTTCAAATTATCGCTGTCCTTTAAAAAAGATCAACTTCTAACTCCAAAAATTTCAGCGATACATTATCCGATTGGAATACGTTTTGCTTTATTCGATTGTGCTTGAAGTTATCTATCAACGATAATTTGAAAGGACCACGTGCTCACCTTAAAGTCTTTTTTTTAATATTTTCTTATTCATTCGACTGCAATCATTTTTCTTTTTTAGGCGATGATTCGAGGAAAGGGATCTCGAAGGAGTATCGATTTGGCGCTGAAGAAGCGAATTCTTGATGCATCACTTTTAAAAGGATCAAAATGCCAATGTTCTACTTTCTGGGAGTGAAAGCGAAGAAGAAATTGTAATGGAAGACTGTGTTTCGAAACGTGAAGCCTTTGCATCTTATCAAAAGTTCAAGAAATATGCAAAGCAAAATGGAAATAGTCCTGTTTCTCGTGCTTTAACTGTTATTGATGACTTTTTCTATGAAACAACTTTGAACCCTGTTAAGCAGAGTACGTTAAATCATTTTTTTCTAAATTATAAACTTGTACTCTTTATATGTTGTGGTTATCGTTAATAAAACTGTTATATCCTCTATTATAATGGACCTCTATAACGATTTGTTTAAGAAAACCAGTTTTATTTAGCTCTATATAACAAAAACCTCGATATAACGATAACCTGGATATAACGTAACAGCCGGTCCCTTGGCTATCGTTATATAAAGTTCGACTTCGACTGGTTCGACTGTACTTTGTTAGGGACCTATATATTGAATGTAAAAAGTGAATACCTCGTTTTCCTTGTCCTCATCTTCAAACCGAACTGGCCATTCTTCTGGGGAGATCCTTTGATTGTAGGGGAATTGCGTGTCGTCCAAAATATCTTCTTCCATTTCTGGGTCCTCGTCGACCGGCGTCATCGGCACGACAGGCTTGTGTTGTGGCAACTGAAAAAGAAAGTTTCTACAAGCGTAATGTTTTTACCTAGGTTTATGAATTGTTATGCCTATCAGTATATATTTTGATCATATTTTTTTTCTTTCTTTTTCTTTTCAGTTTCTTTGATCTTTAAGAGAAAAAGTAAGAGATTTACCGTAAAAACAGCAATCATTCGATCTTCTCCCGTTGATACAAGATGTTGCCCATCTGGGTGGAAACTCAAAGAGCTCACCTAAAAATTTGAAAACTTTCATTAAAGGAAATCGCTCACTTACCATCGTTTCATGAGGACTCGGGATTTTGAGAATCGGCGTGCTGTGCTCAAGACTCCAAAGCAAGATCTAAAATTTTATGATAAGAAAGTCCCGCAAGTTGTTTAATAGAATGGTATATAATTACTATTAAATGCTATATAATTATTTATAATTATATAATTACTATTAAATGCTATATAATTACTTATAATTATATAATTACTATAATTACATTTTAAAATCAACTCCAGTACCTCTCCCTGAAGACTACCAGTGACCATTCGTTGTTCCTCGCTTTCCTCTAAAGAAATCGCCGTCACCGGAGCTCGATGTCCGCATAAAACGCGTACAATGGTCGGTTTTTCTTGTTTACTAAAAAAGTAGACGTTTACTAAAAAGAGGCTTCTGATTAGACATGGCTAACGATATTTTGAGGTTGTTCCGGCTCGGACATTCATCTCGGCGCACTAAAAGATGCTAGGAATCTGAAACTCCCTTTATCAGAAAGCCAATATTATTAGCTTCAGTTTGATATCAAACAATCAGCGAAATTCTTTAAAATAGTACTTAAAAAATCACATTAAACCTTAAATTTATTACCAATAACCGCGTTAGGCCTTGTTAGGTATCGATAAGATTTAGAGTACTTTTTTGAAGATTTTTATTAAATGTTCGGTATCAAAATGAAGTTGATAATCTAGGCTTTCTGATAGAAAAAGTTTCAGATTGCTAGCAACTTTCAGTGCGCTGATATGACTGGTCAAACTTGAAGCCATTTGAAGCCTCTTGAAGCCATTTGAAGCCTCTTGAAGCCTCGTTAAGCTTGGTTAACAAGCCTCTAGGCTTTACTTCTGATTGTGAATTTAAAAGTAGGTTGAGGTTTAAATTCATAACTAAGCGTTATTTTACTCCGTTGCTGTGCATTTAATCTGATAACTATAGTTGCAATACCAAATCGTGCATAAAATCATTAGTACAACTTTAAACTAAAAAACTAACATATCAACAAGCTTAATCGTTTTGTCATCACATCCAGTCACCAAATAGAAACCATCAGGCGAGAAAGAGAGGGCACGAATCTTCATTGAATGAACTAAAATTGAAATGTTTACTCGGAATTCTATACAAGAACAACAGTACCTTCACATTTGCTCTTTTCTTGTAGTGCGAATCCGTCGAGTAATTTGACAACTCCATCATGTGTTGCAACGGCGATCAAATCACCAAAACGTGACTAAAAGTGCAAGAGATCAGCAATAATAGCATAAGAACTTACACAAGCAATTGCTGAAACGTGTTTAATGTTGCTGAAAGGTTCCCTTTTCATCAAACGTCCATCAAAACCGACCATGCTCAAGTAACCGGAGAAGCTAGCTGAAAAAATTATGTTAACGCAAGGAACTTTTGATTAAACTTTCAAATAGGATTGCTACTCTAAGGCTACAACTTATAAGCACTCCTCAAATTTAAAGGTAAGTTTAAAGGTAAGTTTAAAAGGTAAGTTTAAAGGTAAATTTAAAAGGTAAGTTTAAAGGTAAGTTTAAAAGGTAAGTTTAAAGGTAAATTTAAAAGGTAAGTTTAAAGGTAAGTTTAAAGGTAAGTTTAAAAGGTAAGTTTAAAGGTAAGTTTAAAGGTAAATTTAAAGGTAAGTTTAAAGGTAAGTTTAAAGGTAAGTTTAAAGGTAAGTTTAAAGGTAAGTTTAAAGGTAAGTTTAAAGGTAAGTTTAAAGGTAAGTTTAAAGGTAAGTTAAATTTTAACATTTATAATAGTTTCTCAACGACTTCACTAAACTTTTCAATAGAAAATCTGAACAACTTGCAGACTGTATAAATTTAAGGCGACTTAGAAGTCTTTTAAAAGCTTTGGCTACATGGCTTTAAAATGACCATACACTCAAGACCTCAATTTAACGACTCTCAAGACAAGACCTCAATTTAACGATTCTCAAGACAAGACCGGGATTCTCCATCGTTAAATCGAACGTCTTTATAAGGTAAATAGCTTTTAAGGGACCAAAAATTGACATTGTTAAATCGAGAGGATCGTTAAATCGAGAGAATCGTTAAACCGAAAGAATCGTTAAATCGAGGTTTGACTGTATTTAAACTACCTGTTATAAAAGCTTCTCGTTGTGGCAAAATCGACACAAAGCACGCTTCCATATACCCCAAATCGTGAGTGACAACCGCATGTGATTCCGAGTCTTCAGCTAAAAAAATTATTAAGTTTAACTTCAAAGATCAATCAGGGTAGATCTAGATTTTTTAAAATTAAATAAAACACTTACAATTGATGACAATTTTGTGAATCAACGAGTCGGCACCAATGACGATCAGATCTGAAAGATAAAAACATTGATTTTACCGGAGCTTTACCTCCTAAAGATCTTTATGTTTTTAAGCTTAAAGCGCAGTTGTTAAAGCGCAGCGCAGATCAGAGTTTTTAAGCTTCAATTTCATTCAATTCCTCACCATTTCCATCGGCACTTATAGCCGCTTGTTGTACGCCACATCTCCATTTTTTCACTTCAATGAACGATTCAAACTCAAGCTTTGACTCGTTTGCACGTCTAAAGAAGAAAGATTATAAAAGAATAAAGCTTTAAAACCTTTACAGATCGATAAAGGAAAAAGTAAAAGATCAAAGGTAAGGTAAAAGATAAAAGGTAAAAGATAAAAGGTAAAAGATAAAAGCTAAGATAAAAGCTAAAATAAAGCGAAGCAAGTGGGTTAAAAAGATTCAAAAAGCACTTACACATCCCAAACTTTAAGCGAATCGTGTCCAATTGTCACCAGCGCCACTGGTCCTTCGCCTGTTTGCACGAAACGGGCTCGAACGATTGCCCGATCGTGTGCTAAAGATTAAAGGATTGTTGAAAAGGAAATGAGAATGGCTTTTCACAAAACACAGGTTTTGCTTTGACAAGTAATATTAGAGCCTTTGTGAGTTTTAAAACAAATGCTACCTATTAAATGTTTGTTAAAAGTAACTCTGCAACTTGTTTACTCTTTAGTTTCTAATAATTCTTTTAACAATCCTTTCAATAGATTGTTGAAAGGATCGTTGAAAGGATTGTTGAAAGGATCGTTGAAAGGATCGTTGAAAGGATTGTTAAAAGAATTATTAGAAACTAAAGAGTAAACAAGTTGCAGAGTTACTTTTAACAAACATTTAATAGGTAGCATTTGTTTCAAAACTCACAAAGGCTCTAATATTACTTGTCAAAGCAAAACCTGTGTTTTGTGGAAAACCATTTTTCTTTCCTTTCCTTTGTGGAAAAGAAAGGAGAGTTTACAAAGAAGGATAAAAGAAAAAGGATCTATTTAATTTTAAATTCTCACCTTTTGGCGTTTTTCCTTTGAATTCGGCGATCAATTGTGTCGTTTTCTCCTCGGTTTTATTGATGATCGTCATTTCGAAGTTATCTAGGGAAAAGTGTAAAAACTATTCGTGAAATAAAGTAAAAACATAACTAACATAGCAAAAAGTGAGAGCTTTCAAAAAGAATCGAGGCCGTAATTGGGTGAGGTGTTCGGTGGAGTAAAATGTACGGAAAAGAGGTGGTAACGCTGTTATATTACCCTAGTGAAAATAGCGCCGTCAAAACAGCGCCGTTCAAAGCAGCGCTGTCAAAACAGCGCCTATACAAAAGCGCCGTTCAAAACAGCGCCGTTCAAAGCAGCGTCGTCAAAGCAGCGTCGTCAAAACAGCGCCCATACAAAAGCGCCGTTCAAAACAGCGCCAAATTTAAAGATTTAATGATTTTAGATTTTATTTAGATTAACCAACACTTTCTTTTTCGAGTTTTCGATAAAAGCTTTAGTTTTTGTGCATTCTCAAGTAAAATAGAAGACAAAAATTTGTTTATTCAATTAACGAAATGAAAAAATGAAACAACAAAGTTGTTTTAACGAATTAAAAACTAATTAAAAACGAAAAACGAATTAAATTTATAACAAAGATAAACAACAAACTTTGTAACTCGTTAATAACGGAAAGCATTTGTTTGATGGCTGCATCCCGAATTCCTGACCGATTTGCCAAGTTGTTTGTCACGACAGATTGTATCAAACGAGTTTCACGTTTCAATGGAGTGTGTTGGTCGAACGAAACGTGCACGAAAATGAAAATCGTTAATAATGGAGAGCATTTGTTTGAAGGGTACTTTTCCAATATCGGGGGGAGCGGTCCGATTATCGGGGGAGCGAAAGGAAAATCGGGGGAGCAAATTTTGCCCCCTCGAAAAATGCATTTCCGGGACTGTATTTTAACTGCAACGTTTTTTTTAAAAACTTTAACGACGCTGCGCTTCTCCGATATTTGTGCGTTCAAGAATCGATTATTTCGCCACCAAAGCAGTCATCCAGTCGTGGATTTGCAACTGTGGCGAATCGACGAAAGTCCGCTCAAAGGGAAAAGATCTATTTCGCTGGGTATGTGACACTTGCGCACGGCGAAAGGTCCCCAAGCATTCAAGAGGAATTCGAGTCGACAACTTTTGCAACAAAGCAAGCTCCCGTTTGTCACAATTTTAAATAGGACATATGTAGCGCTGCCAAAATTTGCTCCCCCGATTTTCCTTCCGCTCCCCTGATAATCGGACCGCTCCCCCGATATTGGAAAAGAACCGTTTGAAGGGTTCATCTCGAAGTGCACGAAAATGAAACGTTCCATCAATACTCCAAATTGGCTGCTCAAGGTATTTAACCTTTGTTATTAAAGTTTAAAGTTTAATGAGTTTAATATACCTGAAGTAATATCGATTCCCCAATCAGTAGCAAAGAATTTCACTGCATTTGCGTGTAGAGCTGGGTAGTTTGAGAAGTTATCATATCTGGAAAAAACGCTAGGAAAAAGACTTTCGACGATTGAGGTGATGATTGAGGTAGAGTCATTTGCCGAGATGTAGCCGCGTTAAGACGTCTTTCCAAGTCTCCTTCTAGTAGCTTTTGAGCAACTTAGCGAGCAGAACAGCGTGAAGTACGAGTCTAAATCTTTAAATATTAAATAAACTTTAAAAAAACAAACTTTTAGTAAAGAATTATAAGATTCCTGAGACGAGTTGCCAAGTTTTGTCATACGAGTTCCACGTTTCAATGGAGTGTGTCGGTCGAACGCTTCGTTCACGACTATTCTGAACAAATCCAATAAAAGACTTTTCGAAGTATGAATATAAACCTAATTTCTAAAATTAAATTTATAACAAAGATAAACAAAAAACTTTGTAACTCGTTAATAACGGAGAGCATTTGTTTGAAGGGTTCATCTCGTAGTACACGAAGATATCGCAAGACATCAACAGGTTTTATGTATTAGGTTGATGCAAAAGTCTTTTTCATTTTTTTCGTACTTCTTTTGAAAAATAACAAAGTCATCAATTAACCTATGGTTTGCTCTAAATGAAAAGTGTTTATTGTTCAATTTCCCATCTTTTTAAGTCAATTTGGGTTCACTTTCAAGCAAATTCGAGAGTGAAAACGGGTTTTTCATAAAAATCTATAAAAACCTCTATAAAGAAATTGGCTGAATCAATTTCTCTGAAAATCTGAAAAAATATCTAACTTTTTGTGCTCTATCTTTTATTTATTAACATCAAGATTGGTTTCCTTAGCTAAAGCGTCTAAAATGCATCATCGAGCCGTCGCCTTTTTTGACTACCCGACTTCAGGCTCTCAAAAAAATCTAGACATAAGACATTTTAAACTCGTTTTAATGTCATTTTGCAGAAAAATAATTGGCCTTTCGAATGCAATAAACCGTTGTTCAATTGGTGCATTTGTTACTTTTTAACGGAAGTACGAAAAAAATGAAAAAGACTTTTGCATCAACCTAATACGTTGGTGCAAGCAATCCTTTCACGTAGACGTAAACGTATTTGAATCACAATAGTTGTCTTGTAGTTTCTTCTCCTAAAAGGATAGATAAATATTAAAAAAAAACCAAAGTTTAATAACCTTAATTTTGCGAAAGATGGCCTTGCAGAAATGAAAACACCAGAAATGGATGGTTGATGTGTTGCCATAGACTGCCATAAAACCGTTGACAATAGCCAGCTCCATATCTAAAAATGTTTTATAAATTATTCGATGCAAAAATAAACAAAAAAAAATAACCTGTTTTAATCTTTGTTGGTGGTGGCAAACCCAATTGTTTGATCAGACCAAAGACGTCGCTATACGCTTGTGTCAACTTGCTTGACAGGAATGCATATGAACACGGAACGAAAAGATGTTCTATCTAAAAACAAAACTATAAAACTAACATAACAAAAAAAAACCTCAACCCCGATCACTAGAATTTGAGAAAACCCAAAGGGAGCCGCATAAAACGTGCCATCAATACTCCAAATTGAGTGCTAAAGGTATTTAAAGCTAAAGGTAGTGTTGAATTGTTCTTGTTGTTGAATTGTTCTTGTTGAATTGTTGTTGTTGTTGAATTGTTGTTGTTGAATTGTTGTTGAATTGTTGTTGTTGTTGAATTGTTGTTGTTGTTGAATTGTTCTTGTTGTTGAATTGTTCTTGTTGAATTGTTGTTGTTGTTGAATTGTTGTTGTTGAATTGTTGTTGAATTGTTGTTGTTGTTGAATTGTTGTTGTTGAATTGTTGTTGAATTGTTGTTGTTGTTGAATTGTTGTTGTTGTTGAATTGTTCTTGTTGAATTGTTGTTGTTGTTGAATTGTTGTTGTTGTTGAATTGTTGTTGTTGAATTGTTGTTGAATTGTTGTTGTTGTTGAATTGTTGTTGTTGTTGAATTGTTCTTGTTGAATTGTTGTTGTTGTTGAATTGTTGTTGTTGAATTGTTGTTGAATTGTTGTTGTTGTTGAATTGTTGTTGTTGTTGAATTGTTCTTGTTGTTGAATTGTTCTTGTTGAATTGTTGTTGTTGTTGAATTGTTGTTGTTGAATTGTTGTTGTTGTTGAATTGTTGTTGTTGTTGAATTGTTGTTGTTGTTGAATTGTTGTTGTTGTTGAATTGTTGTTGTTGTTGAATTGTTCTTGTTGAATTGTTGTTGTTGTTGAATTGTTGTTGTTGAATTGTTGTTGAATTGTTGTTGTTGTTGAATTGTTGTTGTTGTTGAATTGTTGTTGTTGTTGAATTGTTGTTGTTGAATTGTTGTTGTTGTTGAATTGTTGTTGTTGTTGAATTGTTGTTGTTGTTGAATTGTTGTTGTTGTTGAATTGTTGTTGTTGTTGAATTGTTCTTGTTGAATTGTTGTTGTTGTTGAATTGTTGTTGTTGAATTGTTGTTGGAATTGTTGTTGTTGTTGAATTGTTGTTGTTGTTGAATTGTTCTTGTTGTTGAATTGTTCTTGTTGAATTGTTGTTGTTGTTGAATTGTTGTTGTTGAATTGTTGTTGAATTGTTGTTGTTGTTGAATTGTTGTTGTTGTTGAATTGTTCTTGTTGTTGAATTGTTCTTGTTGAATTGTTGTTGTTGTTGAATTGTTGTTGTTGAATTGTTGTTGTTGTTGAATTGTTGTTGTTGAATTGTTGTTGAATTGTTGTTGTTGTTGAATTGTTGTTGTTGTTGAATTGTTGTTGTTGTTGAATTGTTCTTGTTGAATTGTTGTTGTTGTTGAATTGTTGTTGTTGAATTGTTGTTGAATTGTTGTTGTTGTTGAATTGTTGTTGTTGTTGAATTGTTCTTGTTGAATTGTTGTTGTTGTTGAATTGTTGTTGTTGAATTGTTGTTGTTGTTGAATTGTTCTTGTTGAATTGTTGTTGTTGTTGAATTGTTGTTGTTGTTGAATTGTTCTTGTTGAATTGTTGTTGTTGTTGAATTGTTGTTGTTAAATTGTTGTTGAATTGTTGAAGTCAAGAAATTCAGTTGTTGCGATCATTTGGCATGGCACAATCACATGGCTTAAAGCGAAGTGAAGGACCAAAAAGCCGAGGAGAATCTCTCAAGCCTTCTCGAGTGAGGATTTTTATTGTATTCTAGTTATTCTAGACGTAACTGGGGGCATTTGTTGTAGTTGTTGTAATTTTGACGTTCTTTATTTCGAGAATTGAGCTATCTGTGGGTCCAGTGGGTCCAGTGGGTCCAGTGGGTCCAGTGGGTCCAGTGGGTCCAGCGTTCGTCGAGAATCGACTTGAATTTTGACATACGGTAATTCTCGCACAATACGCACGCAAGTTTTTTGCATTTCCGGCTCATTAGCTCAACCTTATAGAACATTTATTTCACCAGCAGTGGAGTCATTTTTTAGAAAACACAAATAAAATTAATAAAATTAAGAAAAAAAAACAAACCATCACCAAAGAATGTACACGAAAAAAAAGAGCTTTAGATAAGGGGAAATGAAAAGAAAAAAAAATATCACAATTCGGGTCGAAATTTCGCGAAAAACGTTCTACCGTAATCTTTCGCGAATAACAGATATTAGATTTGTATTATCTAGATAATACAAATCTAATATCTGTTATTCTAGTTTCGAGAAATGAGCAAACCGTGAGCCTGCCGTGCTGGTTTTCGAAAGGACTGGTTGTAATCTTAAAATCGGTAACAGACGCGCGTGGCTAGTGGCTTGATCTTACAGTATCCTTGGTCCCAGTGATTACAGTACTCTTGGCCCCAGTGATTACAGTAACCCCTTGGCCCCAGTGATTACAGTACCCCCTTGGTCCAAGTGATTACAGTACTCTTGGCCCCAGTGATTACAGTAACCCCTTGGCCCCAGTGATTACAGTACCCCCTTGGTCCAAGTGATTACAGTACCTCTTGGCCCCAGTGATTACAGTAACCCCTTGGCCCCAGTGATTACAGTACCCCCTTGGTCCAAGTGATTACAGTAACCTCTTGGCCCCAGTGATTACAGTAACCCCTTGGCCCCAGTGATTACAGTACCCCTTTCTCGTTCAAGAAAACGGGGATACGGTTTAGGAAACGAGTTTTTTTTTGTTTTCAACTGATTACGGTAGGGACACCCATTTTTGTATAATAGAGAATAGATAATTTCAAATGTAACATGAAGAAGAAGCAGCAAATGATGAATACATAGAAAATCGTGAGGCCGAAAGAAAAAAAAAATAGCACACAATAGAATGACAATCGTTATCGTTTTTTTTGGAATCAAATTCGGGGATAAATTAATGTTTTACGATTTTTACGTTTTTTGCTAACAGTTTGAGCATCATCTCGTTTTATTTGGGGGCCGGGAAATGCACTTTTTTTTTGTGTGGGATTTACACTATCCAATAGTAATTTCAGCTTAACTGAATATTTTGACAGGATTACGGTAGGTTTCACAAGGATTACGGTGCTTTAATCGTTGAGCTAACAGGGTTACGGTGCTTTAATCGTTGAGCTAACAGGGTTACGGTAGCTTTAATCGTTGAGCTAATAGGATTACGGTGCTTTAATCGTTGAGCTAATAGGGTTACGGTAGCTTTTTCCTATTAGTTGCGTAGCCAGGGTTACGGTAGCTTTCATAAAGAGAGCTTAAAAAGTTGTAGACTTCCCAGCGAGTGGTAGTGAGCTTGAAAAGCGGGTAGTGAGCTTGAATAGCGGGCAGTGGGCTTGAAAAGCAAGGACTCGAAATTGTGCGTCGAATTGTCGTCTATGGTTCATCTAATTTTGCTGCCCCGTTTGTCTAAATAGTTACCGTAACCCTTGTTGTACAAGATATTCAGTTAAGCGTACAGAATTACTGTAGAATTACTGTAGAACTGTAGAATTACTGTAGAATTTACTCTAGAATGCATTGATTACTTTTTTAAGGGGGGCGGGGGAAAGGCAATAAATAAGGTGGATAAGGTGGAATTTGGAGTATTACGTTGCTTAAGGTGGTGCGCCAGTTGGGGGCGCGTTTACAGTCTTGAGGAGTCTACCAGAGAACGCACAAGTTCCCCGCGAAGGGATTACGATAAATACTATCGTGTACTAGCATATTTAGAGTACACATTTGAGAAAATTGAGAAAATTGAGACCTTCCAATAGAGCTACGTAGGCACTCCAAAAAAACCACTTGAGAGCACTTGTAAACACGTGTTTTACTTGTATAAACGTGCCTGCTTCTGGCGCAATGATTTCTTGAATTTCTTCCAGAAATCATCAGAAAGATTTTGATGAAAAATCGATGAATTCCCCCGGTGCGCCAGATGAGGTGCGTTTACAGAAGCTCAAAGAGTAAATCAAAAAGAAGCAATTAAACAGCTTGAAAACATCTCCAAACATCTCCAAACATCTCCAAACACTCCAACCTTTCACCAATCCCTTCCTCTCGCCTTAAACGATTCGGCTAGCGTTTGCGGTAGTGTGGATTGAGAATTTTGTGCGAAATTCGCTGATGAACCCTCAATTTTCCCGTCGTTTTTCGCGTTTTCTTGCGTTTTAAATGGTTTTTGCTGATTTTGAGCTCGTTTTTGCTGTTTTTGAGGCACAATCGACGACTTTGGAGTGATCTGGAATTGGGCTTGTAAACAAACAAAAAAAAAAGCCGAATCGCACATGCTACTGTAGGTGTCAGATTACTGTAGTATTTTTACAATATTCAGTGTCTATTTTACCGTACTACGCGGTTTACTGTATTACTGGTGCTTGGTTACTAACAGATTACTGTAGTAGGTTTACTGTATTAGGTGCCAGATACTAGCTACAAAACTACTGTAATGCGGAACTGGGGGTACTGGTATCTGGTAGCATTTTAGATTGCCATGTTGGATTATTGTATTAGTAGATTGTGGATACAAGTTAACCTAGATTGAATATTACTGTATTTACAAGGGAATGGATCTCAGCTTAAAGTTCGGAATCGACAAAAAATTTCATGTTATTGTGTAAAATGTTTTTCAAGTTTTTAAAAACCAAAATTGCCGACACGGCCAGGAGTCGAACCCGGGTTGCTTGGGCTAGAGACAAGCATGGCCGAGTGGTTAACGCGCGCGTCTCTTAAACAAAACGGAAGATAGAGGTCACAGGTTCGACTCCTCTTGGCGGCAATTCTTTTGCTTTTTGCTTCAAAATTTTTCTACTCAAAAACATCTTTCTGTTTTGTTCTCTGTTTGAATCCGTTTTCTAAACCGTGTCCTCTTTCTATTTCTACGTAATCTTATTCTTTATCAAATCTATCTCTTTTTTATGCCTCTAGATATCTTTTTTGAATTCTGAAAGAATAAAATGGATAGATTGGATCAAAATAGAGATAAGATTAGAGTAAAAAGAGAAAGAAGACACGGTTTAGAGGAAACGAATTTCGCTCGGAGTACAGTAATCGCTCGTTATCCTTTCACAAACCTGTTCTTTTTGTGATTGATTCGATAATCCCAAAGCGCTGAACAAAGTCGCTTGCACATTGCGTACATTCGGCGGTCTTGGAGGCATTGGAGTGCCTAGAAAGAGAGTTTTATCTATAGTACAGTTAGCTACAGTAGCCTTTCTTTTGCTGGGCCTATGTTACACTAAAAATGTTTCTTTTTTGCTTTAATAGATCTACCGTATCCTTTTCTAACTTCTAATTGTACTTTATCTTTTTTAAAAATGACAATATAAAGGTTCAACGTACTTTTAAAGCCACAGTACTCCTGGGAAGACCTGGCCATACTTCTATGTACTCGTATGGCCATACTTCTATGTACTCCTATGGTCATACTTCTATGTACTCGTATGGCCATACTTCTATGTACTCCTATGGTCATACTTCTATGTACTCGTATGGCCATACTCCTTACTCCTATGTACTCACTTCCTATGACAATACTCCTATGTACTCCTATGTACACTCCTTTGTACAGTCTAAAGACGTCAGTAAAGTCTAATCCAACACTTAGCGCTTCCCTTTCTAAAGGTATACGCTAATTTGCATAACCCCGTCTTACCAGGTCCATTCGTTGCCCGTTCTCGATTGCTCGGAGTCGACGATCCGCTCGGGTATTGACCTTCCTCGAAAATTGTCACCTAGTTTTGCAAATGTTAGCTATTTCGAATAAAATTCTAAAACCTTTAGCTTCGGCGGTTCGCTTTTCGGGGTCACTGGTTGCTGTTGATTGGTGAATTGTGGCATTGGAGGTGCATCGATTGAAGTCTAGAGATAAATTTTATGAGTAACGGGGCATAGACCATAGACATAGATATAGACATAGACCTAACCCAAATCAGGTTTTGCCTCGGAATTGATCAGAACCTAGAGCTACCCTAGCTCCAGATCCGAACCTTAGTTTCAAACCAAAACTTGATTCAAACCAAAACTTGATTCAACCCAAACTCTACCCTAGCTTCGTCCTTAGAATCATCCTAATGATTACGCGGGTACACGATAAGATATAAATCCTAGCATTGTCTCTAAATCCTAGCCCGATCCTAGCTTTGTCTAGTGCTAGCATTGTCTAGCTATGTCTAGCATTGTCTAGCTATGTCTAGCTTTGTCTAGTGCTTGATCAGAATCAAGACCAATGTCTAGCTATTTCCGAGAATTACCCAGATTCCTCACTATCAGCTCAAGACTAAAGCCAGATTCAAAGAGACTCTGAAGTTGTCCTATGAGGTTTACCCGATGACTAGACAGGCTTAGAAATAAAAATGGATCTAATACTTAACCCATTAGACTTTACTGGTTAATTTGATCGTAGTTATAATTCAGAGTTGAAGCCAGGCCAGGTTCAAGCCTAGCTTTGTCCTAGTGTTCCCAGCCATGGATAAAATCTATCTATTCTGCTAAGCGATTAGATATTCTCAAGATCTCCCACCTTCGGCATCATCATCGGCGGTGGTGGCACAGCGTATTGTGCAGATGGCGGTGGCGGTGGACCGGGCGGGGGTTGAAGGAGTGGTGGTGGTGGAGCACTCATTAGAGCCACCATTGATGATTGAGGAATTGACGGTGGCGGGGGTGGGGGTGGAGCGATGATTAGCGGAGATCCACCGACCATAGGCGGCAAGGAGGAGTGCTAGAATTTGAAATGGGTATTCATTTTCATCCACTTACAGGGTTTTCAAAAAAAAAAAAAAGTTCCCCATTTCAGGTCAAAGTTTCTGACAAAGTTTCAAAGCTTTTTTCGGGGGGTTATGAAAGAAATTAGCATAATTGCATGAATTTTCATTTAACCTCTCTGTTCATTTTCTCGCGATTTTTACTATTTATTTTTTCAAAAAAAAAACAAATTTTACCAACCAATTTTCTAAGATGTTTTTAATCTTTTTATTTACTTACTTACTTTCTTTATTTAGTTAGTTAGTTATATCTATCGCTGCAGCAAATAGATCTTAGCAAATAGTTCCTTTTCTACAAATTATGTTCATACAAAGCAAATAGAGTCTCTTTGGAGGCAAATCAAGGGAAAAATTAGAATGAGAAATGAAATTTAACGGCGAGTCAGAGATTGGTGCCAGAGATTCAAAGTCTCATAGAGACTACAGTGCTCTTGGCTTTACTTTGTGTAGTACTGTAGTCTATTTATGATTACATAAAGTCGTCGATTTTTTTTCATCCATCCAACCTGTGCATCGCGTCCACTCGGCGGCATCGGGGGCATCATCGGCGGTGGTTTGTGTGGGATTTGTGGCGGCGGAATCGAGAGATTCATCGGCGCCTAAACAGTTGATGTTCACGGTGATAGTTTTTGCGAAAAAAATGAGGCACCTGTTGAAAGACTTGATTGGAGCTAGTTGGTTGTTGTTGTTGTTGTTGGAGAATCGGTGGTGGCATCATAAGTGAAGAGGGATGAGGTGGTGGTGGAAGAGAGGAGTGGGGAGGGATTTTGTGGAGAGCGGTGGGATGTACATGGGGTGGAGGAGGGTGATGATGATGATGCGGAATCGAATGAGGGAATGCCGGTGGGGGTACCTGGAAAGAGGAAGTATTTGTATTTCACCAAAATGCCTAAAAGGCACTCGAAAAGCAGCCGGACGAGCTCAAGTCATAATCGAGGTTGGCGATAGTCTGGCTTGCGGGTGTTTACGGATTAAATCAAAAGTCAGGCCGAGATCTCGCCTGGATTACGGGCTATTTCGGGGTTTGATGGCATCACGTCTAGACAGGCTACTGTCTAGGTAAAGCTAGACAGCTAGGTAAAGGCCAGGCTACTGTCTAGTGCGATTAGGCCAAAGCCAAGTCCACCAACTGCTTAAATTTAGCAAAATTGCTAGATGGTAAATGATAAATAGTTTTTTGAGCCCAAGCCCAAGCCTGACCCAGTTTATTCTGATAAGATCAGAACTGACTTCTGGCCACCTGGCTTGGCCTCAAAAAGGAAGCAAATGAGGCTCCTGACTGGCTAAACTCTTTCCATACATTGTTCATCATCGTATTCGCCATTGTTGGTAAACAGATTCCTCCACCAATCACCGTTTTCTCGTTGTTCATCAACGGATGCATATGAAGTTGCGGAGGAGGTGGAGGAGCCTGAAATGAGTCAAATGATGTAAAAGCTGATATATTAGGTTGGCAAAAAAGAAATGAGCGTCGTGTTTGTTGATTTGTATTTTATTCACAGTAAAAGATTTTTTGAATAGTTTATTCTATTGGAAAGAGCGTGTTCTTGCGCATCGTTTGATATATAATTTGTCTATGTTTACTTTGTTTTTTTGCAAGAAAGAGTGTTTAGAAAATGTCGGACCAAAAATTTCGTTTGCTGGCCTGCTTGTGGCATGAATTTAAGCAAGGCAAATCGGCTGCTGAAGCTCATGGCGCTCTATCTCAAGTGTTTGACGAAGATGCTCTATCCGAAAGTCAGTGTAAACGATGGTTCCAGCGCTTCCGAGACGGCGACGAAAGCTTGGAAGACCAAAAACACGGACGTCGACCTCAAATCATCGACAACGACGCATTGAAGGAAGCCATTGAGTCGGATCCACGCCAAACCACTCGCGACCTGGCAGAACAGTTCGACTTCACTCATGTCACCATTGAGAACCATCTGCATGGCATGGGCAAGACGAATAGATGCGGAAAATGGGTACCGCATAAGCTATCCGACGCAAACAAGGCGACACGCATCGCAATCGCCGGAATTCTCACTCACCGCGCCAAGAACAGTGGGTTTTTCGACTCCATTGTTATGTCGGATGAGAAGTGGATCCAATACGGCAACACAGCAAGAAAGCGGCAATGGTTGGACCCCGGTGAAGCTCCAAAACCGGACATCCACGGAAAAAAGGTGATGCTTTGTGTTTGGTGGAACAGTAAAGGCCTGGTATACTTTGAGGTTCTGGATTCGGGTCAAACAGTTACGGCGAACCTCTACCAAGGCCAATTGGACCGCGTGGACCAGGCGCTACGACGTCAAGGCGTGGATACGGCGTCGACAAAATTTCTCCGCGACAACGCTCGGCCGCATGTCGCAAAAATCACCCAGCAGAAAATTGAAGAAATGGGCTGGGAAGTCCTGCCTCATCCGCCATACAGCCCAGACTTGGCGCCTTCCGACTACCATCTGTTCCGATCAATGCACCACTCCTTGGCCGAGAAAAAGTTCAAGAACCGTGACGAGGTCCAAATTTGGGTGTCCAACTTCTTCGAGTCGCAGCCGGTCGAGTTCTTCAAGAAGGGCATCCATTCTCTGCGTGAACGTTGGCGACAAGTCATTGATGCAGATGGCGAATACCTTTTGGATTAATGTATTGTTATCTTGTTTTTATAATAAAATAAACTTTTAACGAAAACGCGCATTTCTTTTTTGCCAACCTAATAAAAGCTCATATAAAAGCTGATATAAAAGCTCATATAAAAGCTGATATAAAAGCTGACATAAAAGCTGATATAAAAGCTTATATAAAAGCTGATATAAAAGCTCATATAAAAAGCTATATAAAAAGCTAATCTAAAATCCTCAGCTTACCGTAAGAATCGGTGACTTTGGTAATGGTGGGGGTGGCGGTGGCGGAGAGGTGCTCGAAACGGACGAGGCCAATTCCATCGAGACGGACTCGGTCCCGTACGAGATTTCCTCACTGAAAGCTTATACTTAAATCAAAGCACCAGAGATTACGGTCACTTGAAGGCCTACGGTAGTTTAATCGCTTACCATTTCGCTCGTTTCTGCGGCGTTGGACCCAAGCTCTGTTGTTCTTGCGGATTTTGGCCATCTTTGATCGCTTTCTTGATCGTTTCCATGAAAGATTCCTGAAAAGATTCTGGTTTTTAATTGGATTTCCAATTGTTTGCATAATTTGCATAATTTATTTAAAAGTTATTTCCCTATTTTCCCAGCTTTTAAAAAACTCCAATAAATGCCACAAACCGGTGTCATTCCAGTGAGCGCTCTCTTCATATCCTCATCAATCGAGATATGCGCACCAGTGGCCATCATCTGAACAAAAAAAAAGTACAGTAGAGGAGTATTTCAGTCTAGAAGCAGCTAATATTGTAGCTTTAGCTGTGCCAGGATTACGATAGATCACAATCTCTAGCATTGTAGCTACCGTAACCCTAGCTATTCAGCACTATGATAAACTACCGTAATCCTTGGGTATTAGTTGCAAGTAAATAACCACCGTGCCTACCGTAAGCAGCCGATAAAAACAAACCATTGTCTGGAGGATTAAATTCGGATCAGCTGCATTCGCATAGTTCGATGGTTGAGGTACGGGTGGCGGTGGAGTGACTGCACGATGGATTTCTCGACGTTTTTCTTTATTTCTCGTTTTTCTCATCATTGGTGGTGGACTCATCGATGGACTCGGGCTGCCAGGCGGCGTTTTCGGGCCACGACGTCTCACACCGAACTCTGGAAATTGATAAGTAAGTGTTTGATTTTTGAATCTCAATCCTGGCTTGGCCTGGGGATCCAAACTGAAGGCCTAGATCCAGACCAGAAACCACTAGTACTCTATTTGGCCATCGTACAGGCCACTACAGTAAGCCTAGTACACTACACTACGATGAACGACAGTCTAGAGGGCTTCCAGAGTCCGATTTTCTACAGTATTCAGCCTCGAACCCAGCTACATCCACGTCCACCGTATCCCAGCCGAAGTAGTCTAGCTTTGAAAACTGAGCCTGAGCTAGATAAGCCAAGGGCTGGATCCATCCAAAAAAGACTTTTCCTTTTTTTTCTCAACCCCTAGATTTCTCCCAACTACAATTTTGGTCTCAAAAATTACTAGATTTCAAGAGCTATCATTTGAGACCCAAGCGCTCACTATAGCATAAAGCAGGCGCAGAGAACGGGACGTTCAAAGTTCGACTACGCCACTGTACGCCTGTCACTATCTACGGTATACCCTGATCACCGTCATTCAGTTAATTCATTTAAAAGCTAGCTTCGATTTGTTTACCTGGTGGCGTTTTCGGTCCATCTCGTCCTTGCAGTAAAACGGGTGCCGGCGGTGGCGGTGCCATTGAGCCCAAACCGGCCGATCCACCCTGTAGAGTGTCATCGATTTCGAACTGAAAATGAATATCTCACAAGGGAAAGGCACCGAGTCAAGTTAGCCTTTTGACTTTAGATCAAATCCATCTTCTAGAGTCAGCCATGGGGATCTTGAATCCGTTTTTTGTTTTTTGTAAAAACGCTTCGCAAACGCGAGATATTTAGGGCATAGAAACTCAGCTTAAATTTCAAACTCCTTATGAGGCCGTCACACGCTTCCCTAATAGTTCCTTTGGCGGATAGTCTATTAGACTACGAAACCTATTACATTTTTTGCCCTCAAGTTCGAATCCTACTCTCGTCAAGATTGATAGCAGGCTTGATGCATGCGCACAGACAATTGCAGGGAAATAAGGAATAACATGATTGTACCGTTTCTTTTTTAAACTCACAGCTCTTTCGGGTCGATCTCCGGCCTCCATTCTGACATATCCCATTCTCTCATGGCTGTCCACTTTTCCTGTCAACATTTTGTGCCCCAAAATCCTTTCCATTAGGCCGTCGCGACGAAGAAACTGAAATTTGAAAGTTTTTTGTCGAATCATTCATTCGATAGATTCATTTCCAACAACTGTAACGTAACATAGTGTAGACACACCCAAAAATATCAATACTAAAAGAAGTTATAGCCTTTAAATTGTCAAAGACTAAAGAAAGCCTCAGCTACCATAATTTGTAACACTAAAATGTCTTCCACTATTGATTTAAGCTAAAGTTTGACTCAACCAGTCACTTATTATTCTTAACTTACATCTCTGCACGCTCTATCATCATATCGATGTTCCATCAATCGTTGTCTCGTCAATTTCATTTCCCCGGCACTCGTTTCAACAGCAGGAGCGGCTACGGAAGGGGTTGGCGGTTGAGGATCTGCAAGTTACTGTATTGTAGCTTTTTTTTTATACATTACTATTTATACAGTAAATTGTTAACTATAATAAAAAAAAGTGAAGGAATTGGCAAGAAAAGTTAGTTTTCCGGAGAGGGGATTGAACCCTCGATATTTTGCTTGGCAATTGCTTCAACCACTGAACTATCCGGTACCTTAACTTGCCAAGTGAAAGAAGCAAAGACAAAAAAGAAGAAGAAAGGAAAAAAGAAAAAAGAAAACTAGAACTCATATAATACTATGCTCACCTGTAAACGCACCCCTTTTGGCGCGATGAAATCTTCATTTTTTAAAAATTTCCTTAAATCAACGATCATTGTCTCGAGAAAATGGAGAATCCAGTGCGCCAGAAAAGGTGCATTTACATGTGAACAAAAAGTACGTAAAAGTGCCAAATGTGTTACCTTTTGTGCCAAATATCCGATCAAAAAGCTCATCGTGACTCGTCGTCGGTTGTTGATTTTGCACGATTTGTGGTTGTTGAACGGGTTGTTGTTGTTGTTGTTGTTGTTGTTGTTGTTGTTTTTGTTGTGCTCGCATAGGTTTCTGCTCTCTTTTTTGTCTCGATGATTGCTGTTCGTGGTGTTTCACATGATTGTACGATTTCTCCGGACGAGGTGTTTTCGTCGGTGAAAGATCGTGTCTGAAAAAAAGGTATTGTACTTTGATACTAATTTCGTTTCCTAAAAAGTGCTTAGGGAAAAGCCACCGTACCCGGAAAAAACTACCGTACTCCGGAAAAAGCTACCATACTCCAGGAAAAGCTACTTTTTTCAAATCTAAGCCAGTATGTGACCCCTGAAATCTAGTCATTTCCCTAAAATGACCTCTGGATTACGGTAGTTGGATTGTGAATGGCATCTTTTAGAATTTACACCTGTTTTTTTAATTTTTTAAGATACTCGGAGTACGGTAACATTCCAAGGGCCAATTCGATCGATCGACCGTGGAAAGACTACCGTATGACTAGGATCATAAAGAGGAATACGGTGATAACGAAGAAGGGTACTATAGCTCATGTTAGTACTCGAGACTGATCTTCTATTTACTGATATCAGTATCTTGTGGACATGCGGAAAATTCCAAGCCGAACCCAATTTCACCTTGGTTTTCTTGGCCGTTTCTTGACCAACTTTTCTGAAATTTTTTCTACCAACAAAAAATGTGAATTTCTATTTTTAAACAAAACTTCAGAACAATCGGCCAAGAGACGGCTGAGAAAACGAAGGTGGAATTGGGTTCGTCTTGGAATTCTCCCATGTCTAGTATCTACAGACCCGTTAGTACCAACTCTAAATCTGAGAAGTTTTAGTTCTTAGATTAATACCAGACCTGGTAGTATTAATGTCATAAATAAGAGTCGTTAGTACGGATTTCAAAATTGTTTAGACCAAAACTTAAGGTCCTGGCCTGGCTAGTGATGGCTTTTTGAAAAAACCATATCTGAGACTAACAGTACTAATGTTTTAGAAAAAAAGAAACAACCTCTTTTGTGCTCCGCGATGCGGCGTTGCTTGATCGAATTCGTTCACCGATCGTCGCGAGATCGTCGCCGTGAGGGGGGAGCTAAAAACTCGTTATACCACCAAATTTCGTTCAGAATTTATCTGTGTTTGTGAGAGATTATTAGCTTTATGAGACACGAAACATATGAAATTCGTTCAATAAAATGAATCCGAAATTTCGGATTCACTTTGTTGAACATTCACCGAAATAGTTTTAAACGCAAAAATTTCTGTTGCAAGTGGGCTTTGAAAATGGAAAATTTTCACAAGAGCATCTTGTAAAAACTATCTCTAAAACTATGTCAATTTTCTCTAAAATGGATATTTCTATCAATTTTCTATAAAATGAATATTTCTGTCAATTTTCAGGAGCTGATCAAAACAGCGCCGTGTACAGGGTTATGGATATAACCCTGTACACATCGCGATATACTATATAACCCCGTCAAGATTATGGGACGGATGTCTATTGATGGATTAAAAGAAGAAAATGAAGACAATACACCGAGTGTTATATTTCATTTGAAAGCTCTTAATGAATACTACAAAATACAATAGCTAAATCAAAAAAAATTGCGCCAATATTGGACAAATTTAAGGACCTGAACATCGCGAACTCCTGAATTAAGATAATTTTTAAAAATAGAGATTTTTAACTGTATTTTGTTCTGAAAGTATTCGTTTTGAGCATTTTTTTATAAAATCATTGAAAGTTAAAAGTATGTTTAATCTGTTAAAAACTGTTTTGTGAACATGCTTTTGAATGTTTCTCTCAAAAAACACTAGTTTTATATTTACGTTTTATTTACGTCTATATTTACGTTTTTTTCAGTTTCTATCAAAACTTTTTCTTAAGTGTATGTACTAATTGGTGAGGTTATTATTCCTTTATTTAATGCAAATATAATCAGTATAATCTAACTGGTCTAGTTGAGGTTTAAAACAGAAGATCTTCTTTTTCAGGAGTGTCACGTTTAGGTCCTTAAATTTTTTTGCAAGATTGGCACAATTCTTTTGATTTAGCTATTCTATTTTGTAGTATTCATTAAGAGCTTTCAAAATTATATATAACACTCGGAGTATTGTCTTCATTTTCTTCCTTTAATTCATCAATAGACATCCATTCCATAATTTTGACGCATCCTGTACAAACAGCGCGAGGGATCTTGGGAGCTGACCAAAACAGCGCCACGACAAAAGTACCCCATCCGCGGTTAAGTTTCTATGTGTTCCTTATTCTTATTGGATGCAGAATAAAATTATCTACATTTTGCATACTTTTGGATCACTTAAAATAGAATTGGTGTCGAGAAAAGCTCAGTTAACCTCTTTTTAAGCCCTTTTTCATTTTTTGGCATTTTCTCATCTCAGCTTTGTTCTAAACGATTCCAAAAACATTCAGCAGATAGCTAATTTTTTTCTACATTCAATGAAAATAAGAAACACAAATAAACTTAACCGCAAAAGCATTATTTTGGTCGGCGCTGTTTGTACACGGCACTGTTTTGACCAAGCCCCCAATTTTTCGCTCTTCAACTCACGCATTGGTGCTCGTTTCATCTTTTGTCGCCTGTGCTGAGTCTTGTTTTCTTCGCGGTATCCGAAATGGTCTTGTCAATTCATTCGATAGGCTCAACTCCATTTCTTTCTCCTCATTAATTTCGATGGTTCTGAAATTATCTCTAATAAATCAAAAAAATTGAAATTTTCAAAAAATCAAATACCATCAAGAAGAAAATCGACAAAATTGGCTCCAAAACCATTAATTTCCATTTCCTCCAACTTCTTCAAAATCTTTATTTGTTGCACATTGGTTTAAATTTTAAATTTTTTAAATGCCTCTAAAAAAAATCGTAAAAATATAGAATGGATACGTTAAAAAAACTCAAAAACATCTCAAAACTGATTCCTACAAAAAAAAACTTGAAAAATATTTGAAAGATCATCTCGTAAAGGCAGTATAAGCGGGCAGGGAAAGGGGGAATTTGATTTTGATTGAAAATGAGGAAAAAAAAAAATCATTTTTGACATCTGGATAAAGGCGAGGCCTGGGGAATGACACAGATAAATGGAAATTTTCGAAGGAAGTCGATAATTGGAGGGAAATACGAGAAATTGGCTATTTTTCATTATCAATCGAGAGTATTTAGTTGAAAATCTTTTAAAGCTTATATTCAAATTAACATTTCTGGCAAAAATTTGCATATACAGTTAACGATAAAATCGATCTATTGAATTTTGTATGCAAATTTTAGCCTCTTAATAGAGCAAGGCCGAAATCGTGACTATTCCTGGCAGTATCAAAAAGAGATAAAACATAAAAATACAGTATTTTAGCATAAGTATGTTTACAAAGTGAGAGAAATGCTCGATTTCCAAAAGATCATAGGAAATTTGTGGGGTTAGAGTGAAAATTTGTATTAAAGACAAACGGTTACAGTAATCCGAAATACTTTCGAAGTTACAAAAACATAGGTGAGACCAACAAAGACATAAAAATGTTAGCAGAGACAAAGAAAAAACGCTTGGCAACACAAATTTGGCCACTCAATCGCAAATTGGCACTGAGAAATAACAAAAATAACGGAAATTTTGGCAACGTTTGAAAGTCAAATGAAAGGAGGAAGCCTGCTAAACCCTGAACTTTGTAAAAAATGTGAAATTTACAAAAATAGCAATGAAAAAACACACACACACACACACAAACTTGAGTTTTTGTTCATTCTGCAGTTGAAATTGTCATAGAAGCCGAACCATCACCGTTGTTTAAAAGAGGCTGATTTGAAGCTGAAAAAAAAAGCCTGATTAGTGCATAGTAATCAATGTAATAAAGCACTACAATAAATTTATGTAGAATTTCAAATTTTACAAATTTCAATTTAAGTTCACACAGTGCTCTTTTTACTTTCCAATGCTTTTTTTAACAGCAAAGTCCAAGGATTTTCTGGAAAATATTGTAAAATTTTAATTTCTTAGCTCAGAATATTCAGCCTGAAAAATGCATTTCGAATCTTTAACTAAATATCGAGATCCTCAATCTCTTTAGTTCACCATATTGCTACGAGATAAGCAACTGCGCAACTTTACAGAAATTTCTCCAAAATCTGCCACCCATCCAAATCATGTTAGCATTTTAAAGAAACCCACCATGTGGCATAGCGAAATTCGGTGATCCACCGAGCTGAATTCCTCGTTGATCGCACACAACGGCTGGTTGTTGTAGAAGAGCAAAGGGGGCGGCCGAGATGCCAGAGATTGCTGCCTGTTGCACATTCGCATTCGCGCCTTTCCCTCCTCGTTTCTCCGGGTTTCCACGAGCGCGGCGCTCTTTCTCCTTTGCGGCACTGTCCACCTGAAAGAAATGAATATAGCAAGCATATTAAACAACTTATAAACTTTACTACAAGTTTCAAAGCCATGAAAAACTGTAGTAAATTTCAATTAAACCTATAAATATCGGCAAAGGCGCGGATTTTAAATTCAATACCGCCTAAAAGACTTAAAGAGTGAGAAAAGCAGACATTTGTCAAATTGTAAACATCATCAAATTTCAAACCTTAAGAGCTTTTTGCACGATCTCCTGAATCTGACGCTCCATCTCCTCACTCGTTTCTTCAGGCTTCGCTCCAGCGGCAGCCCTTTTTGATGCGGATGCCCTTGAGCGTTGTCTTGGTCGTCGTGCAGCTGAGACGGCAACTCCAGGTGAAGTCATCGATTCTTGGGCGTGCGCCTCGGCCTCACTCTCCAGACGAGTTGGCTAAAAAATAAAAGTTGAATAAGCAGAACAATGGTAAATGATTATCAATTTATGCATTCAAGTAGTTTATCTCGTCGACAATGATTTGATAATAAAACTCACCACAATTTGACATCCACTCTCCAAGCAAGCCGTTTGAATGAGCTCCATGTAGGGATCCGGGTTGATCGGATCGATTAACAGATTCGGATCGGTGTCTAAAGAATTTGATTTTATATAGACTCAGTGCCTTTATTATTGTTCTAGTCTTTTTAAATCCTTGTTAAAGCTTACTGTTAATCTTCTCAATCAAGCGATCCCCATACGGGGCATGAGCCCTGAGACGACTTTCCAACGCAGCCACTTCTGCTTCAAGCGCCGAGCATTTCTGTGTGACCTCTTTGTGATTGTGCACGATTTGCTTTGATCTAGAATGACAAATTTTCTTGATATGATAGTACTTAACTTGGTTAATTTGTACTTAGATAATCTAATATTTTGAATTACGTAAGATTCAGTGGTTTATTATTGTTCTATTCTTTTTAAATCCCTGTTACTTCTTCATTATACCCACTCACCGATTAAGCAATTCACTCGGCGTCTCCACATCGCTCATGTCCAACTCAAGAAGACGAGCACGCAAATTGGCGACTCCCTGAAAAAGTATTTTCATTTCATGTATCAGATAAATTCTTACTTGTTGTAGAAGATTATCGACAAAAGCCGTCGAAGTGCGGACACGCTCCATTAATTCGCTTCTTTTGTTCTAAAAGTTGAACATTAAACAAATTTGACGTCTAAAACTTGAATAAATTGGTTTAATCGCTTACCGTTTCTTGCTTCACCTCATCAATCAACTGAGCGCGAAATGTTTCCGTCAAAACGTGAGCCTGGTGCTCGAGGAATTGTTGACGAATTGAGACTAAAATGAAAATTTAAAAATTGTTACACGCCTAGAGATGAATTCAAGTGGTGCTTTCATTTATTAACACTCATTTCTAAATCGTCAGACAAATCGTACTTTAAACTTACTCAATAGTGCATCCAATGGGCTCGACGGGTCAAGGATCACCGCTCCATCGACCAAAGCCGGCGTCAACGGGATGCGAGCTAAATAAAGAATGAGTTGACCACGATGCTTTTTCTTCGCTTTATAAAGTTGTACAATTTTCTTACCAAATTCTTCCTTTTGTTGTCTCACGATTTCCTCGTGCATCTCGTCAACTCCACTACGTGCCTCTTCAGATAAACGAGCTCGTACCTAAAAAATAAATAAGAAAGTTGTCTTTGGCTATTTAAGATTTTCAATGCTTCTACAATTCTTTCTATTTTCTATTTCTATTGCTTCTACAATTCTTCTCAATTTTCTTTACAATTCTTTCAACTACATCATGTTAAAAAGGTGAATCTTTACCAATTTTATAAAAATATAGGTAGTTCACAAAATCAATGTTGTGTTTTTTTTTAACGACATTGTTATTATGTTAGTGAAACTCGATCCAGCTCAATTTCTCAATATTCACCTTAGTGATAGGAGTTGCCGGCGTACTTCCCTTCTTTGGTCGACCACGTGGACGACAATCTTTCGTCGTGGTTGGGCGTCCTTTTTTCTAAAATTTCAAGTATAAAAACAATGTTTCAATGAAACCAACCGACGGGAAGTACTCCGAGTCGTCATCCCAATTGACCTCTTGATATGTTGGTAGACTGGCCTTAGCTCGTTTGCGCGGTTGAGTGCTGACGAGAACGAATTTTCTAAAAATTAAGCATTTTACCCATCAATATGCATAAATTATTGATATCTTGACTCACTACAATATGTCGGAATAAAAACATAAAGCCTAAGCTGACAAGATTGGCTAGCTTTCCAATTTTGCAGTAAAAAAATATTCAGTTTTGTATATTTTTCCCATAATGAGTACTATAATTCGATATACTGTTGTGAAAAGGAGATTGGAATTTAATTAAAAGATATCGATCCGTTTCAAGACAAAAAACATGCTTTTTACTGGCTAAATCGTCCAACCGACCTATCATCTCCAATCTCTTCAACTTTCGGTGTCACGGTCGCAATCGTTGAGCCGCCGGGATTCGTGTGCATCTCCAATCCTTTCGAAGCCGACGATTCGCGCGACGAGCTTCTAAAATACTTCATAAACAAGAAGTTTACTTTCACAAGCAATTTTATAACTGGATCATTTTAAAATAAATCAAAAGAAACCCGATTTACCATAGTCACATTTATCTTAATCAAAAATCTCAAGAAAAAGAAACAGCAAGTTTTCTTCAAAAACAATTGCATTTTACTCGTATACAAAATTAAATAACCCGTCACTGAAAGGCTTGAACTTTTAGAAGAAATAAAGCAGAATAAAATACACAGAACAACGATAACGTGCCTTAGAAATGAAATCACAATCAAGGATCTAAAAAAGAGGTAGAGGTGTGCTAGGCACACAAAACAAAAATACTAAAAATACACAAAACAAACAACCAAACACGAAAAAATAATCATTCCTCTTCAGGTAAACTTTTGCATATCTCCAAAATCGTGGACTTAGTAATGGGAACGCACAAAGAACTCGTCAAGTCCGCATTTACTTGCCTGAACACAGAATTCAACGTCTCCGGGCTTATCGGCTCAATCATACTGCACGTACCATCAATGCGTCTCTGCAACACCCAATCGGGCAGGGTGAACTTCTCGTCATCGACAATCTTTTCTTCAACTTCCCGTGCTTTCTCTTCATTTGACGCTTCGTCGATTTTCCGTTTCTTTTCCCTATGAAAAAGAACAGTGCAAGTGGGATGCGAAAAGAATTTCAACAATAGATAATAAAGTTTTTGTTTTAAAAGCAATGCTAAAACGATATTATCGATTGTAAAAATCTATGAGATAGATAGAA